AACGATTTCCTTCAGAAGGTCCTTTCTGTGCGGACGAAGGAGCAGTGATTCGCAGACACTGACACGGCTCAGAGTCGCTGAGCCGATGAGGGACCCATGTCGAGTAAACCTTCCGATAGCCGAGGTCGTTCAGATGATTGCCGATGGCCATATGGGTGACTCCAAGTGTAGTCGCCAATTCACGAGTGGTTGGCGTTCGGCTTCACGTTGAACGCGTTCCGCAGGGCTTCGTCAGAAAGTGTTGCAAGACTTTCTTTCCAACCCAATAGATGTTTTTGACAGCATATTTTGTCATTGGCCATCAGAAAATAATTGCAGCTCTTATAATTTTAGAGCCAGAAAGCTGAGATTTTGTCTACAAACTTCAATTGTGTTACCCTATAAGTCTACCAATTTTAATTTAAATTGGCAGCTTAGAAAGAGATTGATGACTCACCAAAAATGACATATTTGATTTTTTGGCCCACCCTGTATATGGGACATTCCAGTGGCTTGTTCTATCCACTGTTCACAGTATGAGTTTGATGCAGCATATTGGTTCAACAGAGACTTAGACAATAATGAAAAACAGACAATAGTAGATATCCATTTTGGGAGAAACTTAAAGAATATTTCTTCATCCCATATTTATATATCTAATTTGAAGCTATGTAGATCCTGATTGTGACATATACCCTCCAGAAGGCAGAATTGCATAGGTTCAAACAGTGATTATTTTGTGGGCTAAGGGAGGTATAATGTATCTGTGTGCTGATTTTGGTAACAATGAGAACAATGGTTTAGTTTTTATTTTATGTTTGCAGAAGCTTTTCAGTCAGCCTTCATATATAGCAGACAACATGAAGAGAAACAGTGCTGGGAAAGCTCTAGACAGACTGAACCATTCTACCCTGTGACCCATGGTGCCTCACCCTCCCCTACCCACATTTCCTGGGGCATTAAGATCTGAAAATACCCAACCTCTGACTCAAAGAAGTACAGAACAGGAAATAACCAAAGTAAACCAAATTATAGCAAAACAGCCTGCAGATTTGAAGCAGAGCCTAAGGGAGTGAAAAATCGGAAAGGAAAGTGAAAGATCATATCCTAGGAAATTGAAAGCAAGCCCATATTAACAGGAGGTTGAGGTCACAAGTCTGACTAAAGAAGTCCTATCCAGAATTTTTTCTCCTGTCTTGAGTTAGAGCTGTAGATTTAAATAGGAAAAGCTGTACACAGCTTAACCACATGTAAGTCTATCTGAAAGTACCACTGTAAACAACTGATGAAGCAAGTTATGAGGTGAGATTCTTACTTCTTTATATACAGGCTTCCTTCACTTAACATGAGTTCATTTTACACGGATTCGCTCTTTCACTGTTTTTTTTTTACTACCAGTAATTTGGAAAGCATGGGGTGTGGTTTGCAGATACGTGGTTTAAGTTTATTTGATTTTTGGTATTAAACAAAAAGTGCAAGTGTGAATCTATGTAAAAAGAACCCATATAAAGGGAAGCTGGTACACATCCCTCATGTAATGCAAGTGACTACTGCTGCCAGCAAAAAAAAAAGGAACACCTAGAACAAATAATGCTACTGCCACAAAACTTTGGCCATTTATTAAAGACTTGGGGTATGCAAATGATCAAACACTCTCCAATATCTGGCATCCCTGATTGTGATTGTATCACACCACAAGGATGCCAGGTATTGGAGAGTGATTGATCATTTCCATTCCTCGATGTCTCCAATAAATGGCCAAGGTTTGGCAATATATGAATTCAAATATAACAATTAGGGTAAAGCCATTTAAGTTCAGACATTCTAATGTACATCATTAAAGAATGAGCATTTGCAAGATCATTCTCAGAAAGAGTTCTTCCTAATGCAAGATGAATATATTACTGAGTGAAAGACATGCAATGGCCATCATGATTTCATTTGATTTTGAAATATTGTGCAATATATCACAAAGAGGAGAAATGTGAGAAAACATACAGAGATGACCTTACCTGAGAGGCACTTCACTCTTGATATTGTTTATTTCTGGGCTCAATTCTTATTTTATGGGAAACTAGGGAAACAGAGCATTGCTGCATGGAATGCACATACCAGGAGCAAATTTCTGCCTTACCTGATGCATCTCAACCAAATGCTCAAACTGGGTTTACCCCACCTTATACATTTAGTATGAGGTGGTCTTTCATAAACAAAGATTGATTTATTTTGCATCTAAGTTCAAACACTTGCATAATAGTCACTTTTGGGAGTAATAAGGCTTTGAAGGACAACATCTTTATAACTCACACCTACTCATATCATGCTCCCAGTCACCAAAAATGAAGCATCCATATTGTACTACTTAAGCATGATGAACGAATTAACAGGCTCACTCTGGTAATTTGTTTAACTGTCTGAACAGAGGCAGTTTTACCCTAATTGCATCTTCTATCGTAAGTCCAAACAGTCTAAATGAGAAATAATTAATTCACTGTAATTCTACAATTCCTGACTTTGATTACTCCCTGCTTAGTGAACATCTACAGGCAAGTTATTGGCTTGCAATTCAATGCAGCAAAGATTTTGCCTCTAAGGCATTTTGCTTGGATCAAGCCTTTAATGTTGAGGTAAATTGAAGGTTTTTATTATGATAGAATTTGATTTTATAGGTTTCTGCTACACAGATCCATGGTTAACTAAAGACAAATTATGATTGGATTTTTGGTTGTTATGCACAGGGCACAACAGGATGTTCTTTATGAGATGGCAAGTTTGTGTCAAAACGTGGCCATTTGGCTCATGAAGCATGCTGCTCGAGTTGCTGCAAAAGAAGAGTGAGTTCCATTTGCTTTCATAAACAAAATCCATTTGGTCCTAATGCATTGTCCTTCTGTGCTGACATTATCATGGTTCACTAGAAGGAATCATTAAGCAGCAAAAATTATACATATGACCAATATCTAAACTCTGAATCACTACCTTGAAGTGAGGTGACTTGGAACAGGGTTTTACTTGCAAAGTAATGCTACTTAACCCTAGTACTGTGGGTCCCGGAAATGTCTGGTTGCCAGACTGATGATGTCATAATCAATGCAGCAGGAGTAGGGTTAAAGTGAAATTACCTATCTCCCAACCTGATGAATTATCCTAATGAATCCCAGTTTTCCCAGGCAAAAATTAATAGGACTGTGAGGTTAGAAAGGAGAATGCCCTAAAGCAGGGGTGCACAAAATGTGTTCCGCAAGGCCCTTGCTAATGGCCCGCCATGACTGGTGGCATTGTAAATACTACTATGGCTCCTGTCCTGTTGGTCACAGCTATGGCCAGCCAGACTATGGCCCACGGTAGGTGAGCAAATGGCCCTCACAGCCTTTTGAGTTGTGCACCTCTGCCCTAGTGTCTCAAATGATTTGTCAATTAAGTTCTTTTTTCTGGAAAGTCTCATTTAAAATAAAATGTCATTTTCTTACATGATTTCAATTCAAAGTAGCATTTAGCTATTAGAGGGTAATAGCATTCATTTTTAATATTTTAAATTTAATGTTTTTTTTTCTATGGCTGTCAATAGATTAAAAATGTAATAAATTAATAGTGAGCCATTTAATCAATTAATCAACTGATTAATAGAATATTAATCCCCTAGTACCTCATAAAATGTGTCATTTGAAAGTTAATGCAAGTGCTGATAAATTCAGATAGTCAGTTGATGGACTTAGATGCTTTATTCTTTCAACCATGGACGGAAACAGACGAGCATATTAACTGTCTGGATTCAATGCGTTTCGCTGCTTGTTTGCGACATACCCAGCGGATGAGACCAGGTGCACACAGGGAATCGTCGTGGCCAGGATGCAGAAGGTCTTCCTAGCTAGGTGGCAGAGTTTTGGGAACTTCCTTCCCTTCGTATTCCACCATATAAGTGGATCACTGAAGTCATCTTCCAGTTCTCGCTCTGCTCTATATAGCGATATTTTGTGCTTAATCTCCTCTAATTATTTATTTCCATTTTCCGACCTTTCACTATCACTCTCATCACTTGACTCCTTCAAAATTTTTCGTGTCTTTTGTGGGATCCCATCCATATCTCCCTTTGGCTCCGGTGCATTGCACTCCTTTCCCCGATTCTTCACTTCCTCTCAAACTGAAAAGCGATTGTCATTGGGTAGAACTTTGAGACTTTTGTAGCAGGGATCAAGCATGAGGGCCATTTGCACTATTTTAATAGACTTCAGAGAGTCGATTCTGCCTTTGAAATCCACTATTATTATTTTTTTTTTTTTAAAGGCAACTGATGTTGCCTTAAAAGCCGGATCATCATCATTACGTCGTAGCTTTTTTCCTGAGAAGTACAGGGTAGGCAGAACTACGCTGACTGTTGTATATTCTGCTCCTCCCAAGAGACGTTTCATGGTATAGCACGGCTTCAGTACTACACAGATGAGGGACAATCGTTCCCAATCTTTATCAGTCAATTTGTGCTTTTTGAACCCTTCTTGCTGTGCAATGCATGAGAGAATCTTTGAATTTTCAGTAGGATATCCATCATACAGTATGTCGAGTTCCACTTTGTTGGAACATCTTGCTGCAATTGATCGACAGGTTGACTCAAATCTTTTCGAAGGCAAGATCCCTCGTATTGGTAAGACTGTGTCTCAAATGCCGCACAATCTTTGCCCTTGACATTTTACCAGCGACTGTCTTAAATCCAAAATGACAAGAGAGCTTCCCTTGCAAGGGAATGTAATTGTCATTCATATTGCTCTCTTGAGCGGGTATCCAAATACCTGCAAGATAATGCAGTCTACTTTATGGTCTGTTGCTATCGATCACAGCCTCTTCACAATTTTCGATTCTGCTTGAATCATGTCCTACGTCTAGGCGAACCTCAGGAAGTGTCTCAAGGCGATGCAGTCGCTAACATAATAGTTACTATCTATTCATGCATTAGTTCAACTTAAGCATGACAGTCCAATCAGAGAGAGACTAATTATGACTTAGCCTGATAAAGAATTAAACGTAAAAAAGGAAGCGCACTGAAGTCCTTCGTCAATTAGCCAACCCATGCCGGAAGGATGTAACAATGTAACCTAAATGACTTGAGGTATACAATGGCACTTCATTACGCGGAGATTTGAAGACTCATTATCGATTCACATTCAAAACTAGAGGGAAGAGCAGAAAAAGCAGGGAGTGGGAGAGGATTTGACACGTTCGTTTCCTCTTCTCTCGCTTGCCCCTGGCTCTCCCCCGCTCCCGGCTACTTACCTAGGACTCCCACACACCTTCACCCATGCACATGCACGCCTCTCACTCCTAAGTCTTTGCATTATTTTCTTTCCTGCTGCTCCTGGTGACCTACACTCTTTACCCAAATACCCTATTCCTTTCGTGCACTTCGTGAAATGAAGACACTTCTTAGAAGTGTCTTCATTTCTACTTTCTTTTCCATTTTCTTACGAAGCTTCTCTTTGGAATATTCTGAAAGTGATGACCTTGCTTTTGTTGCCCTTTTCCGAAAATATTTGGTCATTTTTGGTGAAGAATGAGCTGTGCAAAAACGATTGCTTCCTACAAGTCATAATTTCATTTCATTCCCTTGACAAAGCATTTGTTTTAGATTGTTTTGGAAGACTCTGCCCTGCACAGTCTAATTTTAGAATTAAGAGGTATTCAGGGGAGTTGATTACAATTCTATTAATGTAGATTTTTTTTTAAAACGCGTTTTATAAAAAAAAAGTTAATCGATTGATCGGTCGATTCATTATCTAATTGGATAGTACTACTCTTTTCATGAATCCCGTTGAAAGTAGACTATTCTGAATTGATTGGTGAAGGTCTTATGTTGGTAGCATGTGTAATTGCCAAGGTGGAGACATATATGTTAGGTGAGTAATTGCTTCAGTGTTCTGTTGAGTCCTATTACTCATATTATTGACACAGAACTTTTCACAAATGGATTCAATGTGGTAAATTAAAACTGGGATTCTTGAGTAGTCAATTAAGAAAATGTTTGTAATTGATGCTATCACTCTCTAACAGCTCTCAATAGCTGAGTAAAATGTCAAATAGAAGTAGTGCTAGTAAAGAAATTGTTTTACATGATGAGACCTTTCAGAAAAGGCATATTTGTTGGTTGGGGAATCTTGGGGAATATCACTGCAAGAGAAGACAATATCAGTGGTTATGTTTAATTTATCTATAAAATTGCAATAAAGTAATTTTCCCTTCATGGTACATCTTCCTGCCTTCACAACTGACAGTCTTACATACAAAGTAACTTTGCAGTGTGTGACAAAATTTTTCACCCCTACATTGTAGGAAAAATGAAAATGGCAGAACCTTAGTTTTTATATATATACAAACAAAATAAAATAAATAAATTCAAATACATACATACATACATACAAAAAATAAATGCAAATACAAACTGTAGCATGAGTTTCTTGTAGCAGGTGTCAGGTGTCATGCTGAGTGAGGCAATGGTAAGTGCTGGGATCTGTGAGAACCTCCTCCAGCCTTTTGGAAAGACTCCCAGAAAGAGTCTTTAATATCAAAAGACTGGGAAAAGACCAGTTGGTAGGTCTCGTGCAAGATGGAGAGGCTACATTTGGAATATTTGTCTTGAGGGGCTCAATGCTGCTGTGTATGTTGCCTAGGATTACAAATGCTGGAAGATGTTCCTGGGCCTATTCTAGCCACATCCCATTAAGTTGAGATAAGCTGAAAATTTGAAAATGCAATTGAAAAACTGTGACTTTCTGTCCTTACAGTATTTCAATGGATGAAGCAAAAGTGGTTCACAGCTGCATGAGAAAGGCTGCAAGCATTTGGAGAATGAGTGCTGACAAGATGATTCCACTTTTGACTGAAATGTATCCTCCAGGGAGTGACCTTGATCCCACTGTGCTTGATGCTTACATCAATCAGTGCACTGCTGAAGCTCAGGAAGGTTAGTTTTACACCAACCTCATTGAGACTTTGGCCTGTAAAGTTTTTGGTCATAAATCTGTTTATGTAACTCTATTTCTATTTTTTTTGCATTTAAAAGGTTCCAGGATTTCACTGTTGGAAATAACTTTGTTTTTCAAATTGCAGGCATAGGGTAAAAGACCCAGTGACAGACCTGTTAATGGCGGGTACTCAGTGTTGGGCCACTTCGCAGGAAAATTCCAAAAACTAGGCATTTGTTCCATTACTACCTCTGAAGTGTCTATGTGCTTGAATGCTGCTAGCCTATGGCATAACATGGGTAGGCAAGCTATTGGAATTTTTATGTGCTGTGGCCCATCACTGGGGACTGGTCCATCACTGGGTCTTTTACCCTACATCTTGATGTTGCAGAAGCTAGTTTTATAATTTAAAACAGCAGCACTTTAGTGTCAAGCAATCTATCCTATATGTGTGTGCAAGGACACAAGGTAGGGTCAAGTTGATCACTTGAAGATATGATAAGCCAATTAAACCCAAGTAAGCTACATGATGTGCAGTCTGACAATGTTCAGGTTGGCAAGTATCTTGCAAAGCTCCTTCCTATGGGGGAAGAACTGAAACTGTTGTCATGAGCTTCTGCTTATTGTTTAAATTTCCTAATTATAGTATGAAAGAACCTTAACCCTTCAAGCAGGTGTGATGGATATATCCATCATGACCAATGTCCATGATGCACTATGTCTATTTTTTTTTTAAGTTCCAATGTATTATGTTCTGCACTATATATTTATATATTAAGATAAAATAACAGGGTTCATGTTCAGTTTTTTGCATTAAGCACTGCAGATCTGCAACTGTTGCTGTGGTTCTTTAATATTTACTCATTGTTGATTCCACCTTACTCAGAAAATTATACACTTGACAAGTTAAAAGGACAATTAAAAAAAAGTTAAGTATAAAAACTAGCACCACTTGCTCATAAAAGTTTCAAGATGTGGAGAGTTGGGAGAAGCACATAAAGCACATGCAAGGCAGGCAATGAAAGAGTAAAAAAAAAAGGATAAAATAACAAGCAAGGGGAACAAAAAAGCTGCTTGCAAGCTTTAGGGCAAACCCCTTCTTCTAGGAGAGAGAAATGGGAAGACTATTTCACCATATGGGTCTGTCTACCCCAAGTGATCTGAAGATTCACTGCAGGAAATTTTATAAATTTATGAATATTACATTCCATACAAAAGTTCATTATCTCTAGTCCCTGAAAGCAGGAATGAAGGAGAATATTATCTTTACAAGTGAAAGAATTAGTAATTTTATTATGTATTATCAGTGCCACTCTCATGATACTCATGGATATTATGGAAATGCAAATCTAGAAAGACAGAATTGGACTAATGGAGCAGATGCCAGCATGCTAAGCAATAATTTCCCATGCTAAGTAATAATTTCAAATAAACCCAGTTGTGAAGAGATGTCAATTGTCCACTTTTGCATGATATTTTAAAAAGGCATTTCATTTTCATATAAATGTTTGAAAATATCACATCCAAATATGGTCACAAAATAACCTTGCTTACTTTTCATGGTACTGTTATCTTGGGGTGATTTGCACTAATTTCAGGCTTTTATGTAATCTATAGAATGAACATAATACTTAGTTGATGGGTTCCTTTATATGACAGCTATGTGACCATTAGAGCAAGTGACTTTAGCCTGAGCAAGTGACTTTGAATGTCATGTCCTATGCTTTTTTTCACCCACAGATGCACCTCTAGCAAAAGAGAATGTGCAAGACTTTGGCTAGTTGAATTTTCAGTCACTGCCTAAGGGTAATTGTTGCAGCCTATATTTGTTAATTTATCATTTGTAAAAAAGTGCAAAATACTTTTTTGTATATCAAACATATGTCCCAGATGTCTCCAGATGTCACTACCAACACTTTTGAAAGGCTCATATTATCCTTCTTTTTTTATTTAAAGAAAATTGGTTTTCTTCTCTGCCAACAAAGAGTAATCATTTTTAATTACAGTATAGTCATGACAGGGATCCCAATTAAAAACAGAAGCTCAAGATTTTTGCACATGCAGACTATATTATTCAAATAAGTATTCAATTTTTTTGCAATTTTGCCCTCTGAAACTCATTTTCAGATGATGAGAGTCACTTGGAAAGTTTGTAACTATTCCTCTATGAAGGAAGATTGTAACTTTAAATTTTTCCTACTTCTTGAAGTAAGGACCCTTAGCATCTACTTTTACTTGAATTTGCCAAAACCAAGAATCAAAGCAGTTGCCATGATCTTCAATGCCAACCAGAGTTGATAAATAACCACAGTATTTTTGGAGTTTTGATATTGTGCACTGAAATTTTGTTTCTGGATAAAATTCATATATTCATCACTTGTCTCCAGAGAAAATATCAAATATGAGCTACTGCATTCCTGGTTGAATTTTTGAAGAGTGACATGACACCATTATTTTATATTGACCTCCTTTTGGGATTGTGAGAAGGTGTAGGGTATCCAACAGGAGACTGTCTTACAAGGTCCAAATGCCCATGCAAAATATCTGAAGCAGGTTAGGAGCCAATGCCCAGATCATTCTGTACTTGAGCTTTAAGGCTCAAATGCACAAACCTCATTTAAGGGAGATAAAGAGGCTTTTAAGCTAAATAGCCTTTTTTTCTCCCATAGGAGCCCTTGTGTACTTAAAGGAACATTAACTAAAGGAGGTTTCAGTATTCTTCCTTAATAATTTAGAGGTCTTCATCAACCATTTGCAGGATTAGCTCAACATTATTAATATTATTTAATGTAACTGAAGTTGGAGATCAAAAAGACCAGGGATTATCTTCCATGGAGGCCCCCTTTGAATTTATGAAACCATTTTAAAACTGGGATTGCTAGCAGCTTTATCACACCATTCTTCTATTGGGCACACATCAGATTGTATGAAGTCCACTCCTGCTTTGAGATTATAGATCATCCATCTGAAACCTACCCAAGTGGTTTCCATTTTTGAACACAAGAGTAACAAAACGTCTAGCCAGAAAACAAGTGTGACTCCTCAATTAATCAAGGTACATTCATGAAAATTTCCAGCTGTCCTTTTTGGAAAGTTATTTTTAAATGGTAAAATTATCAAGACTCTTTGCTCATTCATTGTAAAGTAGCTACCAACTTTCAGAATGACCTTCATATACAGGGTGGGCCAAAAAAAGGACAGTTTTCAATGGTACACTATACTGCACTCACAGCATATATTTAAATGGGGTTTGTGGCATTTGAAAGAGAAATGAATAAGCTTTACAATTGTGTATTTACATTTCAAATGTCTTCAACAGTATCATAAATTTGAGAGCTCATACAAACACCAAGCAAGAATTATGTTGCCATACAGGGATGGACAGGCAACAACAGCCTTAACACTTTCACTCTGAATGACATACTAGTATGTCATCCCTTTTCTTGCAGCAGGTTCCGAGTGACGTACTGGTATGTCCTGGAGATTCACACTGTAATATAAAAGTGTAGGATTTTGATGCATCATTGGGGTTTGGAGATATTCATGGTTTTGAGTCTGTACTTTGTTACTCTCTCACTTGATTTGGGAAAATTGACTTTGGGCACACAAAAGAGGTGAAACAAGAGTTGTGTCAGTTGGCTGTAAATGAGCAACATGGCAGATAAAGGGTCTTCTGCTCTGTGTCATGCTGCATCACAAATTCTTCCATTTCCTTATATAAACAATGAAATAACTTCTGATCCTTGGTGGGAACTTTAAGATGAATCAATTGGTAAGTATTATTAATTAAACATCTATGCCATGTATACTATGAAATCACTTTCAAGAGAAGTGTTGCATCAAAATCTCGAACATTAAGTGGGCAGAGGAAATGGAGGGATACAACAATTCAGTGCAGTGCCTGTGGAGTCCCATTATGCATCACTCTGTGTTTTGAGGCTTACCACACAAAGAAAAGGTTCTGGGAATCATGGGCCAGAAAATAGCATGCATAGACTTAAAGACAAATATTAAGTCCCATGATATTCTTTACATGTACAACTATTTGTTTTTCGTGAAATGTGACATGAATTTCAATTTGAGTTAATTCCTCTAAATAATTAAATTCTGAAATATGTGTGTATTCCTCAACAAACCCCTTACTTTGCAAATAAAATTAATAAACAATCAAATTTCTGTCTTTGCTCATTATTTTTCTCTGCATTTTTTTCTGAATCCTATTACACCCCAGGTTCTGTGAACAGTGCAATTTAAACACACGCCGAAGTGAAAGTGTTAATGACTGAAGGTCACATGCTGTCTCCCTCTGAGAATGCGACAATGCAGTTTTTGTTTGCTGTTCATTTGAACTCCTGAATTTCTGAAACTGCTGAAGATATTTGAAAGGTGAACATCATTTGAAAGCTTATTCATTCCTCTTTTAAATGCTTCAAACCACATTAAAATACATGCAGTGCATGAAGTGTAGTGTATCATTGAAAACTGTCTTTTTTTTTTGCCCACCCTGTACTACTCCCATCCCATGTCTTGACAGGATGCTGATTGGTCATGTTTTCCAAAATTTTACCAGTAAAGAACTTTTTGGTGGCTTAACCATATCATGACTTTTCTCCTCCAGTGACCCTGGGACGTGCTGTGGAAATGAAGCATAATGCCTCACTCATCTCTGCTCTTGCATATGAAACTTCTCAGATGTTCTCTTCTGCTGAGAAAGCTCTGTCTACTCAAGATATATCTTTATTTGGGAGCTGGAGATTTTATCTGAAGCTCAAAACTGCATTCTATTTGGCATTTGTGAGTCTTCTGCCCTGTTTCATCAAAAGAGCAACATGGTAGGTTTTTTCACATTTTGAGACAGGAAATATTTTTTCCATGCAGGGTAAGCAGTAAAGCTTCAATTAACCATAATTTCAAAACCTGATATTAAGAATGTAGCATGCTACTCCAATTGTTTAGAAAGCAGGGTGGCATGTCATTCCCTGAGCAAAATTCCTTTTTTAGTGCTGTTTCTCTTCCCATGTGATTTTTTTACGTCTAAAATTAAATTTATTAAAATTACACAGAGAACACTCTTTGAAATAGATGGAAAATGGAATGCTGGCCATCTTGCAGGCCACTGATATGCAGCCATTCTTAATAATATTAATTGTTTTCATACATTTTCACTGTTTACAGGCTTACAACTATGTTGGTGAGAATTTGTTGACTGTAGACAAGTGTGGAGAAGCCATCAGAGCCCTACAGGAAGGTCAGAAGTGTAAGTCAAGATTGATCGTATACATCTCTCAATTTAAAATTTCAATACATGAACTGTTATGCTAAAAGTCATTTATGAAACATAGCATGAAACTGTTTTTTTCGCTGTGCTCTTTTCCTGTGTGGCAATTAGGAATGACTCTTTTTTTTATTCAAATAAAAAATGTCTGAAGAATAAACCTATCATGGCTGGCAGCAATTTTTCATCAATGTATACTAAGGATTGTACAGTAAATATAATTCAAAGATGTGTTTTATGCATACTTGTTAGCAATGCCAAAAACTTTTACAAAAATGTGCAGGGTTATAGGGTCACCATGACACTGATTCCTGTTATGTTAGGCAGTATTCAAAAGTAAAGGGACAAACAGCTATATTTGTCTATGAAGTACACCCAGGAATGCAGTGCTGTCCCCCTAAATCAGTAACAGTATTTCCCAACATTATTCTACCCCACTCAATCCCACATTCAGTGAAGTGTGCAGTTAGACTCAAGTGAGGCAGATGTGTTGGCTAACTGCATTTTTGGAGAAAAAATTGATGGGTATGGTTTTACAGGGCAAGAGTTGCTTGATCATAGTCCACATAAACCACTGCTGAGATAAACATATCTTTGTGAAATGCTTCTTTATGAATAGTTGCATGTGGAATAGGGGAATATATGGCATGTTACTACAGTGCTGCAGTGAAAGGCCACATTCTGCCCATGAAACCTGTGTCACCATTCAGGAATCCTTGTAACTACCATGCCTGTCAAAAAGAGTCCTTCATGGGGAGAAATTTAAGTGTTGATGGGGAGGTGCCACAAGGAGTGCATGCACCTTTGACTTTCCATGTCCAAAGATTTATTTATTTGCATATGGCATAAAGAAGCAGCTACACCACTAAAAAAAAAAAAAGTGCATGACAGTCATGGAAGATTGTGGGGGAAAGTTTTCATTCCCAAGTACCCAAGGGACACGTTTGTCCCTTTTGGATACCCCCTCATATATGCACACATTACTGTGCTATATGTGATGTGCCAGTTTGAAGCAAGATTTAACTGCTCCTAGTTCTATCCAGAATCCTTTGCCAGAAAAGTGGAGTTTTCCTATGGGAGTGAATGTTTGCTCTGAAACAATGAAAAAAAAAGTTTTCTGCATGAAGATCACAGAGAAAGAAAAGGGTAAACAAGAGAAAATCATCATGTAGCAGCCTGATGGGCCTTCATTTCGGATTCACAGTATATCTTCCTTACATCAGTAGCAATTTTCTTTCTTTCTTGCAGTATACAATCAAGTGATGAAAAATGAGAGTGATAGGAAGATAGAGATGAATTATAATGGGAACACCTACATTTGACCTCCTTTAGAGGGACTTGGGAAGGGAGGGGAGATATGGTCCCACTTGAGATGAAATCTTATGATGTTCAGAATGGAGTAGTTTCCTCCCAGGGGAGAATAGCATCAGCCTTTGAATATACATGCTTACTCCTCAAAGTGTTAAGGGTGATGAGAACGGTAGGCCTTGATTGCATTGATCCAAATCAGTTGATGAAGAAGATGTTCTTGTGTGTTCCACAGATTACTCTGAGGCCTTGGAGCTGTGTAAGGATTATGGGAAGCAGAAAGGCCCAGGAAAGTCTGCAAAGTTGGAGAGACACATGTTCTTCCGCAAACTTGGCCCGGTGATCAAAAGAACCCTGGAAAAATGTGAAAGGGAGAATGGATTGATGTAAGTAAATGAGTCATTATGTTTAATGCGCTTATCCTGCCTTCAACCTCTCACTTAATAATGTGTGCCTCTTAAGCTCTTCTCCATGCATAGCTGCCTTGTTTTCCACTGTATAAGTTCATGTTTTGAGTCAAGATTCAGTGGCATGAAATATCCACACTGTAGCCCATAATGCAAAGCATTCCCATATCCACATGATATTGTGAATTTAACCCTTATCCAGGCAAGGTATTTTGTGGCAAAAGCAGGCAAGGGCAAAATTATAACACATACATCTAAATGACATCTATGTGACATTACTGCAATGTCATTTAGCTTAAGTCATGTTGCAGCAATGTTGCATGGACATCACGTGTTGCTCAGGTACAGTCTCATGTTAGGCAACATGGGAGAAAATATTATTTGTCACTGGTGAATATGAAACTTGGATTTTAAGATCGTGGTGCATTGTAGGATTACAGATTTTCAAGATATTTCTGATAACCCAACACTTTCAATGGATTTCTGAAGTGTTCAGAAATCCTTTTCTTTAAGAATTTTTGTAAAGTATTGGCATTTAGTCCCTTTGAAGGGAATATTTTCTTAGCTTTGAAGTGAGGTAATTTGGGGGATGTATGATTTAAAAAAATAAAAATTTCATTTTTTCATGATTGGCAATTCAATGCTGTGATAGTTGTAATCAAGGATTTTATGCAAACCATCATTAGGACTGTTAGCTTCAAGCCAGGCCTGGAATGGCGATTTTGATCATACTTGCCCCACATTCTATCTCAATTGACACTATGGAAACTGGAAAAATACATATGAACTAAATGAATAAAAAGGCATTGGCTTGTTATGAAAGCCATCAACATGATTAATTTAGGCTTGTTTACAAGTTCCTTTGAATCAGTTATATACATTTCAATGGACAGACTTGTTTAGATTTTCTCTTGATATCTGCATTTCTTCCAGTGATCATGATTCCCTCATGTTCTTTATAGCAAGTGGGCATATTGCCAATTATAAGGATTAGGAAAATGTCAAGCCACCCTTTTCAATGACTGGAATAAGCAATGTAGTGTTGCATATACCAAGACCATTCTTCATTCTACTCTGAATGTATAAAAAGTGTCAATAATAATGAAGCAGCAAGAATGCAACTCCAAATTGGATCATTCAAAGCACCATGGAATACCCTTTGTCCTGATGCCAAAAAGGACTTTTATTCTGTAATACAGATCATTCAAGGAAAGTTAGAATAGATGCACTGAAATAAGAAATAGAATTGAAAGAGAACACTCGATTACCTTATGAAATATCTCTCCATTGAAGCAGTGGAATTTTATTGGATATGGAAGGCATTGGATTGGCACAATAGAATATTTCATAAGGTATTATGTTGATGACATAATGCCTTGTAAGAACCAAAGAGAATACTAATCATACCCCTCTTATTCCAAATGACCTTACTTGGCAAGTTTTTTCTGATTGTCCAAGAAGGTGCATAGCCTTCCCACTTGCACCAGAATTTCATTTGCTTTATTTATGATAAAAAATACACATTTGTGTTTCAATACTGACGTACAAATATCAGTGCTTCAATATTAATAATTCCTCATCCTGCTTGTCTTAATAGATACCATGAAAAAGTTCCCTATGACCCTCCACTCCTTGAAAAGAGATCAAATACATATGGACTGGTATGTCCAGAGGATCTCCCATTGCCTGGACCCTCTTCACTTTGGACTCCTATTGTCTACAAGGCCATTGATCTCTCCCGTGTTACATCCACCAGTGATCCTGCCAACTCTGTGAGTGTCTGTTGACTCATTTCTTGATCCCCCTCATCATCCCCTTGTCAAGATTTGCTTTGGTAATGAGTTTCAAGCAAGGTACAGTAAACTACTAATTATCTGGGCCTCAATTAAATTATAGGAATCTCCTTTTTGAAATAATCTGATTTAAAGTACATTACCCACCCTTTAACCCTTTCAGCGTCACCCTGAGTACGTACTTGTGATAACGTTCGGGCTCAAAGAATTTTTTTTTCTCTTTGACGCATTTATTTAGTTCGACATCTGTTGATGAAAACGAGATGATTTAGAACTAGCCTATGCTAGAGAGTGCCGCTAGGTGCAATTTCCGCTTTAACATAAGGTTTTCGTTTTCATCATGGTTTGTAGTAGCAAGTATGGCATCCCATAGGAAAGTTGGTGATCATCTCAAGAGTGATTACATGGAAGATTTCTTGGAGAATGGTTCATTTTCAGACTTGTCAAGTGATGATAGTGATATTAATAATTTTGCTGAACAGTTTGCTGCTGGTGATCAGTCATCCGATTGTGAAAGTGATGGAATGATGATATCTTGGAAGTGATTGTTTCTGAAACGAACAAATACGCCTCTCAATGTCTGTTTTCTGCAGAGCTTTCAGAACAATCCCGGCTCAAACGATGGCATGAAACTTCTGTCCATGAAATGAAAATTCTCTTGGCTATGATCTTAATCATGGGCATCATCAAGAAACCCATTATAAAAATGCATTGGACAGAAGATGTGCTTTTGAGTACACCCTCGTTTGGGAAGATCATATCCATAAATAGATTTTATCTCCTCTTGAAGTTCCTCCACTTCTCAGACAATGAGAAACAAGTTCCTGGAGATAAACTCCATAAAATCAGGGCAGTACTTGATCATTTGAAGACTACATTTAGAAGCATCTATGAGCCTGAAGAAGACCTGGCTGTCAATGAGTCACTCATGTTGAACAATGGACACTTGCATTGGAAGCAGTACATACCGAATAAGACAGCAAAGTGAGGAATCAAGTCCTATGAATTGTCAGTCTGTTGGCAAAGCCAGAGGTTACATTGTGGACTTCAATGTCTACACTGGCAAAAGCAATGAGCCATCCAACCTACCTGTCAGCGAAAAGGCAGTCCTGGACCTCTTGGACTCATCAGAATTGAGAGGAAAGGGAAGAAAAATTTATATGGACAGATTTTACTCCAGCCCAAGCCTGTTCAATAAATTGCTTGATATTGGTTTCAATGCTTGTGGAACGGTGCAAGCAGGAAGAAAGGGCATGCCGAAGGACCTAAAGAAAACAAAGCTGAAATGAGGTGACGTAATCACAAGATGCTGTGGTTCGCTGATGGCTCTCAAATGGAAAGAAAAGAGGGATGCATGCATGTTGAGCAATTTTCATGATGCCACTGTTGTTGAAACTGGGAAAGAGAACAGAACAACAAAGGAGAAAGGAAAAAAACCCCACGTAGTGCTGGAGTATAACATGAATATGGGTGGGGTTGATGTGTCGGATCAGATGGTGGATACTTATCCATGTACCAGGAAGACAATGAAGTGGTACCACAAGTTATTTTGGCACATGATTGATATATGTATATTCCAGGCATACAAGATAAGCTGTATCAACGACTCCAATGAGCAAAGGGCATTATTGGATTTCCGCCCCAAGCTCATCAGGGAGATGATTGAAAAGTACAAGGGGAAGGAAATCCTCTTGCCCAGCCCTGGTACAGCAACAAGAAAGAGAAAAAGAGAACTTACATTGTCTCAGATCCATATTCTTACACATATTCCACCAACTGCAAGCAAAAAAAGCCAACAAGATGCTGCAGGGCATGCCCAACCAGAAGAGAGACACGCTTTGAGTGTGTGAAGTGCGGAAACATTCCCCTTCATCATGATGATTGTTTCTGAAATTGGCATTCATAACAAATCTCCGTGAAGAAGCTACATGAAAGTTTGTCATTAGTGTATAAAATGAAATTAAAGTATTTCATGAAAGTTTGGTGAGTTTATATTCAATAGCTTTAGCATTGCTAGTACTTTCGGCGATTGTCTAAAAAGAAGTTGGACACCGTGGGGAGCGCACATCCATCTGGGAGGGATGCCGAAAGGGTTAAAATTATACAATCAACTCTCAGTATAACAAACACTGATATAACGGAAAACTGGTTATACCAAACTGTACACCATGCCTTTCAGGTAACTCCTCTGCCTGTAGCTTTGTGGTGGTAGATCTTATGAGCAAAGCAGCAGTGTGGTATCAAATTTGCTGCTGATATCGTAGTCACCTAAGTGCTCCTATAATTTTGCCTGAATGGCACTACCAATGTATGGGTGTACCTAATCTTGCTGAAACACAGTGTTGTGGAATCTGCCTCTTTGCCATCAAGCAAGGGTTACTGTATGCTTCAACATGTGCTGATAGCAATTTGTTGTGACCATGTTGTAGCCCTGTGATATGTTCTGCTCAAATAACAGATCTAAGCATGAAATTGCTAGTGAAACTGTGTCACACAGTCACTGTGGATCATTGAAGAGGCTGGGGTTTGACGATGTGTGGTTCTCTTGTTACCTGTTCTTCAGTTGTCTCTGTTGGCAGCTCTGTGTGTTCTAAACAATAAACATTCTTTGAGCTGGTTTATCTAATGCACATGGTTTTCATTCCAAATGAATAGCAGATGAATAAAGGAGCATCAATAACCAGGGACTTTTTATATTTTTTCATGTATATTCAGTCGAAATTTCCCTTGGTTTACATAAACCAGAGTCTGCAAGGTATGACAAAAAAAAACAATGATTTCTAGTGTATCTTTTGATTGCTTAAATCACATATCACAAAATGTGCTGTGAATGAAGCATACCTTCATTTATTGGAAAGTCAAGAAGGCTGCCAAAATTATTGATTCAAATCAAAGTTATTAATGATATTTTATGACAAATCTGACACTTGAAATTGACAGTTCCTACATAAAACCGAGGGAAATTTTGAATAGCTTTGAGAAAACTTTACTGGATTGATACTCATCACTGGTTCATCTGCTATTCATTGTGAATAAGTTCATGAAAACCATCTGCAAGAGACAACCAGCCCAAAGAACGGATTCAAATGTAAAAAGAGTTCAACGTGGCCTTGATGACCTGGAGGGACAGTACTCAAATGTGTCCTCCATTCCCCTTCCAGGAGCTCTTATCCATTCTCAATTTCTAACTTCCTTTCAATATTTACTGATGGTATCACTTCAGCTTGACTAATCCAGATTAAATTTTGAGAATCAGTTGGAAACATGCATATACGGGATGGGCCAAAAAAACAAAGCTGTCATTTTTGGTGAGTTGTCAATCTCTTTCTAGGCAGCCGATTTTAATTAAAATTGGTAGACTTATAGGGTGACACAATTGGAGTTTTTATACCAAATTTCAGCTTCCTGGCTCAAAAATTATAAGAGCTGTAATTATTTTCTGATGGCCAACGACAAAATGTGCTGTCAAAAATATCTATACACTCAAAGGTTTATTGACCAAGCCATTGATCTGTGGTGTCCCAGACTAGAGTCTTGTGTTCAACAGAATGGAGGGCACATTGAGCACCTTTTCAGTTGAAATGAACTTGCTTTAACCAAATTGTGTGCTTTCGTGTTCAGCATTTGTGCATTTGTTTTTGTTCTGTGTGTTTGCTTGTTTGTTTTTTGTCAGTTGTGAAAGATTTTAAGCTGAAAGAAAAAATGAACACTTACTTTTTTGGTGAAAAAATGTAAATTAAATGCCAATCTCACAGTTTTTGGAATTTTTATTTGAAACTTGGAACACAAATCCTAATTGAGTCACACTACGTGTCAACTGAATTTCATCAAAATTGGCAACCTACAGTCAGATTGACAACTTACCAAATATGATAGCTTTATTTTTTTTTGGCCCACCCTGTATAACCATGAGACTGTCCATATGATCTTTCCTGCTCAGAAATGGAGCTTCTGCTTCAAGACCAAAGATACAAGCATGAGAGGATACAAGGAATGTGGGACTCACATTGGCATTGTACCAAGCACTGAATGTGTCCATCTGAATCTAAATACATGTCGGAGTTTCTTGTTCCCCTCACCTCCATCAGGATCATTTTCTAGGAAGCCTTGTAAAAGAGAAATGTAAGACCAGAGGGCATCTTCTATTGTAGAAGGAGCATGGTCTGTATCAGGCAGCAACTTCAAGAGCCGATTCCTTCCATCTCGTAGCTCACTGTACATGAATGGAGTGCAAGATTCAGTGGATTCACAACCTAATACTCCTGAAGAGAGATCAGCTGATTTTAGACATGGTCTAGAACTCAAGATGCTGGAAAAGACCAGCCTTCAGCTATGAGCTTCACTTTGCATAGATGCTAGGAAGAACAACTTTTTTGAAAGTTGTTCTTCATACTAAAAGTATAAGGTTGGGATAAACCCAGATAAGTGGTTTACTGCTTTTTGGTGGAAAACTATGTGGAATAGATGTTTGCTGCAGGTAAATATGCTTGCCTGGCAAAGCCTTAAAACTATCCACTATATGATGGAATAATACCACTTTTGAAGATTGTCTGAAAAGTTCTCTGTATTGTGCGTTAGAGCTTAAACACCATTACTTGAGTGTTAACTCAAGTAATGGTGTTTAAGCTTTTCTAAGTTGTGCTCATATGCAATAGCTTGTCTGGGCCAAATTTCTGAACAAAAGAGACAATGTGAATGGCCACAATCATGCCTTAGCTTTGGTCACTATGGATGCCAATGCTGTTCACATTGTTTTGAAGGCATGACATCAACATATTGGTCAGGTTTCACTTGTTGAAGGGTCCAAAGAAAAACCATCAAATTTTCCTGACTGCTTTGGAGAATTAATCATCTTGGAGCAGTTCATGCACACACCCCACCAAGCAGAGAGCAGCCGACCAAAATGAGGTTCATTTTCAACACAGTCCTATTATTCTTTGATGGCCATAGCTCACTTTCAGGGAGTCTCATACCATGGCAAACAATCCCTCAAAGCACTCTGGACATTTTCATGGATTTCTTTTGGAACCTTTATCAGTAGCAGGGGGAACTTGACCAGCAAGCAAATGTCACACATCACATAGGATTTGCAAACAGAAGTGACTTCCATTTTGATCAAAACCAAAACTCATTTTTTACCATTCTTAATGTCTTATTTTATACAAAAATTTGATTCAGACAAGCTATTGTATATGAATGACAACATAGAAAAACCTAAATGCCACTGCTTGAGTGCTACTCTCTCCATTGCACAATGCAGAAAACTTTTCAAGAAACTTTCATAGCAGGAAATCCTGCTGCAGGCAATATACCTGACTAGCAATATTTCCCAATGCAACAGATCAGAGTAAAAAAAAATATAAAAGGGTATATAAAATGGCTTCCTCAAAGCATATGTATGAAAAGATTGAATTGCAAGCAGAAAATCTGAATTGCCTGATCTGCCAAGTAGAGGCAATAAAAATACCTCATATATCGGAGTGCATCTATGACAGGGGTTGGGAAGCTTTTTGGCCATGTGAGCCATATTAAGATTGAGCTAAGTGTTTGTAAGTGAAAGATTTTCAGAACAGCATAATTTTCCCTGAAGTTTGCAATAGACATATGGATTCTTTGATATGTGAGAAAAATGAGGATGAACCATGATTTTCAGCCATGACTTGATGAGCCAAACTTATTGGCTCATGAGTCAAATTTGGCTCATGAGCCATAGGTTCCCGACTCATGATCTAGGACATTAATGAGATGATCCAATCTCTTCCACCCTTCAAACAGAATGATCATCTCTAGCCATAATGCCTGACACCTGAGAGTCTTCAACTCAAGTCAAGCCTCATGTTGCAAAAAGGCAAAGGAATAGGCTATTCATAGGCCAAAATCAAATCTTATGCCTTGCTTACCTGCACAGCTTCACAGCCTGTGGTTCTGCAGCAAAGAGAGGTAGATGAAACTCTACTGGAGCAGTAGCTTTGAATGGATTCCTGTGAAACCAGTGTGCCATCTATTGCAAGGAAAATGATTTTTTAATGAAAAAAAAAAAAGATATAATGGTTGCTTTCTAAGTAAACTCAGGACTTCCAGCATCCCATGCATATAGTGATTTCGTGATGAATTTGTACAACCCTATAGGGGTACTGGTGCTACTGGTATTCTGACTCTAGAGACATCTACCAAATATCAGTTCATATTATATCTAATACCAGGGGAAACAATTAGTTCTACTAGTGCCAGCAGGCCCAGAGGAAACAATGGTTTGCATTATAAAGAAGTGTGTACTCATTGTGAAACAACTGTAGTGCATGCTCACAGTGGACACAAACCGAGGAAAGATCAAAGCTATCTCTTGGCAAACTCCAGAGTCCCAAGTGAGTCTCTGTGACTTTGACAGGCATATGGAGGACTTCTTGCCCCAGCTTAACCCTTTTCCTGGCAGGGATATTTGAACATTTCAAGAACATCAATGTAATATTACGTCAACACCAGTGAAAGGGTTAAATTCATTTTACAACAGTGTGCCTATGACCTACTTGCCTGCATGTGATTGCATTTAACCTCACATATCAAGGTCAATACTGGTTCAACATGGAAGGAAAATAAAGGCCAATTAGCATTGATCATACTTTGACATTGAATTCAATGAAAAGTACATTTAATAAAGAGCTTCATTAGTCATCTCTCCATTTAACAGAAATTATGATTCAAATCATACTTTGAGTGACACTGACTATCTCATGCAAACTTTTTTTGTCTTAAATATTGTCAACATGGTATACTTCGATTTTCTACTCTTAGCAAACAAATTCTGAACTGTTTGGATGTGTTGTTCAAAATGCTATAGCAGTTGAGAGATCAACAAGGTGGGTGTTAGGATCTGGACACTTGAAAAGTGGTCAGTTGCTTAAGTGGATAGGCATGCAAAATTGCAAGTGTCACACCAAATTTTGTCTGATTGCCTATTCATCTGAACTTCAATTGACCTTCCAATCACCCCAGGCCAAACCTTCTCACTGTTCTTCTCATTTGTTCCTCAACTACTGAACCATGCTGCATAATAGTAAAACAGCCTAGGATTTTATACAATAGGAAATCCAACAAGATTGTAATATCTAAAATATATTTGTATGTAGTGCTCACTCATAAAATTATCAGGTGAATAAGGACCTTTTTTTTTTAAGGCATTGCATCAACTTCTCCACAAATTGAATTTCATAGTAGGATCAATGGTTTGTGCCACTTAGTAGAGGGTAATGTCAGCCTCTAGAGATAAGACAACAGAATGCTAAATTAACTCTTGCATATGATATCTCATGACAAGCCAATCCTTTACTGAAGGCCTACCAATTGTTCTTCTGACAAACTCTTAGAGAATGTATCAATATTTCAAAAGTTTTGCGATCTCCCATAGGCCTATACCCACAAGGCAATACATGTAAGTAGGCCTTGAACTTTTTCCCTAGAACAGTAATAGACTGGAACAACCTCACTCCAGAGAATAATTCCACTAGTACAATAGTATTTCAGAAATATCTCTCTTGACAGAGCCCAAACAGAAAATTATTGCCTCTCATCACTCCACTCTGGGACCAATAAAAGATTCCCACAAGTCTTAGTTACCAAGTTAAAAACTTTTTACAATGTTTTTCCCCTGACTTTGACACTCATCCATGAGGAATATCCCATGCATGAGTGCTAAACCAAAGTGAAAAACACTCTTATATGGTAAGAGGTGTGTCTATAATGTGACACTCATATCTGGCCACATGTCTTCAGGAAGCATAAATCTGTTCTTAGGCTTGGCTAGGAGATCCATAAAAAGCTCATAGGACCCTGACACCTGTTCTGCAAGTCCTCCTGCTGCAAGAAATCAGTGCTCCATATCTCCGACTAAACATTTTGTGTACTGAGGCTATTCGAGGGTGAGGGGACGCATGGGAAAATATAGGCTTTGTGACTATTGCTTGGGATGCTGACATTACCTATCTAGTTGGGGTTTCAGTTGTATGATGGTGTGCTATCGCGTTAGAGTTATGGCAACTCAGTCTAATTAAGGGTAAACCTAATGCTAGGCTTAAACCTAGCCACACTATAAAGATATGTCAAGGCCTACCTACGATATCTACCTATCATTGGGATTACTTGAGTCCGAACAAGTCAAACGTTTGGTTACCTTATAGTACGTAGGCGCACTAATGTCGAGCTAGCCTATACCTTACACGTTGTGCCACTGTCATTGGTAAGAGCATTAACGTTAGCATACAATTAAGAATAATAGAATAAATATTCCCAACTGAGCCCCTGCTGACAGATTGACACAATTGTTCCAGGTCGGGTTCGTCTCTAGGTTGACTAGGTTATGTGCATGTGCAAGGCTCGTGTTGTGTGGGTCGCCATATGAATATCACATTCGACTGTTACGTCATGCAAATCGTCTGCCTTCCGCTGTCCAGTAGTCTCCTCTGTTGCGTCGTGACTACTGTGACAACCGACAATTAAATACGCCCAAACATTAATCACTTCTACAGTTTATTGAGCTTGGCCTGGAAAATTTGGTATGTTCGCGCTCCTGGTCAGCTCGCTACATGATGTTACTTTCGCCAAGTTCCCATAATCGAATTATCTTTGGACTGAAATGTCATAACCACACTCACCAATGGCATCACCGATTAATTTCAACAAACGTCATTGACAAATCGATACCTTCTGTTTGAAGCACAAGTGTCACCAGTAGTAGTAACGTGCCGTTGGGTACACTTGCTACGATGGACACTGGGTTTTTCCCCCATATGTTTATGTCTGGACTTAACAATAGTATTGTATCAGACTCAGATGTGTAGTTAATGGACTCGAATGTCAATGCGTGGGAAGAGCAATACAAAAGTACTGTTTGGCAGGACTTAAGTTCCATAGCAGCACTCATTACCAATAAGAGGTCTCTCATAGTCCACCACAATGTTTGATTTCATTGTTTTATTCTACAAAAATTACAGCACTTTAGAAAATGGGGGGAGGGGAGACAGTTTCATTTTCTGCCAAAACACCTTATTTCCACATTTTGCACTTTTCTATCATCATCAGACAACCTTCACGTACAGCCACATGCAGCCAACAGGTGGCAAAAGTGCATCATTAAAGCCAGTCTAACTATAGATTCACCCAAAATGAATTTCTCAACATGGTTGCCCAATCATTGGCTATTGCAAGGACTGAAAAGATTTTCTTTTCTTAGAAAATAACTACTTAGGTAAAACAAGAATTTTTTCGTTTTTTCATCATTCAGAATCATTCAGTGAGTTTATGAGTTGCAGTGGCAACAGTTGATTTCTTATTCTTTCTCCAAGTCAGAGAAATTGCAGACAAGGAGATCTCAAATTAGTAAACCTTACAGGTTATGGAAGCTTTTAAAATCAAGTTGTACTCATTTGAGATTCTTTGCTCTTCCTGGAGTCAACAACATCATCAGGTTTCACAGGGAGGTACTTTTTTGCATCCTTGCCTTCTAGTAGTTTGGTGAATGAGGCAGAGGAGGAATTATCATCAAATATCTGATTTAGAGTGTCTTCTGAGAAAGAGAGATGAAGATCTGGAGTTCTGAGACCATCACATGTTCCTTTGTCATCTGATGTACTTGTACCCGTACTGCACATGTCCTGAGGGATGTCCATATCACGAATTAACTGCTCAAAGTCCACAATGGATGAATTGCTGCATTCACTTTGATATGATTCACAAGGCAATCGCCCTTCAACATAAGCATTGGTGACTGCCTCAATTTCTGAATCAAGAGCAGGTTCTTTTTCTGAATCCTGCAAGATGTTCTCCACTTCTGTCAAAGTCAAGAGTGAGCCAAGTCCATGATTGTTGCTCCCAACCTGGATCCCCTTTTCAGAGAATGCTGAACAATTTCCCTGAGCCTTCCTTGAACCAGGACCAGAATCCAAAGAGACCAGAGGACCAGAAGACTGAAGGTGGGTCGAGGGCCTTGATGAAGGTGAGAGATATGATTCAGATGAAGGAAGGAGGAGAGGGTCACCACTCCCAGGCCTCCCAGACCCATAACACTGTGCCTCATCATGCTCACTGTGTAGCACACTAGCAGCTGGAGACCAACAGACTTTGGCTTCACTAACATGTACCTGCTCACCATTATCCTGATGAGAGGATGGAGAATGATTTACTGGCTGGAGATTTACTGGCAATGAATTATTGGCTTTGAGCAATGAAGTGTCAGAAACTTCATCTTTCTTCTGGTCACAGAGTGATGCTTTCAGGTTTGTTGTATCCTGATCACCAGGACCAAACGAGGTATATGAAGTAATGTCTCCATTTGTACCAGGGAGTTTCAGGTGTTCGCGAACCAAGTCAATCACCTCATTCATTTCACATACTGGTCTATATGTCCCCTTTGGCATCAGCAAGATATCTGACAGGACTTCACTTTCCACCTGAAAAAAATCAGAAGATCATCTTGGGAGTATACATTTTATTTATTCAAGTCTATACAAAGAGTCAATGATGAACTTAGCCTACCTTGAGAGTTTTCTCAGGAGAAAACTGATCATTGCCTTCACAGAGAGCAAAGGAGAGTTCTACTGCATTTCGAATGGCCTGAACAAGGATGATCAGGTCTTGGAGTGCATCCCACAGGCCTCTTAATGGATCCTTTCCCTTAGTAGAGTAGATGAACCAAAGGCCAAGGTTCAACCGACTCAGTAGACATGGTATTACTCTTTCCTCCAATACAACTGCATCACAGCTTTTTAGGAACTGGAAAAAGCAAAAAATAAAGGATAGAGGTCAATTTTTAAAATAAAATCTACAAGGGTGATGATGGCAATGTGCCTTATCAGTACAATGATTTATTGCTAAATATACTTATACAATTTGAATTTAATTCTATGAAATATACATGATCACAAAAAAGTTCTGCCTATATGGGATGCAAAGGATATCATCCATGATTTATTGAGAGTCCCGTTGAAGATGAAGCACAAATCATCATAAATTGTATAGCAAAGGATAGTTATATAAACTGTGATGTTGTTATGGCAGAGGATAACAAGCATCACAAAGAAGCAATAATGGTTGACTGCAAAAGTGGATTAAGATATCAGATATTTTGATAGCTCATAATGATGCCTGATGATGATGCCAAATTTAACCAACATCAATTGCAGCAGCTGGAACGTTGACTCTGGGTGCTTCTTTCAGGGAAATGTGTTGACTTGAGTGGACTCATCTCAAACACTTCAACTCTTCACTTTCTTTCATCCCTCAAAAACAAAAAGGGAGCTGCTTTTCAAAATGGGGGATTCTCATTCCCCTTATTCCAAAGAGTTTTCCTCATAACACCTCCAAAAAATCTCACATCAGGTTTATGTCATTACCAACATCAGGAATGCAATTGTGTGCATAAAAGAACCATCTTGATCTCTCAATATTCTCTAATGAATGATTTGGTAGTGCAAGAATGACAGAGGAACTCACAGACATGAGATCATTTTCAGAACCTTCACCAGGAGCATTTTCACAACTTATCTTCCTCTTCTTTCCAGCTGAGGATATACTGCAATCATCCTCTTTCTCCTTCCCTCTATTCTTGTCAGGATCTATGAAACAGAAGAATAAGCCAAATGCAAATGGAAAGATCAGCAACGTTTTTGTGTTATAAGCTGCCCAACAATGAAAAAGGAAATGCATTATACCAGGTGGCCCAAAAAAAGTCCTGAACTTCATGCATCTGCAGACAGGACACCATGGTAAGCATTGTCTTGAAATTTTCAGTGTCATACCCAATATATGTAGGTGGTTTTAGGAAAATTTCAATGAAAGTCTTTGCTCTTAAAATGAGTAAGAGCTCTTTCTGTACAAGTCATCAAATGTGCAAGTGCGTCTGTGCATTTGCCAGCGTGCTGCTTTGGCTGGTGATTGTCAGAGGACACATCCATGGAGGACCCATCAAACACTTCTTTGAGGTCAGATGTGTTTCTTTGCACACTTGCTCTTTTGACATTGCACAGGAGAAAATTTGTTACTCACATACATTATTACCAATTTCAATTACATTTTTGTTACATTACATGCAAATATTGCATGTAAAAGCCATTAGATTTTCTGTTGATAACTCATTTGGTACACCTTTTGCAGGCATGTAAGTTTAGGACTTTTTTTTTTGACCACCCAGTATATGACACATTTTTAAAAGTGAGATATTTTTTTAATGAGAAGCACATAGTAGGAAATCAAAACCTTCCTCATTGTCCTCACCCTGCACAAGCAGCAACAATATTAGAATTTTTGCATGAGCTGTGAAAATTAAACTTTTTGGCATTATGATAGATCACAATTTAATTAACAAGATAATTTAAGAAAAATGACATTTAAAATTCTCGTGTCTGCTTCTTAGCTGTACAGAACACACCTGCAGAGTACCCCATTGGAGAAAATAGTTTAATTTCAGGACCAGGAAGAAGTCAGTGATTCATTGAGTGACTGTATTGATATCTTACATGAGAAAGATTTATGCAGCAAATAATGTTCACCATATGCCCCATGGGGAAGTACTCTACATAGTGTGAACCTAATTATGCTTTGAGATTGTCACTGTAAACCTGATTCCTATTTCTACTTACACATGAGAACAAATATTTATCATGAAGATTTTATAGTGAGAGACATGGTACTTGACCCACTTGAAGTTCTTGTTCTGTTCATTTTCCAGGAATTACTGGAGGCACAACCTTATTTCCTCCCATGACCTCCATCCTCTATCTATGCAATCTTAAATAAAACCTTGTCTTCCTCTTGCCTACTTGCATTCTCTCTATTTTTCCATGTATGTTTACAAGACTTTCCAAACCTTCACAAAACCATTGTGCAGGAAGGAATGCCCATGTAGTCTGCACTTTGATTTTTATCTCAAAAGAATATAAAATGAGTACCTCCATTGCAAGAGCTTATGGGTAATCCAAATGTTTTCAGTCATCCTTTATCTGACAACTATTCCTCCACAACTAAGATAGCACCTTATATATCATGTAAGTGACATTCCTTAAGTTTTGGCAGTGTAAAGCCATAGTATCATCTTGAGTCTGGTATTCATGATACTCAGACTGCAATATTATTTTCAGCACTGAATTGATACTTCAGGTTAAGTCATGAATGCAAAAGAACTTCCTTATAGCAAGTCCTGATTTGTGAAATGGAAATCACCATAAATCAAGTTTGGCACAAAGTAATTGCTTCCAAATCATGGTTTGCTGAAAAGGAGCTTTTTGCACATTCAAGAGTTGGCTTGAGGTATCAAACCAGTAATTTATTAATGCAACAGTTCTCAAACTTTTTATGCTATGCCCCTCCCTAGTGACCCTGGTTCAGTGTTGTGCCCCCATAGCAACCCTGGCTTGGTGTTGTATCCCCTTTCCCTCTGAGAGGAGTACCTTGAAATTGCAATCTATTTCCTATTTTTTGAATCATTGCATGAAAAAAGCATCTGTGGGGTAATTTCAATGTTTCAGGGACAGGGTCACAGCTAGGAAACAGAATATCATTGACATAATTTCATGAGAACAATGCTCACATGTTTCCAGGCTCACAAACGATCAAATCTGGACTGGACGATGACAATAATGGCACAAATCTCATTTTCAAAGACTTGAAAGAGAAATGTCATTGAAAATTTTGTTCTGCCCTGAGAACTCTGTCTCTTCTGCATCATTCAGTTTCTGCAAGAATTTATTTAGACAGAACAAGTGCAGGGATGCTACATTCATTGAGCATTCAAGTTACAGCTCAAAGGGAAGCACGACTTATTGGTCATCTTCATTCAAATCATAGTAAATCATCAATGGAAATGTACACCCCTTGAAAAAATTCATAGAATTTAAAAGTCTACCCCCTCGAATTACTCCCATTTAGTCTTGTACTCCTGGAGAAAGTATCAGAGAGGCCCAAAGGAATGTGACATTTTTACAGTAAAAAAAGTTAGATGAACAAAATATTCCATAGTTTTTGAAATTGCACATTGAGGTAGATAATAAAAAAAAGTAACTCCCATGACCTGTCACACCCCCCTGGGACCCTCTCGCACCCCTCCTAGGGGTAGCACCTCCAGTTTGAGAACCCCTGTATTAATGAAATGTAAAAAATCTGACGACTTATAAAAGCATTTCCCGAATGTTAAGAAATGAAAACTCTTAAATAAAAATGCTCATGTCATAACCTGGTTGAACACATGATGGTGCATGTTTGTTCTTCACAAATGCTTCATGGGAAGAAAAAGCCTGAGGATCTACACCATGATCTTCCAGTTTCCCATGGGATGGATGCAATTGGTAATGCTTCCACAGACGTCTCATTGTCACATATGGCCGTGCACACCCATGGCATTTCCACTTCTTAATATCTGCAAATAAAAACACCAAGGTAACACATATCCATGAATAACTTCAAAAAGAGGCAATACAAAAGCATATTGCCATGTCCACATTATTTTTATACTTTCACTTTCAAAAGTTCAGTTGAAATTAAGAAATTTTAGCTACTGCTGCTGCTATGGCGACTAAAATGGCATTGAAAGAATGGCAACAGGCCATTGAAAGAAATGGTCTTGAAGACCCTTCAAGGAAATGAGGAAAATGACCAGACAAAGTTGATAGTAAGGATTTAAGCATGAGGCCATAATGTTTGGCTATGTAATGGTGGCACATGACTCTGATTGGGACATACTCATTCGTTCAGTTCTTTGCTTGATTCAATTGAGAATTTCAACATTTATTCTTCTTAACTGCTTATTCTAAGAACAAATTTACAAATCATTTTTCTGAGCTTGAAAGTCAATATGACATCAAGGGATGTGCTAAAATCAGAAATTCTGTCAAAAAAAGGGTACTAATCAACAGCCCACTTCTTTTCATGTGCGAATCCTTTTTCAGATGTAGGACTTCTCAAGATGGCATAATATAGGGAAAACATACAAGAAATATAGTGGTGTATTCAGTTGTGACCTGGGTCATGACTCGAGGTTCATGATTCTCAGCAGGTGCAGTGCTTTTTAAAAACTATTATACCCAGGATTGATGACATTGACAAGAGATGTCATCATGGAGTAAAATTTATTTTGAAGTCTCAATGCAAGTGTTGAACTGAGACCCTTGAGTCATGACTTGGGTCACAACTGAATGCACCCAGGATCAGCTAGGAAATGGCTGACTAATGGTATGTCAGATCACAACTAAAGCCCATATGAATTTCACTAATTATTTTAGCATTTTTTTAACATAGAAGACAAATTATCAGGTGAATGACTTGAATCCCATGTTATCCCATCTTTGCCTATGTTACTGATAAAACATGGCATTGTACAGATACAATGAGGCTGTCATGGTGCAACAGGCATGCAAAAATGGGTGTGACAACATAGAAACTAGGAAAACCATGATTCATCAACATATCAGTGTCACATCAGTGCTTTGTGACATCGTTGGTCTTAACAGGCATTGCCAGACTCAATGAGAAGCAATAGAAGCAAAACTTGCAGATCACCCTTAGATTTATTAGTCAGGCTTTTGCATTCCTTTTCCCCTTGTTTGCTCATCAGCCTGGTTTAGCTCAGGTGTCCCCTCAGTGAAAAGACACTGGAAGGCATAAAACAAGTTTTCTTTCCCATTCTTATCCAACTGCAGTGGCTTCTGGCCCCTTTCCTCACATGAGACTGTGCAGCAGCACTTGACATGACCTTACATCAAGTAGGCTCTGCACCCAATTCAATGTCCTCATTCATAGTTATTTCTTTTCTTCCTTTCCTCATTACTGTTAATCAGTGGCTACATATTTTGCTGATACTTTGATGCACTCTCAATTGTTTTAGGTAGATGCATAAATATTTTGGAAATTGCCAAAGTAATACCTATAAGCCCACACCCATCTGATAAAATTCACCTCTGCATTTTTATATTTTTTGTTCACTATCTCAACAACCATGTTTATTGACATAATACACCATTTTAAATTTAAAAATTGAGTGGTGGAGAAGCAGCAAGTAGGCTATATCTCCCCATCTTTTCTTCATCAATAGACTTAGACTGATGCAATAGTCATTGTGCATTGTGTACTGAATCAGAGATAAGAGCTTTCTAATGAATTTTGACTTTTAATTTGGCTTGATTTCAGCACAGAACTCTGAGCAATCAAAGTTATATGAAAGGACCACATATGTGCAAGGAGAAAGGGTAAGAAATGTTTCTCTTTGGGAATGGAATAATATGCACATTGGGAGGGGGGAAATGTTCACTGACCAACTTCCAGCTGAAACACCTATATAGTAATTAGTTTTTGCACAGCACTTATGCACACTACTTCCCAAAAGCATATCAGAACCAATCATGAATGATAGCATAAAACAACTTCATTCATCCTAAATATTCCATCCAATAGATGTAAATACACATACATCCCCACTGAGAAAGCAGTTAGCAAAGGTCTGAGGAAGAAGAGAATGATTGCAAGAAAACTGAAAAAGATGATACACACTGTAGGCCTGTGTCTACCAATGGTTTCAGATGAAATAAAAATGCAATTATAAGATATGCTGAAGGCTGTTAGGTAGTTGGTTAAGAGAGGTTGGTTAGAAATATATAGAACCATAACAATCACCCAAGTTTTATTTAACCCTTTTAAACCCTTATCCTGCCTTAATGGCAGGTAGTTTCTAAAAATGCCAAGCCTTTTTCTTATATTCCAATGCTTCATGAAAAAAATCCTAACTCCTCAAGCATACAACATAGCGATGCAATTCTTTTTTAAAATTTACTCTAATATCCTGAGTATTGGAATGCTGAATTCAGAAAAATTCAGACTTGGGAGGTAAATGCCCTGGGGGCACATAATTTGGAGGAAGATGTTTTCAGATATATATATTTTTTCTTAGTCAAATGGAGAGGCCTGGAAAGCTAAAACTTGGCACAAGACTAAGATACTGTGTTCAGAAAAAATGTCACTTCAGATACATTCCCTGGGGATATATCTTTTGGGAGTTGACCTTTGCAAATAATTTATTTGTCCTAGCAAATCAAGCAGAACAGAGAGGTGGAACCTGGGCACATGCACAACTGACATGATGTTGAGTTCAGGAAAAGTACATATTTGTGGTACATTCCCTTAGGGCACAGCTTTGGGGTGGGTCAGCTTTTCCAAAGATATTTTTGCCCCAGCAAAAAGGGCAAATGCATAAGGCTACAACATGGTGGGTGTGGGGTTCTAAAAGTATAGATTTCAGTAAAAATATTATTTTTTAGTTAAAACCCCTCAGGGCACATTTTTTGTAATAGGCATATTTTCCAGAATATTTTTCAATCCAACAAAACAGAGAGATAAAAAATTGAAACTTGGCTCAGAGGCACATGTTCAATTGCTGAGAGCAGAAAAAAATCCTACTTTTCTAATATGTCCCCTCAGGGCAGATTATGGGAGGGAAGTATTTCAATATTTATTTTCTGCTCTGACAGAAAGGGGCACATAAAGATATTTGAAGTTAAACACACAAGAAATCATTGGAATAATGATTTTGATAAAAATCTCTGTTACATCCCCTAATGGCACATATTTAGACAGGGATGTACTTTAAATAAGTTTTTGTCCCTTCAAAAATGAATTAATGAATTATCACTATCCTATATAAAGGAGCACCAAAACTGCGACCATGGCAAGTTTGTTTACGGAAGGGCATGGGCAAACAAAAAAACTAGCTAGTACATCATGAGAGTGAGAGAAAGAGGACACACACACAACCATTCATCTTGATTGTCTCTGTGGACTTATTGTAAGATATACTTTTTTTTAAACAATTCATTAAGAAAAGTGGGCAAGTCTGAGTATTTGCCCACTACTATTACTACTCACAGTGTTAACTTCAAGCACATGAAATGTATATGGGGCATTTTGCAGTGCCCAATTCACCAGTTTCTGCTTCAATAGAAGTCAATGGTTGCAAAAGGGGAATGACTCGTACCTGTTTCATTTCCATTGCCTGAGGAGATGGCATCTGGGCATCTCAGAAGTTGACCTGATGGATTATCTTCAAGATCTTTCAAGTTCTGGACTAAGTGATGAGGCAGCTTTGATAAACGGCCAAATCTTGTCTGAGAATAGGCTCTTTGGCAAACCTTCCGCATGTCCTAGATTAAAAGCATGCAGATTCAATACATGACATCCTTCAATTGCCTGCACTTCACACTGTTTTGTTGGATGCAGAGTAAAGCACCCCTTCGTCTGAACCAGTACCCTTTTCATGACAGATCAAAGTTAACTTGCCCCTGCTCAAGCCACCCTCAACTGATTTGCTGTTTTGTTGCTGGTGCTTATCAGTACTCTGAAGTTATGCAGCAGAACTGAAATGTTCAAATCCAAATATAGTCTGCATATTGTACGTATTAATGTAACCCCACATAGCCTGGAAATTGAGACCAAGATAGAAGAAAGAGGGAAAAGCACCAGCAACAAAACAGAAATCAGTCTTGAGAGGGTGGCTTTCATGGTAATTACTCCCCAATTTGCCTGTGCTGGTTTTTTGGCCTCCAGCTCATCCCTGCACGAGATTGGTAAAACATGAAATAGACTGCAAATTGGGCATGACTCTACATCAAATCTGACATAATATTCTGAGACAACTCCTTGTTCTTCTTTCTTCCTATTAATGGCTGTCAATTATTATGCATTTTATGAATGTATTGCCAAACCATACTGATGCAATGATGGTTTCCAAAACTGCCATCAAGATAAGTCTAATTTAAGCAGTTATAATTAGCCTTTCTTAAACAACTAACATTATTTAAAGAAGGGCTGTTGGCTACAGTTTCTTTACTGACACTTAAAGCTATGATAATGCATAAAAGTAAGATGAAAAAATAAAAGTAACATTGGACACTTAACATATTTGAATTATGACTACCTGGAGAGTGTCACGACGTATCTTCTCTTTGACACATTCACCACTACAGGAAACTGAGTCACAGTCTTTGCAAGGTAGTTTAGTCCTCACTGACTTTGTATGAGTGGGAAGCCTTTGTTTTCTCAAACTGCCATTGCTCTTCTTGGGTGCTTCATTTTTTCCACCATTTTCTTCATGACAGACTTTGTTGGTAAGTGATGCTGGATCCATCAAGACATAAATTCCATTCATCTGTTCATTTCTCACTGTATCAGGTACACATATTGCAAACTGATTTTGAGTGTTCTGAATGACTTGGTCTATCACCAACACTTGGTTCCCCAACATCTGGATAGGAATCTCCAGCATTTTCAGTTTTTTTTCTTAAATTAATAATGAAGCATATACTAGTTTTATAAATGACTGATAGAGTAATTGATACTCTGTGAGGAAGAAGTAATGAGGTCTTCTTGTATAACACTCCTCAACCTGCAAAGGAGACAGATTTGATTAATTTGTAAAGCTCACAAGAAAATAATGACATGTCTTCGTCAACATAACTTAAGAATACCTCCATTCCAAAATACTACCTTTATTTTGATGTACCATGTATGAGGAAAATAAGGAATATAAAACTAAGAGCTTAGTAGGCATGTCTTCAGGTAGACTGCCAACTACACTTGACTAAAATTTTGTGCATTGCTTGCACACACGATAATCAAATTTTTGTATTACCAAGGAGTCTCTGATCTCTGTTACAAAAAAAAAGCAAGGGGGTAAATTATCCAAAAAAAAGTTGGCAGGCCAGAAATAACTACTAACATGGAAAGGGCATAACATTTTATCAGTTGAACTTGGAGAACACTGCTATAAGGTCTACCGGAAAGTTCTGTCCGTTTCTGGCACCTCTTAATTTAAGCGGCAGGCAGGGATGATATAAAGGGTCTATAACCCCTACTTGATACTAGTTTTTTCTACTGTACTTGCACTATCATATACACAAGTGAGCCCATTTTATCATTGGTTGTCCAACAACAACAGTGCCAAAAACATGTCTGTTGACAAAGTTCATTTGAGTCATTGCATTCTTTATGAGTATCAACAAGGGAAGAATGCTGCTGAAGCCAGTAGAAACTTATGTAAAGTTTTTGAAGAAGGTGTGGTATCTGACTGTACATGCAGAAGATGGTTCGAGAAATTTAAGAATGGAGACTTCAATCTTGAAGATGAACCACATTCTGGAAGACCATCTGTACTTGATGATGACATTCTTTGCAACATTTTGGAAGAAGACCCATTCTCAACCACATCAGACCTTGCAGAGAAGCTCTCAATACAGCCCAACAAACTGTTTCAGAACATATCCGAAAGCTTGGATTTGTTTACAAGTATCCAAGATGGATACCACATGAGTTGTCTGTTAAGAACCTGCAAGATCATCTGACCATCTGCTCTTCTTTGCTCTCCCGCTGCCAAACTGATCCATTTTTAGACCATTTGGTAACTGGAGATGAAAAATGGATCACATATGAAAATGTGGTCAGAAAAAGAGTCTATTGCCAGCCTGGACAACCAGCTCCATCAATTTCTAAGCAAGGATTGTCAACAAAAAAGAGAATGTTGTCAATATGGTGGGATATGAAAGGACCTATTCACTATGAACTTCTGCAGCGAAATGAGACAATTAATTCTGAAAAATACTGTCTCCAACTTGATGCACTGGCTGAGAAAATCAAGAGAAAGCATCCAGCTTTAGCCAATAGGAAAGGGGTTATCCTGCAACATGATAACGCTAGACCGCATGTTTCTTTGGCCACCCAGCAAAAAATTGTAGAGTTTGGTTGGGAAGTTTTAAGTCATCCACCATATTCACCTGACGTTGCACCAAGTGATTATCACTTATTTTTGTCTCTTCAGAATTTTTTGAATGGAAAAAAATTCAACAATGATGAAGAGGTAAAAAAGGCAGTTGAAGAATTTTTGAGTTCCAAGGACGAGACATTTTATAGAAGAGGGATTGAAAAGCTACCTTTAAGATGGCAAGAGGTTGTTAATAGCCAGGGTAATTATGTTGTTCAATAAGTTCTAATAAACTCTTGAAAAAGTGATTGTGTTCTATTATTCAAAAAATGGACAGAACTTTCCGGTAGACCTTATACATTGGGAATCACATGAGCAATCCTCGTCAAACAGGTCAGATAAGCGTTAATTAAAGTAATGGTGGCAAAAAATCTGCAAATACACCCACTGAAAGTATGGGAAAATATACCTAGTAAAAAGTATCTTATACCTATTCTTCTTTAGCCAATATTGTCAGTGCAATACTATGCATGCTTTGCTAATCCAATGAATGCCACTACATTAGGCTCATTGTCCTTTTAAGGGTCCTATACCCTCACCTTCTTGCAAGCACTGTTGTCATATTAATCAAACATTAAAGGTTAAATGCATTCAACTGATAGTTATTACACATGCTCTCAGTGCTGTGATGTGAGAAGCTATGGCATAAATTAGGCATAAGTCTACCTGCCTGTCAACTAGGCTATCACTATGAGCCTACTTTACAAGGGGGCTCTGCACAGTAGAGTATAAGTCTGAAATCATGGGATATATCCATTCAGGTTCATTGTATACCCTCTTTTAATAGAACAGTAACTAATAAGGCTTTTTCTTTTCCTTTTTTTCCTTGACTGCCAGGAAAAGGCATGAATTACACAGAGACAAACTTAAAAGATTGGGAAGAATGAAGGAAAACTTATTCCCTCCAGTTACTCATGTGCCTAAGAACATCTGGAAAAGGTGAATTCACAGAAAATGTCGTCCCTGACTATACGCGAAGGTAAAGAAATCGCATAAAAATGCAAAAATAAACTTCTTCCCACCATGTGATACCTTAGGCTTAGACTAATCGTTGGCGGCAGGAACACCGGGTACGGCAAAAAGTTGATAGCTTGTTTAGCAGTCGCAAACGTTCTCTCATAGTCAAGTACTTGGGCTACCATAACCATTCTCTTGTTGCCAACCGACAAACTGTTACTCACCGATTGACACTTTTTGAAACACAACATCAAGGCCTCAATTACAACTGAAGTTCGTGACTGGCCGCACGTCGGCTCGTAGGAGGCAGCCATCTTAACGAGACAAGATAGACCGATAATAAAAAAAAGGGTCTTGTCTTCAAAGTTTTTCGCCAAAAATGTCCGACAAATTTTAAAGAGAAGTCTGAACTTAAACCTGTGCAAAAGAGTAAGAATTATGTAGAATCACACCTCCAAAAGCAAGGAAGCGAGATTTCGATGCTTGGGGGCTCAATCAAAAATGGTAAAAATAAGAGACAATGCAGTCAATAGCAAACTGGGAATTATCTTCGAAAGGAAACTATTTTTAGTGTTTTTCACTTGAGTCAGACATTTTCCCATTTGACTTTGACACTCATGCAGGAGAAACGTCCCATACACGAGTGTCTTAGTCGAGTAAAAAATTTTCCAACACAATTGAAAATCACTTCGAGGAACTCACCATGAGGACTCAGTTGAGAAAGAAACCAAGAAGCTGTCCGTTCCCGAAAGGCCGTTTAATAAGTCAAACCCAGGTCAGAACTATTTAGGAAAAACACTCAGGTTCCCATTAGCATGTATGGAACTAGTCCAGTGGAGGGCACGAGGTTAATGAGTTTTCCTGTCAACAGTGGCGTATACGTGGTATTGGCTCAAGAGTCATGAGGGGGGAAGGGCGGCCTGGGTTCGGAAAAAAGCCACCCGGGAAAAAGACCCCCCAGAATTGCCAAAAGTGGAAGAAAGCCAACCGAGATGAAAATGCAAAAAGCCACCCAAGTGGTTACTTCGTAATTATTCATTTCTATATATTTATACATATCAGATAACTAAAGACATTCACTTCGCGATGTTGAGACACATTCACGCAGGGATGTGGCTGATCCACGTTTTTACTATTTAAGAGTGAACTTCCACCAATTATTCAAGTGACATTACTGATTTTTTTTCCATTTAGAATAAAACGATGGAAGATGCAAATCATCGCTCGATTGGAAACACTTCTCTAAATTTAGTTTTTTTAGTATTATTTTCCTAAATTCCTTATGGAGGGAAGGACTCTGTTCAACTATGAACATGGACTCATCTTAATGCAATGCTTGAACAGACTTGGGGGGGGGGGGATGAAGGTGGGGGCGATGGGCGGTTCAGGAGGGGTGGATTGAGGAGGGAAAATTAAAAAGAAAAACCTTACATGACCCCAGAGCAATTATTTCAGAACAAATTCCAAAAAGTGTTCATAGAGTGCAATCTTCTCATCCTGCAACACTGCCACAATCAAAAGATTCCCGGTTGGCCATACTATTCATTTTTTAAGGTATGTGCTGAAGTTGGACTTGTTTTATTTTTCATACCATTTCAGTGAAGTTGATCAAATTACATGACATCAATGTCACTACACAAACTCTGCACTTTTTCCTTCGACTGTACAATGGTCATCTAGAATTTTGTAGAATGTGAATTACCTTTAAGAAGGCTCATATACAATGAATTTATGATGGTATTGCATATGCTGGTGGAAGGATATGGGAGGGATATGAATAGGGATAGGGATAGGGGGGATCGTAGTTGAGAACTGCTGGAAATCCTCGTGGGGATCATGCATTGGATTCCATTTCAAGTGATGCAATTTTAAAGAGGTCGGTTGCTGCACTGACTGAGATTTGGCTCTAAAAAAAATATATATATATATATATATGTATATATTGTGAACTTTGGGATTTGAGAAACGGGACAAACAAAAACGTCTCTATCTGCCCTCCCATCTGGGAGGCCAGAGCCTTGAGGCATGTCTTCAGGTTCCTTTGCCGAAATTAGAAAGCTGCTCGGTCGTCCGAACCCGCATGGCTGATGTGTATCCTTGCAGTTTTCACAAATGGAAAAGACAGACGTTATAAGCTTCATGATCGTGATATTTAGTAGGTGAGCTTGACGCGATTTTGTTTTTAGAAGTCCTGAAACTCGCAAGGGGAATAAGTCGTGGGACCGATACTTCTTTCCTCGGATGCGCCTCTACTCGTCAAGTGTTCCATGGAAGTTTCAATTTCCGCTCTGCTTTTACATGTTTCCGATTCCATGAATGCTGACCTTAACGCACCTTTCGTGCTTCACGCTCCCATTGTTACAACAACGATCCCTTGTTCATCATGAAGATGACGTACTGCCCCCCCACCCCCTAGATTTTTCGTCCACTCGCCCCGCTGGACGCTACTCAAGTGATAGTATCCTTCCCCCCTTGCGCGGTACCTAGCCCCTTACCGACGAACACCCTAATCTGCATAGAGGGGATCCAGGTGCAATGACTAGTCTATTGAATTCTAGAGAACTACATTGGAAACACTATAGAAGTCTATAGGTTTATCAACGACATTTTTGCCTGGGTCATATTCCCCACCGAACCGCAGTAACTGGGGGACTTCGGAGACGGCACAATCAAGGGAAGTATATGGAAAGTTGTGCCCTTTCTGTTGATGATGTACAGATTTGTTTTGACGAGCGAAATCCCTTTGTTTTCGGATTGAATTCCTAACCCCATCCCCACGGGGCAGCGTAGAATGGGTATGGAAAGTATTAATAGAACGAGGCCGAAATGCATCGCCTGCGGGACACAAGCACACAGAATCAAATTGATCCATTTTGGTCACGAAAAAGTCTGTCCTCCATGTGATGCGTTTTTATTAGGGCTGTCACGATAGCCGTTTTCAAAACATCGATGCATCGACCTAGACTATCGATAGTGTATCGATGCATCGGGGGGGGGGGGGGGCCGGGGGATTCCATCTTTTCTCGCCTTCTCCTTTCCCACTTCCTGTCTCCGATCCGACTTTTTTTTTCCCTTCCCGTCTTTCATATAGTCAGTCCCAGCATTTCCGGAATTTTATTGTGATAAAAAATCGCTAGCCCATTCGGGTCACGCCGCTTCTTCCTTTCCCCGCCGGGACGGACTGTATGGAACTGTACTCGCCTCAATCCAATGGGATATTTCCCCTTTGAAATCTTTTGCCGATGCATCGCGATGGTCGAAAAAACTATCGATATCTCCAACTATCGATAGCGGTATCGATGCATCGACCTATCGTGACAGCCCTAGTTTTTATCGCATCAAATTTTCGATGCGATAAAAACGCATCACATGGAGGACAGATTTTTTTCACGACCTAAATACCTGTACATCAATTTGATGCTCTCAATATTCTGTGTGCAGATCCGCTCCAGTATTAGTTTATTTGTAGGTGCCCTTACAAGTCGCACCCTTTTGTGGATACGAGCTAAGACATGCCTCCTCTTTTTTCATTAAAGGTCTTTTCAGTACTCTATACTAGTTCAGTAATAATAACTCATGAGAAACACGGCCCAGGCCAAGCAAGTAAATCGGTGCTGAGCTTTCTCCTTCTTCGCATCCTTCACTGAGATATTGCATGCTGCTCGTTTCTCTATCTGTCGAGCCCTTTGCGTTGAAACGGTTAGTCAATTTGCTCAAAGCCTTAAATTATCATGTCTTTGATTTGACGGCTCTCTCTTCGATTTCAACGTTGAGTGCATCTGTCAAAGTGAGAAGCGGCTGCTTCTCCTAATAAAAGCTGTCACAAAAAAATTTAACACCTCAAGAATAATCAATTTTTCTTGTTGTGTATTGATTCAAAATGAAAATGAACAGATTCAGAAAAATATTATAAGTCAAAATGGACATTCGCAAACATTTAGCGACGCTAGCATATCACTGCTCACTGCCTTGTCGAGGATCTAGCAACGCAAGCGATCGAATACCCTTGTGATCCATCAGTTCCCTGCTAGTGTTCAACTTTGCACTGCGAAGCAGGTTGTTGTGCTTTCATCAAAAATGTACTTATGTCTGGAAAAAGCAATGCAGGAAGGACTTAAGACGATTCGATTGGTGAACAAGGTTTCTAACCTGGGTTAACCTGCGTAAGAATTCCAATCGAACAGATGGAAGCATGTGTTAAATATGATTCTACACTGGCTGGTTTTAAGCAGCAGTGATGCCATTCACTGTAGCAGTCTTGTCATCTTCGCGAAGACCACTATAGGGAGATGTCATAATAAGGAAACCCCTCTCCAAGAAGTTTCAAAAACTGGGTCGATACAGGATGTGAATTCATTCCCGAAGTCAATTCATTTGAAATTTGACACTTTCTTGGTATCGCATTTTTATTTCAGAATTGATCTATTTTCATGTGGTCTTTAGCATATGAGAGCTTAATCTTTTGTCTTTTTAATTGCCCCAAGAACTTTCCTTAAATTGTATGACAGACCACAAAAAATTTCATCGTGCAGTGCTAACTTTTTTTCATTTTAGACCTCCTCTACTATAGAACTTGTTCACTTTAGTTGCACGGTCAACTTCGTCAAATCAAGCTTGATCATTGGTATAGTACGTGTCCACTTAGTGGCGTTTCCCCACACGTCAGGGCGTATTCCCAAAATTTCAAATGAGGTCACAAACAGGTACCCAATTTCTATTGAAAGCTGCTGAAATAGTGGGCATGAAGATCCCCTATTTTCAACAGCTCTCTCAGTACTTGCTTCCTCAGTCCTCGCATGAAAGCTACAAATGGCTAGCATACATCGAACCAGAGGCCCAAACATTGTTGAGTTGGGGAGTCTTTGGTCAGACAAGGCAGCTCCTCTGGGATCCTTCAATCTCACTGCGCTGCCTAAAAGAGGACTCGCTCCATTGTTTCTGAATAACTGGTTCCATTTTTCCGGCCTCAACCGGTTCGTCAGCCTCGAATCAAACAGACGAAACTGAACCAAGCTCCCCTTCACCGCATCCGTGATGCCGATCCGATGTTTGGAGCAAGGGCATTCACACAGGTAGGCCAAAGATCACCTCGGAACCCTACTCAGAGGAAACAATGTGACCGTGTCCGATTGGTTCAACAATTAAGGGAAATTACCGGTCGCTGCTTCCAAAGTAGCACCACCGATGGGGAGGGGGGGGGGGGTACGAACGATAACCTAAATCAAAGAATCCATCATCTAGGGCCATCGAATGAACAACGAAGGCTGACAGGACGTTGGGCGGAAAGAACCAAGTCCCGCCGACCCACAGGAACTATGAGAAAGAGCTGAAAGAGCAGGTTGTAGTCCTTCATTGCCTTCCAGCACAGCAGTGAAGTGATTGGGTGGGAAATCTCCAGTCTCCATATTCCTGGACCAACCCTGGAGCATGAAGACCATAAACTGCAAATGTGCAGAAATGCTGTAGGTGGGCATACAAAAATTTCAAAGGCATCTCTACAACTTCATAATTAAATATACTTTCCAGAAATAAAAAGCTTTCCTTAGAAAAGTCATACCACTGGGTTCCACGGGAGGGGGTGGGGGGCTAAGTATTTTGGTTTACTCTTTATTGGGGAAGTTAGGAACTTTTGGAGTCCAGACGTGGACTCGAGATTTTCGAACGCGAATTTAGGAGATGGGGACGGCTGTATTCCATTTCGGCGATTCCTACCAGATGTCGCTATTGTGTTTTCAAATCGAAGAAAATGAGTGAAATTCAATGTGATATCCGAGGGGGAGGGGGGAGAGGATGTTACCGATTTTGTCACATGAGAAACATAAATAAAGAGAAAAAAAGGAAACAGATCATGAGGCTCTGCATCGGCCGGCTCGGCCTATCTGCAAAATCCTGTTTGCTCCTCCTGGAAAGTTCCCATGATTCATAGAGCTATATCCTTGGACTAGAAATCCGAATATGCCTCCCGATACATTAAACTATGATTGAGAGGTTCAAGTTGCACGATTTAATATTCAGGACTCGTGCGTGGGATCTGATTCCGGATCTGCCCCTCACTGGAAAGAGACCATGAACTCGACGCCTTCAATGGCGAACGCTCTGAAAGTCATATTCAAAAGCTTCTTACACCGGATGTATGATTATGAGAAGTGTCCTTCACACACGCTGCACATGGTTTACTCGTCACAGCGACAGACGAGACAGACAAGGGATTGTTAGTGAGCAGAAGCGAATCGGAGTTGAATGTGTGAGGCCATGGAGCCGAAGGACTTCGATCAGCTCCTCGCCCTCGTCGGGGAATATGGGAAATACCAAAAGAGACTGCTCTACCTCTTCATATACCCCATGGGCATGATTCTTCCCTTCTTCATCATGATTTTCTTCTTTCAAGTCGCTGTCCCTTCTCATTGGTGCCATGTCGAAGGCAGGGAACGCCTGGGTTTCTCCATCGAGCAATGGAAGAACCTCACAATTCCTGAGTAAATCTCCACCTTCTCAGCATGACGCTTCCGTCTTTTACAGAGGCGGCTCGTGATATTTAGCGTTAGTGGTTCGTTGACGAACCACTAGCGCTAAATATCACTAGCCGCCTCTGATCTTTTAGTTTTGGATCGTAGCATAACTGGTTCCCCTGCAGCTCCTGCTCTCCTGAATTAATTCAGGAATAATTTTCTTCCTGCTCTAGTCAGTTTACCAATCATAATTTGAGACGCTCTGGAAGGGGGACTTCTGAATGTAATGGAGTAAGTCTTCTAAAGCAGTGTTATCACAAGTAACTTCGAAGGGGGTGGTTCGGGGGTGGTTCGGAATGAACGGCTAATCTGTTTGCGGCACAGTGTCACGTCAGTTCACCAAAGATTAATCTGAAAATTTTGCATTATTAAAAAAAATATATATTCTTATAAATTCAGCCCCCTCACGAGGTTTGTGTGAAACTTTTGGCATCTTCACTTTAAGTGTAACCCGTTCATCAAGAGTCCTCGATGCAAGAGAAACACATCCTATGAAGTTGTTTTTCATGTAAATAATTACAGTGCAGTTGGCTTAGTGTTTAAACTTGAAAAGGTCAGATAGGACTTTGTTGAACTGCGTTGAAGGGCTTCAAAGTTCCTTCCATTCTCTCCAATCCTAAGATGGCAGACGGATTGGCCATCCGTCACTGCCACATGCCCGCTCCAGATATACACACTCTATGGGATATTCCCATTAACACGTTGACCGCCACGGCCATATTGGTCTGGTGACTTTCCTAGGCCAAAGTAAATTTTTGCATCCCTTGGAGAAGGTGATGCACGGGGCGCACCGGTGAGCCCCATGGCGGTCAACCTGTTAAAGCATCTGAGGATCCGAAAGTTACTTCCTTCCAATAGCTCCAAAGTTTGACTAAACGTTGCAACATTATTGCGGTTGCAGTATCCATCGCATTGAATCAATGTCGAAAAATATTGATAAACTCAACGTTGCTGAGTTGAGTCAAAATTGGCTCAATATTGGAATGAAGCAGGTCTCAATATTACTGGGACATCAAATTTATGTGGTGCTCCACTGGGCCGTTTAACAGTCATATCCACACACCCTCAGTGAACTAATACAATGTTAAGCTGTAACACAACTACTTCAATGCTGATACAAAGTGATATTCTACATCATTTGGCTGTTGAACTTTCATATATGGTCCGCAATCGAACACTCCTCTCTCTTCATTCTCGGGGTTAGAATAACCGAGGGTCTCATTTGGATTACCTTTGGGTCTGTCCACGCTAAGTGGTCCTAGGATTTTAGTCGGACATTTTCCTAAATATTCCTAAATATTACTTTCGCTGCAGAAGTCCATCATCTCTTTTCCCAGAATACATGAATGAAAGGAAATATTACATTGAAAAATGAAAGAATTAGTCACTATTATGATATATTATTCATACCACTCTCATGATACTGAAAATTTTAATGAAAATGCAAATCTGGAGAGACTGAATTGGACTACAGGAACAGATGCCAGCATGGGCTTTCCATGCATACTGACAATTTCAAATCAGCTCAGGTGTGAAGAGTAGATGTCAATTGTTCACATTTGAATTATATATTCAAAATAAAATTAAAAGATATGTACAGGCTTCTCGTTTCAAAATACATTTTCAGAACTTGTCACATCCTTTCCCATCCTTTATCACGTCCTTTCCTGTCACATCCGACACCTTCACAAAAAGGGCTTACTTTCTGTTTTAAGTGTCGTAATCTTGGGGTGACTTACACAAATTCCGGGATTTCACTCAGTCTTAAGAATGAACACGAAACTAAATTATTAGGGTCCGCTCGATGATAGGTATGTGAACATTAGTGCAAGTGACTTTAACTTGAGGGTTCACAAAATGTCACGTCTGACACTTTTCTTTGCACATAGGTACATCTCTAACAAAAGAGAGAGTGCAAGACTTTGGACATGGAATTTTCAGTCACTACTCAAGGAAATTATTGCAGCCTTTATATGCTGATTCGTCATCCATAATATAGTTCAATACATTTTGTATACTAAACATATTACTCCGAATGTCACGTCCGACACCCTGGACAGACCCCTTTATTTTTTCAATGCATTGAGAAATTCAAGTGTCTTTCCCAACACTCTCAGTGTCTTTTCGACGTCTTTGAAGAAAAGCTCAAGCAGCGTTTCAAATAACTGGTGACTTATGCCATTTGCATCAAGGGGTAACTCACTGTATCGGCAATTTAGGCACCATCTCACTTCAGCTGTGGGAACTTTCTTGAATGGCTGCCAAGTGACTCGCCCGACACCATCTCGATGACCTATTTACAGAGCATTAAGTGCTCAGCTGGAGCACAGTATGAATTCATTGCTCATTTTCAGCATCGAGCCGATTATTATTTCATCGACTTCTTCGACCAATCATCAACATTGAGTGAAAATTGTTGTGCAAACTGGGCTCCTTTCATGGTAAACTTTCATGGAAAAGTCTACGGACTTCGAAGTTCTAGTCCCCCTGTGGACTTGTCCACATCAATCCGCAACAGTCCACATTAAGTCCACACTATTCCACATGGCTAACTATCAGTCCACATGCGGATCCCCCGGAAGATTTGGATAGTCCCCCGATGGACTACAGGGGGATTTTTCGTAAGGGCGTATTAAAAAGAACCTGTGTAAAGCAAGGGACTACTGTATGCGAATTTGGCCTAAGAACGTTGACACTACCAATCCCCAGCTGGGACGCCGCTCATTTAGGAATGTCATCCCCTCACCAAGTCCTTTCCATCTGGGCCATGCTATTTTTGCTTCTCGGACTCAAGTGGTCCGCTTTCGCTTTTTCGATTTAGTCAAGCAGTAACTCGCCCAGATCACTAAGTTGACATGGCCGATAGATAAATGTTCGCTGTCCATTTTCGCACATGTGATTCATCTGGCTCGTTCGTTTCGTTTCGTAAGAGTATTTTTTATCGAAAGCAAGAAACTTGAAGTAGTGCGCAGGCTGTGGACGGCTCGTTTCATGCTGCATGAAATTCAATCCCTCAGGGATCAATCAAATTTGTATCCATTCATGCGCGGCACGTGCAAGGCAGTTATCCAGACGAGAGGGGAATAACCCCGTGTTGATGCCATCAAGGCAAGGACTGTTCACAGATGTTCCTTGCACGGAGTCATGAGCAAAACCTTACTTCTTCGCTCTGAGCAATGGGTTCAATCTCAAGAACTCAATGCCAAGAGAGACACCGGTGTCCAGTGGCGGATACAGGGGGGGGGCGGGGGGGGCGACCGCCCCCCCTATGGCCAGGTTAGGATTTTATTTATTTATTCAAAATAGCATCTGCATTAAATTTTATTGGAGCCAGTTTTACCCCAGACGAAAAATAAAGGCGAAAGGACGAGGAATGGTGGTAGGCGGGGTGGGGGGGGGGGGGTAGGTAGGAACTTTGGAACCGCCCCCCCTATGAAAAATTTCTATATCCGCCACTGCCGGTGTCAGACCAGAAATTTTAGTGAGATTCGGATTTCTGGATTAGTCCTGTGGTCTTTCGGTCGAAGGAACTCCCAACGAACTCCCGTCCGGCCCTGAATATAATGCTCAGCAACTGGTGCACTCAAAACAATCCCCACATAATTTGCACAGGCCTCATCCAGTGTCTCCTCTTCAATAGCCATGGTCTTCATCTCTCATATCGTAGCAAACTCGCAAAACTGCTCGAATCGGAATTGGGATTCCCCTCTGAAATTTCCAAGTCCGTACGAAATCATCCTACTTGCTTTCCTAAAGCAACCTCCATCCTCCATTCTTTAGGCAGGGCGTAAACGCCCTGCCTTAAGGTGTTTATGCCACTCCAATGACTGACGTAAACGGAGTCCCCTCCTCGTTCCCTTTGTCCTTTTCCCCCCATTTTTTTCCCCCTGGAACTGTCGCAGTCTCCGAAAACACTTTCTTGAAATCGAACTTCTCGCAGCCAGCACATAACCAAATAAACTCGAGCTTTGTGAAACCTGGCTCTCTCCCGACGAGGTGCTTCAATATTCTCTTCAAGATCTTCCGAGTTTTTCTGTCGCTTCTCGACCAGGGGAGGAAGCGTTGTCCTCTGTGTCAGAGATGATCTCCCAGCTATCCCACTACCAGATTTATCTCAGATTTCCTCCGAAAAAAAAAAAACTGCAGTGGTGAGAATTCCCAATCTCAACTGGAAGCATTTACCTGATCTTCCTCTGATTTCCCTCTCGGTCTACCGTCCCCCAAGCGGGAATTTTTACCGTATTCTTCAACACCCTCGAACTTTTCCTCAGTAAATATTCTCCCGTTCAATATAGTGTAATTATTATGGGTGACTTCAACATTGATCTCCTGAAAAACTCTACAAACTCAAAGCGATGTCTGGATCTATTCACATCCTTTGACTTGTTTCCCTGCTTCTCCCAACCCACTAGAATAACTCAATCGGCACAGACTCTTCTCGACAATATGTTCACAAACATATCTCCCTGCAACCTCTATGCAGATGTACCTAATGATGACTTTGGTCATCACCAACTTTGCTTCCGCATCCCTCTGGTGACCAGGACCCAATTCTACCCCTCTACGAGTTTCAGACGTCTCTTAATCCAATCTGGCGTCGAGAAGGTGTCCAACTTTCTTGAGAGTCTAAACCGGACCTCTCTCATGTCCTCCAAGTCTGTTGACGACCAATTTGACTCTTTAATGGGAAAAATCCATGCTTCACAGGCTCGTTTCTTACCCACCAAACGCATTTCCCCTCAAAATCCAGGTTGACAACTGGTGTAAGAATTTCGAGCACCTGTAAGAACGCTCTGTTTCTTATCTTGTACTATGGTCCTCCAAACTCATCTCTTCTAAAGTATTACAAACCCTATCAATCCATACTCATCGAGTTATTCGGAAAGTCAAGCAAATGTCCGTTATTTCAGAATATGAACAGTGCTCGAGAAACAAAAACCCTAGAAGTCTCTAACGTTTGACAAACATGATTCTAGGCAGGGAAGCTACCCAGACGATTGTGGGACTTAGAGAAAATTAAATTCTTTTTACTGACGGCGAAGAAACCGCTAATCGCAAAATAAATCATTTCTCTCTTCTCTCTTCACACACCTCCAATATCTATTGTACCATTTGGCCCCTCCCCCCATTTCTCTTCCTTCCTCCAGCCTATCACAAAACTTGAAACCCTCACAATCATCTTACAACTATCGTCAACGGAGGCCACTGGTCCCGATAATGTCGGCATTAGATTTATCAAAAAGATAGCTCACTCTATCGCTCTCCCCCTCACCCTTGACAATTCATTAATTACGGAATTTTCTCATCAGCTCTTAAACATGGCAAGCTCATAAAAAAAGAAGAGGACAAAGTCTTAAAATTTCGAAATCGGTGGATCGGACGAATTGGCTTCATTCCATGGTCACCAAAGATCACTTGATCTAACCCCCTTGGACTTTTCTTGTGGGACTATTTCAAGGACATTGTTTACCGGAGAAAAGTTGAAAACTCCAAGATCTGAAGAGCAGGATCGTCGCAGCTATTTGACAATGCATAAGGTGCGGCAAGAGCTGGAACATCGTTTTGACATCTGCAGTCACAAATGGTGCCCACGTGGAATTGCAATACCAGGTTTAAAAAATGCTTGGGCCGCTCTTTCTTTTACCGTTTAATCATTTAATTTGAGGCCTTTTTTACAAGAGATATTGATTTTTTAAATGTTTCCAAATATTTTGGGACATCCTGTATCTAGGGAGAGTCGATTTTATGCTGCTTGCGGCACCTCAATTCATTCTGATATTTCGCGAGAAGGAAAGCTCTATTTCATCATTTCCATACTCATTTCTCATTTTGTCTGTAGATTGTAGAATGCTTTGATTCCCATCCGGTTTTGTAGGAGGATGACGGAGGAGGGGGTGATGGGATACTCCAAGTGTGAGGCGTATGACGTATCATGGATCGTGAACGATGTCTTGAATAATACCTCGGACTCAGATCAAGAGGATCTGTCAGCAAAGGCCAGGGAAGAGTTCCAACGCAAACTTCTTTCGCACCCCCCCGGAATTTTAAGTAAGTCTATCCCCCCATAGATATAATGATTAATTCTAGGCATATAAGGTCACCGATTCGAGAGGATTTTCGTCAGACTGTGACCGCTGGGAGTTCGACCGGAGTGTCTATGTCGAGACGGTGGTGTCCCAGTTCTCATGGGTGTGCAAACGAGATCACTTTCCCGCCGGACTTCTCACCATTCAGAGTGCAGGACACATTCTTGGATCTTTTATCTTCGGACCTGTCTCCGATTAGTACGTTCCCTCAACTTCGACGGACCCAGTGCATGCTGTAGTTCATGAATGCTAATCGATTGACTTATTCTATCTAGGCCTGTACAGGGTGGGGCAAAAGTTGGTATGGAGTAGTAATTTTATTTTACTTTTGTATTTACAGGTAGAGAATAATGGCAGGGAACCTGACTTTTGAGCAACGAAAATGGCTGTTACAGACGTACTGGAAAAGTAATAGGTAAAAAGTAATAAATAAAAAAGTAATAAATAGTAAGTAATAAGGAATAAACAGCTAACTGTAACTACCTACTTTTGCACCACTCTGTATGTGCGGGAAAGCTCACTTCATCATTCGCTTTCTCTGAGAATATGTTCTAGGATATTATGGTGAACTTCGGGGTGCGTTGATTCGGACGTATGCATGAAACATCCAGGCTTGTTTGTAGCGATTTCACGTAAAGCAAATTTCCTGAAATTCAGAATTAATTTATTTGACACCTCTAACTTAATGTGACGAGAGAGCTATTACTCCTTGCTTGCCTTTTTTTTTTCCTTCCTAACTTCATTTGACAGGCAAAATGTAACAAGACTATGCTTGCTCCCGTCAATGTGACTTCAATGGAATGATGGAAACATGATGGAAGGAAATAGTCCAGGTACTTTTTGGTCATCGGTATATGATGGTTCATATTCTCAGCAACATCTAGCCTGCAAATATTCAGGACAGATAGAATGGACTGACACACGCACGAGGGGCGGTTCAAAAGTTTCTGCCCTGAGGTAGTAGAAGGCTGAAAGTTGGTTCCCATATTCTTTCATCCCTTTTTGGCAATATCAAGGGTCAACAATTGGTTTTAGCTACATTTATCTTTTCATTTTTAATGTGTATATTTAAAAAATGTTCCGGTCAAATATTCAATTCCAAAATGGCAAAATTTGAATACGGAGCATTTATGCAATTTTTATTTTAAGTAAAATCATTCGACATCATCCGAACAAAAGAGCTGCTACAAATGCTACAAATTTAAAGCAAAGCCTGTGAAGTGGCCATGAAGGTGAAACTGAATTCAATGAAGCTGTTCAACCATTTTTAGACGACTATGGAAATTGAATTACGAGGTCTTATCAAAAAGTTCTAAGACTTAATTTTTTATGACGCTGTGGTGACTCTTTCTGACTGCTGATAGTTATATCCTTTAAACTAGTCCTCTTCGGCATCTACACAAATTTTCCGGAGTTTCTTCAGCCACTGGAAGCATTGCTGACACTCATCTTTTGGAGTCAGCGGCTGAAGAAACGCCGGAAAATTTGTGTAGATGCCGAAGAGGACTAGTTTAAAGGATATAACTATCAGCAGTCGGAAAGAGTCACCGCAGCGTCATAAAAAATTAAGTCTTAGAACTTTTTGATCAGACCTCGTATCTTCCTATGAATGGAAACCATCAATAGTACAAGCATCGATGCCCAGGAAGGTAATGCTGAAAAAAAAAGTGTTTTATCATTCTATCACATTCCCTAGTATCTCAGTGCAGACAATTTTGGATCGTCCCTCGTATACAGGCCATTTTCATAACAATGGGGGATTGGGGCTTGGAGCTTTGTTTAGACGTTTGCCCTCATTGAGGAGACGGTATACGAGGCAGCACGTACAGGGTGTACCAAACGAAGTTCACCCTTTTTCATTTATTGCTAGATTAGTTCTAATTAATACAAGCTCGTGCAACTTAAGAGATAAATAGCTCTTCTCTTCCTGATCTAATGCAATTCATTTCGAGAAGAAACGAAAATAATTGTTACGCAATAAATATTTTACCCCGCGAGGTAAAATTTCGCAACTGTGGGCGTATTCTTATTTTAACATGCCAGGTTGAAAATCCTTAATTGTCTATTTTTCAATGAGAAGTTATTTATTTAAAAAACTTAAAGAATAACAATAAGAAAAATGGGTAAAGATTTAAATTACCCATAGATATCGAAAGGGATATTTAATGTGCACTCCTGCATTTCCAACCGCTGTCAGCCTAGTCCGCTACTACTCCACCTCCCCAAGCCACTCTTTGAAGGATCATCCTAGCATATGAAAGTAAATACACCGCTCCAAACCCCCCCCCCCCCCCCAAAAAAAAAGTAATAATAAAAATAAATAAATTGAGCGATGGCGGCAAGAAAAAGGCTTCCGCTCGAACAGATCCGGGTGGCTGAGATCGAACAGATCCCTTCTTGGCTACGGTCTTACGAATTCCTTGTGACCTTGTCTCCTCTTCTTGCTTGGGCATAAATACGTATTGACAGCGTGCGGTAGGACGAAAAATGGATAACGAAGCCATCGTTCTATCAATTAAGTGACAGCTATATCTCGAATGCAGCCATCAGAATAATTACGGTATAGATATCGCATGTCGTATACCTTAGTCAAGTGGGAGGATATATGAATTTCAGATGCCTATCAGCTGCGGAATAGGAGAAAGGGCAAGAGCAGACGGAAGAGAATGCTTCATAACATTCAAATGATTTTAGTCGATGAACCGGTCGCTTCCTTGAAGAAAATATCACGATAGCCATCTCCAACTGTTTTTGTTTCAGAAGCCTAAAATTCCAGAAGAGACTGTGAAGGCAGATGTTCACAGAGACCTGAATATGTTACTCGAGGATGCTTGTCACAGGAAAGTTGACAACAATTGTCCCCACCTCCTGGACCTCAGAGAAAAATGTTTTTTTTCAGAGGAGCAGCTAGTTTTCATTAACGAAACCGGTGTGCTGTGACTTTGTCGAACAAGGGGTTGATCTCTAATGGGTACAAGATGCATAAAATAGTCGATAGAGGGGTGTGAATATTACCATGATAGTTGTGATCTCTCCGCAAGGTTTGCTTCATCATACCTTCCTCGAGGAAGGACGTACTCGTGAAAGGTCTAGGGGTTTCTTTTCTTAGCTTTCTGCTCTGATATCAGGAATTTATCTTCCAATTTCCAATATTAAAATAACTTCCAGATCAGGAAGTTATTTTCCAATTCGATAACCTCAGGGGTCACCTTGAATGCCCAACCATCTATGACAGTGGTCGACAACTGGCGGTCCGCGAGTCAAATCTGGCCCGCAGAAGCTCTTCCTCTGGTCCGCGAAGAACCGGCTATCGCACATTACGGTCTGACAGTCGCCTTTCGGCTGGACGTTTGACGTTAGACATTCATTAAAATTAACATTTTAATAACACTTAATAAGTGTTGGCCCGGGAACATGCAGCATTCTTTCATCTGGCCCCCCCCCGTGAAATTCAATTGCCCACCACTGATCTATGATAATCACTAAAATTCTTGCTACCATACAGCCTTTTTCTCAAAGTCATCGGGTACGCATTCTCTGAAGTTACAGAGTTTCTCAATAATATTCGGTGTGTCTTGTCATCTCTCCCATATGCCAATTTACAGGGAGTTCTATCCCATAATATTATATTTAGACACACGTCCGTTCGAATTTGGAATTACCAAGTGTCATGTGGAGAATTTTGAATGCTTCCAGTCATCAGAGGTCCCCAATTTCCCTTCAAAACGATTTTCCGTGAGTTCTATCCCATAGCATTATAAGAAGTCACAACTTAAAAACGTCAAACACGCAAGCTTTGGATCAATTATAGGAGATGCGTTTCGTCCTCACTTAACTTCGGATTGCGTGTATGCAACTTTTCAGTGAGGTCCACCCCGTAGCATTCAAGTGAGACACGTCGATCCAATTTAGAACATCCAGGTATTGGATGGGAAATAAGGGATTATCTTGTGCTCTGCACGAGATGCGGATCAGCTCGATCGCACCGACCTGAGCCTTGAAGCTCGGTCAGCGTTCGAGTTCTGGGTCGGGTGCGGGCCACGATTCGAATCGGCACGATTGGGTCGGATCCGAAAAGTCGATCTGTACAGGCCTCCGGGGGACAAAAAGGATGACGTCGGCGATTCTATTAATACATAGATCCTCCAAACTGCATGATCTTGACATAGTATGGAAGATGCAATAAAAAAATGATTAAGTATTTTTGACCAACACTGTGCAGACAGAGTATGTCCTTACCACGAGCGGACTCAACCCACGCAAGCACGAAAATTCGCGAACTTGGTGGTGATAAAGTTCTTACTCTGCTTACATCATCCTTCCCACTTTCCAGGTGGCTCCATCATCCTTTCCAACCTAAGCATGGGTCCCACGGTCATCAGCCCTCCCAATTTAATAATCAAGTTCATCATTGCGAAACCATCATGCATTCGGAAAACCAGAGGTTTCAGGATTTCAGGATAGTGATATCAAGAGGCGATTTCGGTTAACTTCCTGTTGTAATTTTCCCCATCATCTCATTTCATAGCTTTGGTCGAAGGGTGACGTTCTTTGCGACGACGACGATTCAGTGGATTTTCGGTTTGGCGTTGATATTTTCGCCAGATTTCCCTTCCTTCGCAACGTTGACATTCGTCGGATCCTGGGTCTTCCCTGCTGCTTATCAAAACGCCTATGTCCTCGGTGAGAACCATCAAATGATGAGAGTTCGTATATGAAGCGGTTAAAAAAAAAAACGCTCTACCGTTTTCTATGGGGGAAACACAGTTTTATAAATGCAGCAAAAAAAATTACATTGGATACGCGATCTATATTTGACAGCTACAAGGTGTTTAAATGTTTGCCAGCTTTTCTTTTAGCACCCCTGCCTAATTCGTGCAATGCTCATTTAGAGGTGAATTAAAGGTGCTTAGAGGTGGGTCATTCCACCTCAAATGAGGTGATTACCTGTGCTCAACCGTCTAAGAATTCAATGAATATTTCAACTTTTGAATTTTACAGCGCCATCTTGCGGAAGTGAAAAAACCCCTTAGACTCATGACCCCTCTCTGTCAAGTATCAGCTTGATCTAACTGTCCCTTGAAAAGTTAAAGTTGAAATTTTAATTGAATTCTGAAACGGTCGAGCACAGGTAATCACCTCACTTGAGGTGGAATGATACACCTCTAAGCACCTTCAATTCACCTCTAAATGGGCATTGCACGACTTAGGCAGGAGTGCTGAGAAAAAGCTGGCAAGCATTTCAACACCTTGTAACTGTCAAATATCGATCGTGTATCCAATGTAATTTTTTTGCTGCATTTATGAAACTGTGTTTCTCCCATAGAAGACGGTAGAGCGTTTTTTTTTTTACCATCCTATAAACGTCACTCAAGGGTGATTGGACTGCAGTTATTTCGAGATTTCTTCTTTGTGCACTAAAAAATGCAAACTTTTGTCGCACATTCAACGGCAGTTGTGGAGCAGGTAGGTCCGGATTATCGAGGTCTTGTCAATGGGGCAGTGAACTGCATCTGGACGGTGGGATTGTGTCTTCTGGCCTTGATTGCCTGGCTCCTAAAAGGCCATTGGATTCACCTGGCTCTCATCGGCAATGTCCCTGTCTTACTCTATTATGGATACTACTGGTCTCTGCTCTTTAAAAATCCTCATGGAATGTAATATGATGACCAGTATGGTGACTGTTTCTTCTATTTCCAAAGGCTGTTGAAAGAGTCACCACGGTGGCAGTTGACCAGGAGTAAAGTATCCGAAGTGAGGGACACCATGATCTATGTGGGGAAAGTGAATGGAAAGGAAATTGATCCGGATGAGATGGAAAGACTCATAAAAATTGTCAAGGATCGGGAACAAGATCCCATCATTCCTCAATATTGGAGTCTCCTCAAGCGTCCCGTGATGAGAACACGGACAATTGTCACAACCTATACGTAGTGCGTGCCATTATTATCCATTCTTTTTTTCTGCGCTATGCCTACGGGATGTTTCCAGAATTTTTTTTTTTAATTATCACTGCCTCTGCAGAGATATACTCAAATGTGAGGGGAAGTCAGTTTTCTCGGTTTAAGGTGGAAAGAAAAGGACAAAATTGCCAAGAACATAATTATGGGTAGCTGGAAATCGTACCATTTGCTGAGGAGAGACTGGTACAAGGATTGAGGAAGTATGAGACAGGAGAAGCAATGAATTATAGACTGGAATACAGCCATGAACCGCCGCAACACTTATTCCTCAGCTAAAAAATGTCATCCTCCTCTAGGCTCATATAGGGTCATACAAAAGTCCCTATCTATATTTGTATATTGCAATGATTTTCAATTCTGTTTTACAGGACTAGCAGGAAGCATTAAATCATTGCATTAGTTAAGTACTCTAAGTACATTATATCAGTGTAAACAACGATGTTAGTTTTTGCCTTATTCCGGGATGTAGCATGGCGGTTCTAGCCCTGTATTACGGGCTCCACCTGGACGTGGGAACCCTAGGAAGGGATCCTTACTTGAGCACGGCCATCCTGGCTGCCATCGAACTCCCTTCCTACCTCATCTCCTACTTCTGCATGGAGAGATATGGAAGACGATGGGTCTGCTCAGCCCTGCTTCTCATCGCTGCTATCGGCACTGGACTCGTCCCTGCTTTTTCCTTCGGTACGTGGGACCTTTTTCGTGTCACACAATGCACAATAACTCACAAGACACAAGTTATTCTAAGTTCCAAGCCTAAGTATATGCCCTCGTATTGCAACCCCATCCAATAAGCTATTGCCTACAATTCTCAACTTTAACAATTTATCGGAAAATTTTCCGAATAAGAGCATGTAAGCATGCATTTTCTCTAATGGTCAGGAGATTTTTCCTGCCTTTCCTCGGAAATCCTACTTATTGTTGTTCGCGGAATTTTCCCGTCTTTTCTCTGTAATATTACGCCGAAGGGTCCTACATTCCGAGTCCGACAAAGAAGCAGAGTATTTCTTCTCATGATGATATGGAACTTTCCGTATTGACACCCTCGGGAAGCCATCCGACAGCTTTAGTTTCTGACCCGAATCCTAGAGGATTCCCACTCACCCTCGAAATCCCCCGAACAATTAAGACATCGTGATACTACACGAAACAGAGTCTCTTCCCCAGGAAGAAAGTCTATTCCTTTGAATTTCTCAACCGAAATATAGGGAAATGAAGATCATGGCAGCTTCTTCTCCTGGTTTCAAAAAGGACTCTGAAACGATACACGCCCGACTCGACGGAGATCACCTACGAGGGTTGTTCGAAAAGTAACTTTACAAGAGTTCAAACATCAAGAATGTCATTTGAATATTTTGAACATGCCAAAAAGCAGCTGGAAAAGAACAAGTAAAATGTTACAGAATAAGAGTTTAATATTACTTTTTATTCAGCCGTCATATTGACCGCTCTGATAGTTCTAGTGTTAAGGGAAAAAAATATTCCTACAATACGAGTATTTCTACGTCAGAAAATAGTAGACGAATTCCGCACTAAATCGAAATTCCCTTTTTCGCGTATTAGGTGGAAACTCGGTTTCCTATGCCTTAGTCGGAATTTTCAGAAAATATTTTTTACAGTATGTGAAATATCGATAGATCGCATGTCATAAGCATTGCCAATAAATTGCGACGATTCCAATACGCAGGAAGACTTAAGGTACAGACAACTTTCACGTTAGACAGGAAAAGTCTACCAACGGACTCGATCTATAGATAATCCAGATAGTTCCTTGGTATCAACTTCGACAAAGCCTTCAAAATTTGGGCTAATACATGACTGAAAAAAAAAAACCTATTTAACATAACCGTAAACCTTCATGATTATTTGTTTTGGATGCGGATGCAGGGAGCTGGTGTCGAATCCTGTGGGCAGTAGTAGGGAAATTTGGCGCTTCAGGAGGATTCCTGGTCGTATATCAGCAAGAAATCGAGGTCTTCCCCACTGTCTTGAGGAATACGGGACTTGCTTTCGTCTCCATCGTGTCCACGACCATCTGCATCGGGGTCCCGTACCTCATCTACCTTGTGAGTCCTTCGAATCATCACATAATTCACTCCCAAGATAGACCGTTCTACATGAGGAGTGCATTCGTCTTTCGCCAGGGAACATACCATGTATCGATCCCGTATGTGACATTCGCATTCGTGGCTGGGGTAGGTGCAGTGTTGTCAACATTTCTCCCTGAAACACTTCACAAGGATCTGCCCGAAACCCTCCATGATGCAGAAACATTCGCTACAGACCAGAAGTACTGGTCCTTGAACCTTCATCCCTCGAAGTCCACGTCCATATGATCATCCCCTCTACCTGTACCGAATGGCTCCAAAATACGCGCTGTTATTGACTCTGTAGAACACCTATTTTAGGAATGTAATGTTCTTGACTACTTTTTATATTAAAAGGAAAAAAACTATTTTCTCTTTTCCCTGAAAAAGTAGTCTCTATTTCTTGAATTTTTATTTCTTGAATACAAGAAGCATACACAACTTTCCAGCTGAAACTTAAATGGAACAGTGAGTAATCTTTGACATTTTATTTAGTACTAAACATGTCCAGCTTTTCTTTCGATTCACGTTTTTTTCATCAAAACAGAGTTCATGCCACGCGCCCACAGTCCTTGGATGAGCTACGAGATCGCATCACTAATGCTGTTCAGGGCATATCTCGTGTCATCTGGGCAAAAGTTATGCATAATTTTGTTCATAGTCTCCAGACTTGTATCGAAAGAGAAGGTGGACATGTTTGGCACAAAAAAACTTCAAAGATTACTCTAAATGTTCCATATAAGTTTCAACTGGAAAGTTGCGTATGCTTGTGGCATTCCATGAATAAAAATGGGTACCTATTTACGGGACACCCTGTACATTGGGCCACCTCTGGGTTCCGGAGATTTGCCCCTCACTTCATTTTCGATTATCGAAATTATATTAGGGGGAAAAAATTAAAATCACGACATATTCTCTAAGCAAGGAAAGGAGAGGAATTTGTGTAGGTTGTCCAGATTTAGCGTTCGTATTCTCGGAACCTTTGCCACCAGCTCATCGATCACTTTCTTGTAGTTCAATGACCTGCTGATCTCCCTCTCGATAGAGAGTATGGCTAGTCCTGCAAGACGTTCTTGTGGCATGCTTCATCTTGGATAAGTTATAAATTGTGTCAGTTTGGAGAAGCTTCTTTCTGCAGATGCAACTCTCACTGGAGCTGTAAGTCGCACTCAAAGAGCGATGGACACGTTAGGACGCACGGGTTTGACTACTTTTGTGAATGAATCGCGGAGTTCCAAGAGCATCAAGTGGCTCTGGTGGGCTACGCTTGTAGCCAGACTGCGAAGCTCGTCGATGAGGTCGTTGAGCTGTTGAAGTTACCTTGGAAAAAGGTATTTAAATTTCGCATGGGTACCATCGATGATTAGGGTTGCTACCCGTTCATAATTAGTACAGTATTGACAGTACATATTTCAGACACTCTAGCTAGATATTGAAAACTGGTCATAATATGAACACTGTTTTGTCCATATTATAAACTTGTTGAGATTTTTTAAATTAATAAAGCTTAATAGCAGCTAAAACGGCTCTTTTCCGTAAGTCAAAAGCAGTAGGCCACACTCTCATAGTATCAATTGTCGCCTTGGCTTAAGGTGGCTCTGGGTATTTGCGGTACAGCCGCATACACCACCTTAAAAAAATTGCACATATTTCCATACGTCCACGTTTGGTTGAATTCAAATGTGGCACCCTATCAATGACTCGGTAATGAATATACAAGACATTTTACAACATGATCAAGGGAGACAAGAGATGGAAAGGGATGAAAACGAGGTAAGATCCTTCTTTGCGGACGTCTTTCTCACCTCCTCGAATGTCTTCAAACGCGAGGATTTCCTGCGGGAAGGATGGAGGAATTAAAATTATAAATAAATAAAATACTTTCCATGCATTGGGGCAGTGACAGATTTCGCCCAGCTCGGCCTTCTCGCCTGTCCAGAGTGAGAAGACCTAGGAATATTCTCCGTCTCATTCAGAGCTTGGATCTTTTTCGGAATAACTCGCAGCGTTGCAAAGTTTTTTTCTCTTTTCTTTCGTTCTTCCCATCTTACTTATTACTTATTTCTTCCTCTCGGGGCTTGAGCCCCTGGATTCTGCGGGGGCGCCCTGCAGCCGCAGGAGTATTCACGCCGGCCCTGCTCCTACCCATGCTACACTCCATGGAACATAGAACTCCGACCCCGTCGATCGGATCCGAGCGTAACTGGCATCGATGGAAAGCATGAAATCTCGGAAAGTTCCGCGTCACGTTTTCGTCGGCTTGCGACTAAAACTCAGCAAGCTACGACCGAGGTATGGTAGCAAAAATTGGTGATCGGTGGCTCGTTTCGTTGGCAGCGTGTTGGGCTCACGTGACGGGGAGCAGGGGTTTCCAAACGCGAACAAAGCCGGACCTTTTTTCCGATACAGGCACCAACGTTTTTGGGATAAAACACTGAGCACGTTCTTTGACGTTCCACGTGTAGACACGGGAGTTTTTCGTGAAGGCCGAATGTAAAATTTATATGCACAGATGTAGGAAATACTTAAGCAACTGGATCAAGATAGAAAGAGTGAGATTACAAACAACATAATATGTTCACGTGTCATGGATTAGGCCAAATTGGCATCATGTACCTTCTCTTATGGAACATAACTGTTTAATACAATATGAGCAAGGGTGATACAATAAGCAAAACATCCCAAGTAGCCCAAAAGTAGTGGGCCATAAACGGCACAGGCACTAAACTGGCAGATTTCTGCTAGGGGCGGGGACGTGGCAGCAAGTTGGACATGCAGTTGCTGGCCCGCCACCTATTGTAGGGAGGAGGGCCACCAGTTCAGGGTGGAGAATGTAGCTGGTACTTCCCTAGATGCAGTACCGAGAGTCCCAACTAGATGGTACCCCAGTTCCCTGCACCCTACAAATACAATAAAGTACCTGCCTTCCTGATTTAGCAAAAGTGTTTCTTCCTCATTTTTCCTCTTTTAAATGCGCAATTTATAAACAGGTACTAGGAAATCGTGGAATTATGATGTTTTGATTGCAATAAAAGATTCGGGAATTACTATATGCTGAAGTTATGTACAGGAATTCAGAAGTGTACAGGACTAGGGGAGGGTAGAAAAACATGGCTTTCCAAATGTCACGTGTATACGATATGCCTCAGTACTTGAAGTCTACTGCTCTCTCCCCACGAGATCCATATTGGATGCGGAAAATGAGAGCAGTGGGTCATCTTGGTACTCTGCTGAATAGGCTCCAGAGCCAAGGTTTTTCAGATAAATTGAATATATATGGCGGTATTAGGACCCTTCCCAGCTGGTGGTACACCACAAACGAGCTAACTGGTAATGTGCTGGCCCTTAAGCGGCCTGGGTGGCGGGCCAGTACTGGCAAGTGGGACATGCAGCTGGTGGCCCACAACCTAGTCAAGATGATGGGCCACCAACTCTCTTCCCCAAACATAGTTGGTGGCCCACCACCTATGTGCTACTTTGAATGGCTTCTGGCTTTCTGATAGTTAACATGAAATTACCTGTACCTTCTTCTGAATGCAGACTTTGGACAAGTTTATTTCAACAAACCTCATTCACTTAGTAGTATTTAAAAGAATGCTTACACAGCAGGATATCACAGGGGAAGAAAGGGACACAGATAATCAAGATGTACAAGCAGATCCTCAGCTGAAAACACTGGAGAGTAGGTTTAGCCTATTTGGATCCCCTGGTCCTGATTCAGGCTTCTTCCAGAGAGGTTCTCTCCTGGGCTTCTTTGTGGGCTGAGGTAGGGTCTCTTCCTCATTTCTCTTTGGACTTATTTCCTTTTTCTTCTTCTTCATGTACTCCTTCTTGAGAACTCCTCTGGCAAAGAAGCTTGTCTCCCTCTTTGCTTGAGCAATTTCTGTTCGCAGGCGCTCTTGCCTCACCTGCCTTTCATATTCCAGGCGTTCATGCAGATGCAACCATTTGAAACTGAAAATAACAGGATTGAATAAAGAAGACTACAGACCAGCTTTGGTTTCTCCAACCTGCATTTGCAGATGGCATCAAGAAGAATAAATAAATTAAGCATGACTACAGAATAGGATAGGAAAACAAACAAGAAGATACCCTCATGAACAATTATTTGGGAAGGAATGAAGAGGATCAAAGTAACACATGTGTACACAACACCTTGAGTACTTCCTACTTCTCTGGAAAGAGGAAAAGGGAAAGGTCTCAATGAACTCATTTCAGAAACTAAAATACATAAAAATGATTTTCTATTGAGGTGGGAACAACATGGTCTATTTTTAATCTGGATAAGCAAATATTTAAAATAGTGCCTAATTTCATTGTGAAAAAGAAAAATTCTCTGTTTCATAATTTTCTCTTTAAAATAACTATAAAAAAGGAGTTATTTGGTAAACACCAAAGATTTCCTGTTCTACAAGACTGTATTGACTGACCCTGTGAGATATTTGATGTTCCAAATTGAATCATAGTAGGGAGATCTCTTTCGTCCACCAACTTGGGTATTATTGAGCATACCAGCCACTTTCTTTGCAATCTTCTTGTCCTTGAATTCAACCCAACCTTCTGTGAATCGTTGTACTTTCCTAGATCCAGACCCTGAAACAGTAAGAATTAATCAATATTGGATATTTACAAACTGAAAATAGCGTTCAAAATTAAAAAGCAAAAGTGATTGGTTGCCCACTCACAAATACATTTTAGCAGATCACCATCAATAAAATATTTTTAAAGATGAGTTTGATACTGACAATCCCTTAACATGAAAAGATGAAGGTGAGCTCAAGCATTTGCAAATTCACAATAAGAATGATTCTCAATGAAACTAATGTTCATTAGTTAATACCAACCTGTATATTGTAAATCTACCAAAACAGCCAGGCAATGATGGCAGGGCAAGAATGATATTGTATATAGCAATAAGTTTATTAACATATCAGATAAAAATCCTCTGTTGGCTCATTCTAAGCATTATTTATACAATGGGGCAAATATATATGGCCTGACCCAGCATTGTCAGCATATTGTAAATCTACTCTCCCTCAACCTTGCTGTAGTGGAAAATTAAGGAGTAATTGAAAATGAAAATCTGAGAGCCACTAGCCATCAGTTAGGATATGTAGACTAGATCAACAAACCTGTATATCTGATCAGTATTGTACCACAATCATTTCGTAGGAAACTCTAGAACCACTCCCAAAGAAATTCTAAGAGAATTGGATGGATGAAAAATAATGAAAAGGAAATGGTCTATTGATTGGATAATAAAGCACTAGTCAGGAACGCAATTGTTTAAGTATCCCTGACTGTGCGACCTAACACATGGCCCCAAAATTCACCTGATCTAAATTAGGTGGATAACTATGTAAAGAAATATTGTGTAAACACATGTATACTGAGTCCATTCAGGATAAAAACCACCTCATCGAGCATGTTAATGAAATTTGGCAACTCCAGGATCAAGCTAAAATAAACAGAGCAATCGATCTGTTCAGATGGCGAGCTATGATGTGCATTGATCAAGATGGGTGCCACTTTGAAAATTTGCTGTAATTGCTGGGGATTATTGCTCAAACTAAATTAAAGTTTTTGATGCAATGCAATACTCTATATAAAGCTTTACCTGTAATAAAATTTGATTTCATCCAGTAGTATTTTTAGTTTCATTGATAACCTTGGGGTCCAAGATTTTTTGGATCACCCTGTATACTGACCATGGCCAAGCAAGGAATGTTAGTAGATTCCATAATGCTCATCGATGAGACATAATGAATGTTTGGGAAAACAAAGATACCAAGCTTATGCTCATGAGAACAGCAAAATCCTTGACAAAGATTAAAATACATAATTCCATTTCATTTGGCCATCCCAGCCATTCTTACCAATTAGGCCTGGGCTGGTAACAGCTTTTTAGACTCAACTTTGCTCAGCTGAGAAAAGTAACCTACTTCCTGATTACAGTACAGATTCCTTAATTACTTCTGTTTCATAGGCATCAGTAATCAGTTCCTGATAACTTTATAGGTATAATTTTGCCAAAACTGTTCATTTAACAATAGTGGAAACTACAGGCAGGAAAACTGCAATAAAATCAGATGAAAAATTTATCTCCAATGAAATAATTATTCCATCAATGAGTGACTCTCTCATTAATGCGATTGAAAAAAAACAAACCTCATACAATACTCATTATAACATGGCAAGAAACCAATGCCTTATATTAGCCATAAAATAAAAAAAAAGAAGTTTTGAATGAGTCCACTTTACCTTCGGGCTGCAGGAATATGCGTCCAACAATACCATATTCCTGGAAGACCTTGCGGATGGTATTCACTCGCATTGTAGGGGGAATGGTGGACAGATAAATTATTCCTGGTCGTTCCTTTCTTTTCCTCTTTTGTCCCTCTTCTTCATCATCTTCTCCTGATAACAGTTTGGGATATTTCCTTAAAAGTGACTTCTTCACTTCAACATTCAAATCCTCAATTGGTGTCATGCTGCAATGTCCTTATCTATAAAGGACAACAGTGGAGCATAACAAGACCACATTTTTACTATCAGGCATCACATTAAAACCTCATTGCAGGTTCCATAATATTCATTTAAAAGGGAAGTTCAGAGCAACAAAAAAACCCACACAAGAGTGGTGATAGAAAATTTTCCATACTTGTTCTCCATTACTAGTTTCTCTTGGAGGTGACCCAATTTTTTGGCTGAAATGACTTGCTGTGACTGTGGGGATAGTTTGTTCAAGTGTTTGGGTCTGTATCTCACTTCTTGTCATTTTCACACATTTTTTTAATACTCAAGGTTAATTTTGACTCAAGAAAAATGTTTTGCAAGGAAGGGTGAAAAGGCTCATGGCAATTTATTTTTTAAATCTAAAAACCACTAATGTGAAAGAATCTTTGTCTTGCATCAAAGTGTCTGAATATGAAAGTTTTTTTGGGATGGGAGAGCCTCTCTACCTGATGACCAGAAATATGGAATACCCTCCACAACTGTCAGGCTTCATATCATTCAAAAGGATGAGTTGAAGACTTCATCTTGGATGATTGTTTATTGTGCTGCAATGTGTAAGATGTAATGGACTTGCTCAGCTGAGATATTGACAACTTCTGGAATGGCCTTCACTGTCAATCAATGATAATCTAAGTTGAGATCTTCAATCAATCGGGAAATTTGAGGCATAGAACCTATTGAGCATCTCCCAAATTGGTTTTCCTTAGAAAGAGTTCCACCTATCCCAAGAATGAGTTGCATAGTCAAAACCTGTACTGCAAGACAAGAACTCTTCTCCATGAACATTTTTTTTTTTGCCTTTCAATAACTTTCAAAAATGATTTTTCAACCTCCATCAGAAACTCCATCGCTGCACATTGCCCTGACTTGAGCCTTCCATCAGAGCAATAAAGTGACCTTGAATTGTAAATTACAAAAAGGGATAAACACCAGAAAACCACCATCAATTACTCACGATTGCTGAGGGGTAATTCATGGAGGTTTTCAACCATGAAATTGGGTTGGCCCCAAGATAAATTAATGGTAGAGGAAAAAGTCTGGGAAATTTTCAAATTCTCTTCTCATGAGATATGAACAAAGAAGGTGGCCTTCAGCAAACACATGCCATAAGCTAATCATTGATTTATGAAGTACAATGGTATTGATCAATGAATGCAAAAGATGGGCTACTGAAATATGTAACTAGATGCTTTTAGGAATCCTAACTTCAATTTTGATTTGGATTAGAGTTAGAAGAGCAGATAGGACTGCACAACGATTCATTGTTTCCTGTGCTTCCAAGTCTAAGAGGTACTTCAATATGAGTTTTTGTGAGAAGTCAGCATTTACATTAAAGTATATAGGCTATAATACTAAAAAAATTGGATGAGTTAAGTACTCTTCTGTTAAAACTCAATTCTTGGGGGGGGGGGGAGATAGAGACAACTTGCCCTAGCAAAAGTCACCATGTGGGCCAAGTGGGCATCCCCAGCTCAAGGTAAGAGGGATCCCACTCATCAAATACTTGATAGATGATGGTGAGTGAGAGAATGAGTGACTGATGCTTAGTCTAACCATATCATTGATAGGATGATAGAAAGCTGAAAGTTGGGACACAATTAGTTGTTGTGGTACTAAGTTCAGGAAAAAATACTACTTTTGGGAAACTTCCCTTGGGGATAACATTTTTGGTGAAACATTTTTCCTGAAACCTCATTGCTCCAGCAAAATGTTCATATGTGATGTGACATTGACAGAAAACTGATATTCAGTGTACAAGTAGTTCTTGGGTGACTGATTTGTGGAAAATTTCTACTTTTGGATACATCCCCTAGGGGCACAATTTTTTTGTGGGGACCATTTTCTCTGAAATGTATTCATTTACAGTGTACAGTGGGTCAAGACATGTAAAAACCTAGCCAAAAGTATAAAAATTAAAGTTCTATTTTTTACTTACTTTACAAGACTTGTAGACATATTCAATGACTGGTGAATTCTTCAGATATTTTCGATTATTGGTTCAAATATTACGAACATTTTGGGAGTGCAAACTGGGACACCCTGTACTTGGCTGAAGGTTCTTATTACAGTGTAGATACCCACCAGTAGACAATGAGAACTATCTATGATTCTATAAGTTGTGGCATGAGTCTCTCAAATATAGTTCTCATGTTATTTCATCAAAGATTCTATCAATAGGTCAAGTTCTTCAAGAAACACCAGAAACAAGAGAGAATTATCTGAAATTATACAAAGGAAAAATCATAGATGTAACATGTTCCATAGAAAGCTTTGTGCTTTCTGTAGAGCAGGTGATTTATTCTCTTGTTGAAATGTATCATTTACCAAAACAAGCAATTAAATATATTTCATGATAAAGCATATTTTTTATCTGTCGTTTTATTCAATTTTTGAGCTAGTGAAAAAAGTTAATCTTTTACTTATAATAATTAGATATAATGAATTACCTAGTTATAAGTATTTATTTAGAAACACAGTTTTTTTTTAGTCCTATCCAACCAGTTCTTACTTGCAGGTGTACAAAGTCCTTAAATGAGATATCTGAGTTTTGGCCAGAAAAAATGCATCGTTGTCCCACTGCAGTGAAAAGCAGATACAAAAAGCTTAAATTTGGCACATACACAACGTGAACGCGTGGAATGCGTTAGATGACGAAGTAGTGAGAAGGAATATCCTAATGGGTGTTCATAAAAATCACGTGATTTGCCATGACTGTGACAAACAAGCTCCCTTCCTCTGATTTTGGGATACAGCATCACAGAATGAGGAAGTCTGACAATTGACCTCGACACGTGATATCGAAATGGGCGAAATCGCCTCTTGATATCACTAACTCTCCTGACTCCTGACACATTTGGCGATCCTTTTAATTTGGAGGGCGTAACCCAAAAAGTTATTGTCTTCAATGCGATTGTTTAAGAAATATGGGTTTAGATGAGAGTGGGCTACCTGGTGTTCCATGCACAGTTATGGGCCTAACTTAAGAGCCTCTGGCAATCCGTACCTTATTGTATCGGGAGCATATCCATCAACTGCCTAGTCGCTTACAACTACATTAACAAAGAGATACCAGTGACGTCAACTGCCCTGGGTCGAGAACCGCATCGGGGCATGACATACGGCTAACCTTAGCTTCTCCTTTGATTTGGGTCCGGACTCTATCCCATCTCACACATCTCGATTCCAGAGCCTGTGAAGGGGGTCTCACGTGGGACTAGGTTCGAAAGACGGCAGACCATGGTTGCTACAACATTGCCGTATAGAAACAAAAACTCTTCCGCTAATTCATCACGTTTTGGAGAGAAAATATCATTTAAATATCGGAAAAATATGTAGTTCTACCTTTGCTTGGAAACTGACAACAGGTATCGCTTTCCTTAAAATGGTCCCTGAAGTGATTCAACCCTTGGGCTGTCAAACCTTTCACGGGCAATCTTCCCCTTGAATGTGTCTACGTTCTATTTCCTTATTCTTCTGGCGTGATCATATCCGTGTTAATCAAAACAAATGAAGTTCATCATACAGATTATTTCAAGGCTCTGTGAGGATCCTTGTGGGTTAGAGCATCCAGCCCATGCCAAGAGCGATGAATCAAAATGGCTACTTGCTGTGTGTCTCCGTTTTAAGGCTGACAACATGTTGATGCTAGAGAGGGCATGGTTGGGACTCCCATAGCGAGAAAGTGATGTTAAGTTCTTGAGTTCTCAAAATTTCCCCACACTTCGATCGGAGGCCCAGCGTGACGACGAAGTTATTGCCGCGTATGGTAAAAGGCAATTATCAGGTTTGACAGTCGCATATGGGTGCACGCTCTTTCCCATCTGGGGCTTGGCATATTTATTATTGAGCTTTGGAATGTGATGTAAGCTAAGGGCACCAAAGCAAACATAAAAAGTTATATGCCGCTTGGAAAAGCAGGAGTGAAAACGCCAGTGAGCACCTAGGTCCATGGTGTCCAATATGTTTGCCACTCGCCACATGTGGCGAATTGGCCACAGAATTGTGGCGACTTAATGCTCTTCATCAGTTATAGTTTTTCTTATAATTTTGAAATATTCGAAATGTTAATATTTAATTTTTTTTTGTATCATGTGGTGAATATGGTGACATGATTGCCACAAGTTTGGCGAGCATCGAAATCCTATTGGACACCAATGGTCTAGGTAACAAGATTTGGTCCACTAAGGTACTCTATCCACAGAGATAACTGTTTAGAGAGAGAAATGTGGTGGTCATGGTTAATTATGTACCCCAAAGTCTCGAACCCTGCTGTTCCAATGTGGGAGTATCATCTTCATGATGGATGGATATGCTCTCATCTCTTCTCATCAATACGGGGCCTTGCTTTTTCCACCCTAGGACCCCTTCATGCCTAAGGAAAACATCACTACCAAGTGTTATGCTTGGGACATGATTCATGTATAGACAAATAGAAGTTAGGAGGGGATCAAAGTGTACATGGTGAGCATGGGGAATTCCCATAATGAATGTGCACCTCTGCAGGTAATGGGGGGTTATGGTTAAGTGCATACCCCCTAGGGATATTGTGTTACCCCTAAAGTTAGGCTAGGTTAGGTTTGGTTAGTGTATATTATAAATAAAAAGAATCCCAATGGATGTGGCATGTTTCCAGTTGAATTCATCTAGAAATATTAGAGATCAGGAGTGCAATTTCTCTAGGGGGTACACACTTAACCATTGCCACCTAGAGGTGGTGTCATGGTTATGATTTTATGTTGGAAAATGAAAGGGCTTCTGCTGGCAATATACATTGTAAATTCTTCCTAATGTGTTTCATAAGTCTTTTGGGTGTCAAAGACATGTGTAACATGCACCTACTAAGTACTAACATGCAATCACCCACTGATGGATTCCTCAACTATGCCATCACTCTTCATGTCCATTTTGATCATGTGTAGCCTTGGATATGAGAGAATTGAAGCATATACAGAGAGGATTGGTGCACGTGTATCATAGCCTAGGTCGCTGAAGTATACACAAGGTCAACAGTACTTCTGTTAGCTATGTATGGTATAATTTTTCCATGGTGACCAGGTTCATGCATAACTATGTATTGGTAAATGAAAAATAATACAATCAAACAATAACCTTGAGATATCTCACAAAATATTAATTGCTTTATATGTTATATTCTAGTGCAGGGCAGTTCCTAAGTTACTGATATAACTCCAGACTCAAAATGAAATCATGTATGATGTGTTATATCTTAAGGATGGTTTGGTCCAGAAATTCTAATTTAACATTGCCTTATAGAGCATAGATACCTATACCTATTCCTGTCAACATTTTCTCATTTCTCCCATGGATGAAAAAGAGAAAGGCCATTCATGTTATGTTACTGACCTAACACAGTTTAGAGAACAGTTTTTGTTCTGCTCCTTCCCTTCCAATTTTATCTGATTTGGCTTGGCCTGAAGCTTCCATATTTTCAGAAAAGAAGGCATAGACCATCACCTTTCTTCATGCCAAATGACATTTTTTGTTGTTCAAAATGAATTGGCTGGGAGAGTTTTCCAGTGTTACTGATATAACATAGTCAAAAAGCAAGATTCATGAAGTAAAATGCTAAATTCATTTTAATGGAATGGTTGGGGAGTAGTGATAAACCATCCAACTTCATGTGATGAATGTTTAATGGAGCTTTTTTGGTCCAAGTTTAGTACCCATGAGGTGTGGGAAATGTATGTTGGATGACAGATTTGTAAATAAATTTTTTACCACTTTTGTCCCATTTACTCTGGAACTGCCTTGCACAAAGTTTCTTAACTACTGTTCCCCTCCCATTTCATTGATGGCAAAAAAGCCATGATTTGCATGGATTTAGAAAGTAAATATTCTCCATTTGTATTTTTTGCATTATTATTGTGGGGTGGGTTAGACTTTTTGTTTTTGCTTCTCAACTCATTCCACTGTGGAATAAGAAGTGAAATAAGTTTATCTGACCTCAAACAACACACTTGTAGCTTCAATATGACAGGTCCAAGGGGAACCCTGGCCTTAAAATACCTCTTAATCTCTTCACCTGGAACATGGGGGATGGTATTTTCCTTGAAAATCAGAGTTGTAAAATTTGTCATTCAGCTGCTTAAATGATATATAAGTTGGTAATAATGCTGATGATTATGCTACTGATCATAAAGGTGATGACTATTTATAAGTAAAAAAAGGGATACATCGTGTTAATGATTCCTAGTGGGACTCCTTTTGTTGAGAGTAAATGATTATGCGGTTCTGCCTATGGAATTCTGGAGGTACACAATATTGGATGAACCATTAAGTGCAGGAATATCATGGCTTATCAATACATATTGGCTAACACTTCTCCTCCACTTAAATCCCACATCCTCTAACCTTATCTAACCCCAAGGAACTTCTGACATGATCTGTCCATTCATGTTTTGAAACTGGAAATGGGTATTGCTTGGTTGAAAAAGGCTGCTTGGATTTTGTATTATTTTGAATTAAGTTAGGTGGAGGCAGACTGTATGGACAGGCATAAAACATACTTGTTTTATGATATAGTTATAATTATTTTAAAATAATCTTGCTTCTAGGGTGCATGTCATTCATGTCACCAGAATGCCAACATCACTATTAGGAGTTATTTGTTTCATCTGTCTCAGCAGAGCTCTCTATTATGGCTTGTGCCTCACATGCTTTGACTAACCCATATGTCATTCTACTCTCCATGTTCCAGGATTGATTTGAGTGTGAATTTTCCTTTTCTCAAGAGCCTCCACCTGAAGGGCAGAAGTGGCATTGCAAAATGAATTCCTTGCACACAATGCAAAGAGGATACTTTTTTCCAGTATCACCAGCTGATATCAGCTAATATGAAGAATGTTTCCTGGAAAAGACACATATATTTTTCTTGTGCTCTTCATTTGGCACTCATCCCATTCAAGTTGTGATGATGTCCAATTTAAAACAAGTAAGTTGCTGATTCTTCTCAAATTTGTCCATATATTGTAAATCTCAAATATAACAAAGGGTAATGTTGGACTAGACACCTTTCTTTTGCAATGTAATGAGGCTAATTAGGAAGAAAAGGGTCATAGATCAGACAGTGAGACAGGAAATAAGGGAGATTTACTGTCAAGATCCACTGATTCACTGTCTTAACTCTTTTCTGGGAAAATTGAGGAACAGTTTACCTTATTTTTATTCCCCTGAATCTTATGAAGTGGAATTGTGGAATGAAGAAATTCAGACACAAAACAATAATCTCTTGATCTCTTTGCAACCCAAATTGCCCTGTCAAATATTGATGCTTCATTGCATAACTTTGACAGATGAGGAAAACAAGGTCTGACATTTTTGAGTTGCTGAGTGTTGTGATGGTAATGCATATCCCTTCCCTTTGATAGGTTTGGGCATCCAATTTCTGAAGGAGCCGAAGCCACAAACAGTTGCACCAGGGAAAGCAGTGACATTTGAGTGTGAGACTGACTTGGAGCCAGAAAATGTGGAATGGTTACATGATGGCCAACCACTCATCCCAGATGAAAATATTCAAATGTCTTCATCTCAGCTCACCATCCTTGTCCAGAAAGAATACCCACAGTATGAGCAACAGTTAGGTGAATATCAGGTATGTTATCAGGCTTCTCATTAAGCCATGCTTAATTTAACCAAGTTTTCCCTTTAATTAGTTACCTTTAAAGTTCCCTGGTTGGTTACTAGTCCAATTTCAAGAACCAATTCCTTGAACACCAGGTTGATGGTTATATTGCTCTATGAGCAATTTAATTTTAAGAAGTTCATACATGTGTGTGGTGAATTGGAAAACAAGGGTCAAATACTCAGACCTCATCTAATATGTCTTGAGCTCTTGTATGATGATTGCTTTCTTTTTATCATGTAGACACTAGCTACTGGCTGATTCTTTTTTTATAAGTGTTGGGCTGATGGCCAAGAACTCACAAAGGGCAATGTGATGGTATGACAGTCATCCTGACTGTTTTGTTTTTTTTTTATAGTACTGATGGTCTTTCCCTGTGTCACTACAACAACTGTGGGTGTTTGTGGCTGATAACCAATGAATGTTAATAATTTTAAAGATATCTCAGAATGGCATTTTTCCACAGTTGACTTTTGGCTGCTGTTGGTACCTTTTTTCTGTAACTTGGCAGCATAGTTAAATTTAGATCCATAAGCCAGAAAGCCCAAAGTGAAAATTTTGAAAAAGATTTCCTCATAAACTTAAGAGCATATTTCAAATTCATGATAGTCTCTATGTCTGGAGTTCATGAGTAGACTGCAGTTTGTATAATTTGTCCATGTTTCAGTGCGTGGTATGGTTTCACCCAATTGCGGTGACATCTCTACCTGGGACATTGAGTGTTGCTGCTCTGCTGCCCTTCCATGATCTCGAAGATTACAATGTCTCTGTTGTTGAAGGAAACACAGCAGTCATCCAGTGTCAGTCACCATATTCTAAGCCATCAGCAAAGATTGAATACTACTTCAATGGAAAATCCTTACCTCAGAAAAGTGGTGAGTTTGCTTCTTTTTCTCAAAGCATATACATGGCATTCTTAATGTTTTCTAATTTACTGATTGAAAGGAATCAATCCAGGTTGCAATATCTATTGTGATTCTTATGAAGTGTGAAAAGAGGGAAAAGGATAATTTGGTTGTACCAGTAACTACAGCCCATTTCCCCAACTGGTTGGCTGAAAGTATCTTTCATCATCAACCACAAGGAGTTAGTTTTATATGCTGCCTTCACACAGGCACCTAAATTTCTGTTATTGTGGTCAGTGAAATGGAGAAGTCCCCACATCATGAACAGAATGCATTTATCAAGCACAAATGTCATTGTCTCATATTTTAGCATTAGATTTTCATGTTGCTCAGAGATTTACATGCCTGTTTTTTTTAATAATGGACCCTTCTAAGTCATTTTTCTTATTTTCATTTAATGTATTTTTCCCATGTATTAGTGAGTGACTTGAGATAGTGTGTCAGAGGAATCTCTCATCTATGCATGTTGGATGGCAGAGTCTTTTTCCTCCTCATTTATAGGGCACCACCTGATGAATTCAGAGATCCTGGTGATCGTGAATGCAACAAGAGGGGATTCTGGATGGTATGCATGTTCTGCCTTAAATGAAGTGACTGGAGAAAAGGAGACATCAAAGCGCCGAGTTCACCTCACAGTAATGACTCCGCACAAGCCAACACTCCCGTCATTTACTCTTTCTCCTGTGGAGAAGTACCTGTCTGTGATGGGTATGCTCCTCGTTTGTTTCATTTTGGTATCATAAGCCTCAAGTAGAAATCAGAATTCAAAGTCTTATTATGTATTCAGAGAACAAAATCTTCATTTGTCAAGTTAAGCTTCACGTTTTCATAGAGAGTTTGTGGAATTTTATCCACTGTCAGGAACAAATCTGGGAATAGGATGTTGCAATTTTGTATCACATTCCCGTACATGTTCCTGTTCCACAAACTCTGTAATTAGGACTACTAGTGAGGTGTGGTGTTCTAAGTATATGCCTACATATTATTCTATGAAAATTGTGTAATAAAGTCATAGTGAGAGGGTCTTTCAATTGGATCAGTAATAATTATTGCTGATGGGATATATGATTGTTTAATTTGGAAGTAATTTTTGTGTCAGCAGTGCACTTCATCATTAACTGATACAATGTCTCAAATATTTCATTTTCTTCCATAAGAAATAAACTGATGCCTTCATGATGAACTTCAAGTTATTGAAGATGAGGTATCCTGCAGGACTATAACAGCATGAAATTCCAACCAGTAACTAATATTTTCTCTCAAGTTTGTTGATATGCTTGTTGTAGTGGGTTCACTGGTAGGTCTTACAATTTTAGGCTTTTTTGGCATCAAACATTGTGGCCACAAGGAAATGAGAAATTATGAGGCTGAAGTGGATGATTGAATGCAACTGTGGAGGATTAGACCTCTAGGCCTATGGTACAGTTTCCTTTAACTGTCTTGACCTACTCCATTGCACTGCACTGTAAACTTATGTGTGCATACCTCACATTAGATGGATGTCTCTCATTTGGAATGAACTGATGCAAACGCAAATACAGCTCACAGCAAGTTACATTCATTGACTCATAATAGGGGTTCCAAGGTAGCCTAGGCTGGGCATGAACCTGATGCTATTCCAGGAGCCATGACATAGACTGAACAAACTAGACCCAGACCTAGTTTAGCCTGCTCTCTCCAAAGAGATTTCAAATTGAATCTAGAACACAACTTAAAATTGGGAGTGAAAATTGACAGGGTGCAACCGAAGCCACCAGTCCTGTCTCACACTCACATACTTAGTGTTTATACAAGTGGCTATCTAGTATGTCATGGCACTTTTCACCTATGGTTCTTACTGTGAGAGTGCAAGTTCTGTTTCCACTCATTGCCTTGTTTTCTTGAGGTCACAGCTCCTTCATTATTTCAGGAACAACTTTTTTCTGTCAAATGCTTCAAGAGCTGTGTTCCTTCTATACCTATGAAATTTTAGTGTTCTATCAAATTTCTCAAAATTTTCACAGACTTTTGAAATTGAGTTTATTCAAAGATTTTTTAAAAAATGATCAAATTTTCAAATTAGAAACAGAGTTGTCATGTATCTCTTTACCTGTATAGGTGATAACACTACTAGGAAGCAGTTGGAAAAGTTTGTATGGGGATTTTCACCTTCATGGTAAGAAATGGTTAAGACTGCCATTTTGCCTCTTAAAAAATGTGATCATATTTATTCAGTTGTTTCAGCCAACTGTAATTAACCTAAGTGGGTTTGACACATGCATATATGTAAAGCTAATTTCATGTTTGAGTTAAATATATTGATAGATTCAAAAAAGCATGGAAAATTTCTGTTTGCAAGCAATAATTCTTACTCACTTGAAAAAAATTCCTCACTTCAGTGGTAGACTTCTGTCTGAGAAATTCCCTACTTGTTAAGTAGTGACAAGTATGACGAGTATGCCCATATATATACGGGCTGACATCCTCCTGCCCTCCATGTATTCACTATGGGCGATCTTCTAGATGTTAAAAAAACCCACTCCTCAAGGGGTTAAGGGATAAAAATGTCTATAAAAGAAAAACTGCTGACAGATACAAAGCTGAATTTTGTGCAGATATAGATAAAGGCATAGCTATTGAAGCACTTGGCATTACTGTGTTCCTATAATGATTTAAGAGGTTTGTTGCAGTGATCACTACTTTTGAGCATACCTTGCTGCCTACATATAGCCCAATGTTTTCAGATTAGGCCAAGGACCTTGTACCTTTAAGAAAATACCAGCAGAAACATCTACTGAATACTTTTATGTCCATTTCAGCTGACGACCAGTTATTGGTATTGATAACAGTCAACTCTCAATATAATACCACTCATGCTTATTGCCAACCTTTTTTGTGGACATATATTCCCATAGGCCTATATAATACAGGATATAGATAATTCGATATAGCACTGCCCTTGTCATAGCACTAAAATCAGTGATGACCAACAATGGCATTATATTGAGGGTTGACTATAGATCCAGCCCTTGTATCCTTTCTGGCAACCAGCTTACATTATTTTTGTCTGTTTCTAGGTTCAACTGTGATACTGGAATGTGTTGGACATGGGAATCCTGTGCCTAGAATAACATGGTCAAAGTATGGTGGCAGCTTGGATGCAGAAAGGCATGTCCCTTTGCCTTTTGGGTTGATGATTCGCCAGGCTCAAGAAGTAGACCAGGGAACATACATATGTGAGGCTGATAATGGACTTGGTCCACCCAAAAAGGTCATCACAAGCCTTGAGCTCAAAGGTGAAAGATTTATGCCTAATATTGTTGAACCTTCTGTCTTTCATCCATTGCTATGTTGAAATTCCTTCAAGTGTCATATATTATATGCAGAATCAAAGTAGATATAGAGAACTTCTGAGCAATATAATATTCATTGTGATTGCAGCACAGAATCTCAGGTAATTAGAAAGGAGAGGGTTGTATCTACTTGAGAAACTCATGGGAATACTCTGCTTTTTCTTTCAGAGTTGTATTTTTTGCTTCGTTTCAATTAGTAGAACCTCTTCCTAATCATTTTTATGGAGGAACCATGGAGGTTCTCAAAAGACCAGTTCTGGGATACTGTTTCATTCTCTTTGTTTTTTTTTCCTCTCATCTCTTGCAATCCTGGAATTCAGTTTCCCATTATATTCAGAGGGAATATCCTTTTATCCAAAAGAGAATGGAAGGAGGGAAGGAAAAAAATTCAAAACAGTATCACCAGATAAGCTGGAACTTTATTGCTATATGGTAATCTTTTGAATTGATTTGGCAGAGGGTCCCAAGATCTTGGAAGGCCCTAGAGACCAGGAAGTGGAAGAAGGTGGTTGGGTGAAGTTTCCTTGTAGAAGTGATGGAAATCCTCGGCCAACTGTCACATGGGTGTTCAACGGCAAACGACTTTTGCAACTTCCCAACGTTCGCATTTCAGGTGCTGTTTCCCCTATATAAAGTTACATTTAGTAGGCCATCTGATGATGGAGTGAACTACGGAACTATATCAGTGGTTCCTGATTATTTGCCTATAAAGGTCTGCAAAAATTGAATATATTTCTTGGATTTTTAATGAAATCATAGCAAAAATGTAGTTTTTCCATGAATTTTTTGATGAAAGGAAACAAACAAATGTGGCTGCAAATTTTTTAATCCCACCTGTGTCATGAAAGTGGACATCTAATCAGGTCTTCCTGGTTCCTTGGACATGCATGGTTCTGTATTACAGCATTGTACAGGATTGCATTGCTTGGGATTATGGGAGCACTTATCCTTCAGAAGCAACTGGTTGAGGGACTATAGAAAATAAAATCAAAATTAGGAGGATTGATCTCTGAATAGGAAACAAAGTCAACTATATTAGAAGAGTAAGTTAATAACAAAAGGAAAGTTTACATGTCAGTCTACAGGTGTTGGTTGTTATAGACTCAAGAGCCCTTTACTGTAGCAAATATCATTTCCAGAAATCAGTCCTTATCCAAGATCATTTTCATGAGTCATAGCCATCCAATTGTATCTCATTAGCTGGTTAGTTCAATGAGACACTCAAACTGGACATTTGAGACTCCTTGTTGGATTCAGTTCCAAGGGCATAGTTATGATCCTGATTGAAGCAAGTAATGATGAAAGTGAAACCTCTGTCTGATTGCCATAAGAGATGACTGAATCTGCTGGCTCTCTCTCCCCCTGTGATGCATTAAAGCACCATTGATAGTTCAGGTCAATACATCTGTATTTTCAAAATTGTCTTTGTGACAGTCTTAAAAAAGAGTAGAATGTGGCTTCTTGGTTGGCCTATTTATCATGGTTCTTCACTCTATCCACATGTCACAGTCAGCATTGACACCAGTTGATGGCTATGAGATCATCATTGGCCAAATGTGGCCACTTGTACAGCTCTAATTATTGGGAATGGGGCATCAATACAGGAGAACCCAGGTTAGAAGAGTAGATGAGGTTGGGTTGAAAGCGAAGCCCTGAATAATGGGAGTTCTCGCCCAATGCAATTGATGTCACTGGTATACACCTACCCCAACTGCTCCATTCTTGCCCTTGGTTTTCCTCCGATGTTATATTATATGAAGTATAACGTCCACATTTCATGACTAATCGCTCATTTACAATTTTTTCCTTACATTGCAGAAGGGAATGCATCAGATAGGAAAGAGCCAGGGATGATTCCATATTGAAAAGTTTGAGAGGGATGTGTCTGCAGTGAGAATATATTACGTACAGAAATTGTTGACATGGGTCATTTGCCCTTTTGAAATGGCAATGAAATATGTGCTTATTGTCAGACTTCCTCATTCTGTGATGCTGTATCCCAAAATCAGAGGAAGGGAGCTTGTTTGTCACAGTCATGGCAAATCACGTGATTTTTATGAACACCCATTAGGATATTCCTTCTCACCACTTCAACAAAAAACTTCCACTTCTTCATCACCTTCTTGTTCTTGCTGAGCAACTCAGGATTTATGAAGCAAATCCAGATGAATAGCTGCATTCTTACAAAAGTGCAATAGAATGCAGGTGCAAAGAGCAAGGTGATATGGTTAAGAAAAAACTAATCGATGACATTTTTAACAGAGGAGAAATAGACTAGAAAAAGGAGATTTTATCCATCAGCCAAGGAGAGTGTATACCAGTGACATCACTGCCTCCCGAGTCCCACCCCCTGCTGGGATGTAGCCCAACCTTATCTTCTCTTCTAACCTGGTAGGAGAACCATGGCTGCAACACAACTTTTTATTTTGCTGCTCATCAGAGGATGGAGTAAATGTATTTAAGAGAGAGTTTATATTTTTGTGAAGGTTTCCCATATGGAAAGACCATATATGGTAGTTATATGCAGTTATTGGTGCCATATATTTTTCATGTACTTAAATATGAACAAACATATATGAGGGCATATATGGTTGAAGCATATGATCCTTGTAAGGATTATTCATAAGGACTTTCATATATTGTATATACATGTTCAGCATTCATGCTTTTGCAACAAAATATATTGCTAGAAATAAATACAGTCGAACTCTGTTATAGTGATGAAAAGCACCAGGTCCCAGCATAGAGCCCATAAGGCATGTGCAATTTTATCTCTGTTACAGCAAATTTGAGTATAGCATGAACCTTGGTTATGACAAAGTCCATTCAAGGTCCCACTGACAAAATTGACAAAGTTAGCATCCCAAATTCGTCATTCCTTTCTGGAATTTCCATCATCAGAAAGATGAGCATTGGCAAGCCATAACTTTTTTTTCCTGGAATCTGTATTCCTTGAGAGTCATGGTTATGACTGGAGGAGGATGAGGGAGGGATAATTCCCTGGCCAGTGAAAAGTAGAAGAGGCAAGCCTTCACAATTGAAAAGAAAGTGGGTGAAGTAAAGCTAATGTCACTAGTGAACATAGACAACTGCTCATCTGTTTTCAAAATTTGGGAAAATTTGACAGCTTCATCCATGCTTAAGAGAAGAATGTGTCACAAAACAAGAAATTTCGTAGATCTGTCAAGAAGATGTCAACGAGACCTTGCTAAAGTAGTTCAAGGTCCAAAGAAGTGCGAACATCATGATTATAAGGTCAATGCTGAAGCTGAAGCTGGTGCGGCATGATTGATGTACACTGGAGCTTTATCATTATATAGCATCTGTTTTGAAAACAGGAGAATAGAATGTCAGCAAAGGCAGCCTTGCTTATAATGAACCTCAGTTATAACTATGATATTTCCCTGGTCCCTTCAATGACATTATAACCAAGTTTGATTGTATCCCAAATGCATAAGGTACAGTTAACAGTTTATATGATATGGTCATACCCACACAGCATAGTGACATCCCAGGGATGTCTACAACTGGATGACTTGTCCCAAGGTCTTTATGGGATATTTTAAGGACATCTTCTGTTGGATGGTTTCTGACATCTCAAAAGGGTTGTATTCAGGACTTCATATTCTGAACAAGAAAAAATCCTCATGTGAATTTCAGTCATTATAACCCATTTGCTAAGATCCTTGCATTTTGCTCCAAATTTTCAAGTGTTGTTGCATTAACATTCTTGAAAATGCAAAAATTAATGTGTCAGACTTTCATGGAACACCTTGCATAAGCTCTATTCAGGTAATAAAATTTGCCTACATAATGCCATCAGGGCTGAGATATTTGTTGACAAATTTGTGCTTTCAGACTTTTGAAGGGTCATGAAATAGCTCTTTCCATATGAAATAGTGTAATGATGGAAATTGCATTATTTGGCTTTAGCCTCGGGACTGGAGGTTCTGAGGGTGAAGAAGAACCATGCAGGGGTGTATCAGTGTTTTGCTGCTAATGGAGTTGGTAGAGCAACACAGAGTGCCTTGTTACGAGTACTTCCCCAGGAAGTCACACATCATTCTAGCATCTCTTCAGGTGAGACCTTTTTGAACCCCTGGTTCTACGATGAGAAAAATCCTCTTTGGAAACCCCATGTAATGCCATTCATTTACCATAGACTGAGTTTATTTGAAGACTAATATGCTGAAATATTTTCATGAATCCCACTACCTAAAAATACCCAGACTTTATTGGCAAGGTTAAGACTTGAGGAACATTGCTTTTGTGAACTTGTGCATTGTCATGCCATATTAGGACCACCCCTTTCCTCAACTTTCCTTTGCATTTGTTTCTCAATGAAGTCGCACAATCTTCCCAGCAGTGCAGCATAGTACTAGCTCATGATCATATCCTGTTAGGGGGCTTGTGGATCCTTTGAATGCCTCCCAAAGTGTTTAGGTGGCAGAGTCCTTATGCCTCCATTGTATTGACTTTTGTTTGGATTCTGGGTCCCTTTTTCATATGATTCATAATGCCTTGGTGGATCCTTTTTTGGGAAAACAGGCAATATTATGACTGTGTAGAGTGGTTTGCATCTGCTCCTGCAGGTGCACATCTTTCCTTTTCTGTGTGAATATTCATGGCTGGAATCCTTGCAATTGACAGAAGGTGGAAAGGAGGTGGAGGAGGTGAATGAAGACAAGGATATGACTGCTGATGGAGACGCTTTTGAGACTGGCAAAAGAGAGAAAGGAAAACACAAGCAGCAGCATCAGCAAATTCATCCTGAAGGTAGTGAATCAATTTCATTACCATATTTGCTTTTCTCATCTGTTTTCTTATATATATTATATTCACTTTCACTGATTCTTTGAGAAATTTGTGATAACTTGCACCTGTGTACAGAATGTTGTACTGTTAACAAGGGATGTAATGATAATAAAAATTTCTGATATTCTGATAAAGTGGCCAGAATATTGGGTTTTCTCATATTCTGCTAACTCCATATTCTGGCCTGATATTTGATCATTTATATCAATCATCAATATTGAGAGAGCACCTCTGTTACGAGGTTAAGAATATGAATCTGACAATGAAATTGAAGAGGCTTGATTTTTACTTATGTTCCTTTCATTTTTTTGTCTCCTGGAACTAAATTTGCTGCTCATTTTCAATTATATGACCAGTTTGCCTAAACCTGAATGTGTCCTTTGGTTCCTTCCACACAAGTTAGCATTTTCTCCCAGATTGGGTATAGGTATTCTATATTTATTCTATATATGTAATATCCGCATTCCATAAGCCTAGTATTGGCATGGTCTTTGCATTACATTGTTGATAAATTTTTCCCCCATTGCCTGTCAATTTGTAGATATAAGTATCCTGATGCCTACCAGTTTATTTCTGGCAACATCCCACTCGACAGAAGTTTGCTTCATTAATGTCCTGCAACAATGAAAATACACAGAAAATGCTAGTCTATTACATAAGCCAAGCTCTTTCCCTAAGAAACAATATCTCTTCTGCAAACACTCCATAAATACATCCTTCAAATATGTTTCCCATTTGTTTCCTCTGCTGTGTATGCAATGCTTATGGCCACACAAAAAATGTCTATGCCTATGTATCCTGATGACAACCAAATCTCCCTTCTTTCTTACTTTCTTAATAGATCCTGAAATATGTGTGTAGGCCCAATGGGCTCATGTTGAGGCTTAGGCCCAATGTTACATTATGACTGCTGATGACCATTGTTGATAAAGCCATCAATTATGCTTAGCAGGGCATATTCATATCAATACCATGACCTCATCAGCTTCCTCATTGGGTGGTGTCAATCTTGATTTGCCTCATTTCCTGCATGGGTAGTGCAGAATATTGATTCGAATTAGGACTGTCACTATACATGGTCAGTGACATTGTGGGTTTTATCAAAAGGCTTCACAAGGCATCTATGGGCTGAAAAGAAATGTACTGAAATAAAAATTTTCAGATGTACACTTTTAATTATGGTCATCTTTGAGTCTGGAATACAAATGGAAAAAAAGTACTTAAAAAGTTCCGAAGATGATGGAAGTTACTTCAGTGCAGGGCAAGGCAGTGCAAGAAACAGCTTCTTTTCTTTTTTTCTTTCACTCTTTTATCTATCTTAACTGGCTTCAGGCTCTCCTTGTATGATATTATAATTGGACACAGACTATGCAAGCTTTTCCGCAGGGCCCAACATTTTAGTATGGGAAAATTTCCATTCTTCCTTTTCCCTGACACTTGCATCTATCAATTAATATATAATTTGCTGTTGCATCAATGCTTCATCGATGGTACAGGTCTGTGGATAGGTGATTTCAAAACTACTATTTTAGTAGCCCTAATTCTAGAATCCACATTCACTGTAGCCAATTTGACACCCATTGTGTACTGGATAGACCTGTTAGCAGGTGAGGACTGCTGGCATACTGTACAGGTATTGAGAGAAAGGCACTCATTACACACTTGCGTTAAAGTCTGATATCAGCAGAACAAATTATTGGATTGCAGGTATTTATCAAAATCTTACATATTTGGTTGGTACTGACTTTTGAAACACCCTGAATATGATTAAATCTCTACTCTTAACTGCAAATTTAACTGTGGCATCAAATAATGATATATTTGTTGAATTCCTTCTGTAGAACTCAGACTTTGTGTATCATATCTTTAGCCCAGTCAATTTGAAACATCCCTCTTGTATATTAATATTTAGGGAGGGGCTAGTCGGGTGTTTTAAGTTAATACCATGATGTTCCTTACTCTCCAAAATATTTAGCAAACATTTTTTGGGCACTCAAAGTCAATCCATGAAGAGCAGGATTGATTTGCTTGCTCTAAATTTCCAAAGAGCCCCATTATAAGTGAATTTTTGCTGACAACATTTACATTTACATTTAGTTTTGTGTTATCAAATAGTGCTTAGAGAATAGCAATATGTAATGAGTGCAATGTCACTTGCAATGAGTGCATGGAGTCTTTTGAGTATGTCCAGATAAGCCAGACAAAATGTAGCCAAAGGATTGAATATGTAAATTGGGAGACTAGCAGATTTTTATGAAGTAATAAGTATCAGTTCTTACTTTCATTAAGTTAATTTTGAGAAGGATTCAAATGTTAGTTATAGACCTGTTTTATTTATTTATATAATCACTGCAATCATTTTAGTTCCACATTTACAAAGAATTTCATCTGGTTTTATCTATTAATTTGTAGGAGGGTGTTGCATTTTCATCTTTTGTAGTGTGGTTGAAAATTCTAAACTTATGGTATTTTTGTCTACACCAGATAGAGCATCTCTTGCACATGTCTTGACAAGTTCATTGATTGAAGGATCATACTTGTCAGAGAAACAACAAGGTGATGACAGCAAAAGAAATACGAGGAAATGAAATATTCCTAATGAGAAACACTTTGCTTCCATTCAAGAGGTTTGATTAGATTAAAAGTTGGACTCTGATGATCAGAGCAAAATTGTTGAACAGAAAAGATTATGCATGTAGGCCAATTTGATTAATTCTGCTTCAGAATCAGGAAGTTTTCACTCTGGCAGATATATGTTGCAAGATGTCTTGTCTGATTCTCATTATTGTTCATGAGCTCTTAGAGCCCATTTCTTGATGAATATTTTCTGTCATTATTTTATTTGACAAATTATCCCTATTTTTCAGTCCAATAAAGTAATTGGCAGGGTGACAAGGGCATCTTATTCTTGTCTCCCAAGAGTGCTTTATGTTCATTCTGGATGTTCTTGTTCATAGGTGGGAGGGATCTTCTCATTCCTCCATCACAGCCGAAGGTGATTCAGATATCTAATGACTCTGTCATGCTTTATTGGACACTCCCATCTCCACCTGAGAATTCCACAAGTCTTCCAGTGACTTTCTTCAAGATTCAGTGGAGGGAAATCTCACCTGGAACCAAGTGGAATACTATGGATGATGAAATCCCTCCCCATGCTGACAGCTATGCGGTTCCAAATTTGGAAGCTGGAAAAGCCTATAAGTAGGCCTTTGTCTTTTTTTTCACATAACTTGACTTGCATATCTCTCTGTTCATGTCATGGCATTGCTGACTTTGTTAAATCATTTTTGTTGCTGTTTTTGAAAGGTTTAGGATTGCTGCTGTTTATTCCAACAATGACAATCGCTTAGGGAAGAAGTCAGGGAAATATACCCTGTCTCAAATTCCAGCAGACAAGAAGCCTTCCATTGCTCCTAGCATTGTGAGCCTTGAGGCAATCAGCTCAACCATCATTGCTGTTAATTGGGAGGTGAGTCTTCAGCTTTTTTTGGTCTTATTTCTCTTTATTTCTTTACAAAAATTACAAATGGGACCATTCATTCCATTGAAGGTGTATGCATGTTTTAGCACCATAACATTAACCAAGTAAAAGGTTGACAGGTGTCATTAACTGCAGCAAAGTTAATTATTAGTTAATGGCAATCCTTTATACCCTGATTTAAATGCCCCATGCTGACAGGCTTTAATTAGATTGCCAATTAAATGTTGACCATATCCAGAATGAGAAAAATTTGAAATCACTGAATGGAGGTAGAGAGCAATATAGTGGATATAAGTATCTTGTATCTGCATGACACTGTTCATCATGGATGTGGTTAGGGTGCTTCATTCTTACTTCCATCTAATCCTCCTTATGTAGTATGAATTGGATGAAGTGCCCATTGATGGATTCTTCATCTACTATCGCATGACTACAAGTGCAGGGAAGTACACAAAGGTCACAGTACTTGGGAGTACATCAAGGACACATGCACTTCATCATCTTCTACCTGGTACTTCCTATGATGTCAAAATGCAGGCCTTTAATTTGGCTGGCACATCCCACTACTCTGCAATTCAGACCCAAAAAACACTCAGTAAGTACTCCGAATCTCAAGGCAGGCTGGTAAGGCAATTAATTCTATGTATACTTTCTATAGATAATGTATGTGGACTTTGAATGGTATAGTATAACATTATTTGTAGAGATCAACCAATATTGGCCAATATTTCAGCATAAACAAAACCATATTGAAGTTTCAACAGGATGGCTAGGTTTTATTTCAAATTCAACTTGATGAACTCACAATGAAGTTATGCTGCAAAGCATAGGCTTTAGAGCATTGGTGTCCAATAGGATTTTGATGCTCACCAAACTTGTGGCGATCAGGTCACCATATTCGCCACATGATACAAAATATATGCAATATTAATAAAAAGGATGCACAATCTTTTGAAAGTAGGTTTGATGAAGCGCATCAATGTCAACATGTCTGTGGCCGATTTGCCACACGTGGCAAGTCGTGAATGTATTGGACACCATGGCTTCAGAGCAAAGGTCTGCCTCTATGTGCCAGACCAGGAACATAAGCAGAGCAAAAGAACTGCAATTCCTTGCCTCTCAGATGATGCCATATTGGCTATATCGCACATCTCAGGGTTTCCATATGGGCACATAAAAGATAGTCCTAGTCCTATTTTTTTTCACTGTATATATTGAACAGAACTCTACTTCTAATATCAGCAAAAAAATTAGGTTTGAAAGAGCATTGTGAATACTCACCAATATGCCCATATCAGCAACCAATATATTGGTTGATCTCTAATTATTTGTAATGTGTAAAAGTAACCATTTAATTTTTTCTTATTGATTCATGAAAAGCCCATCAGTGCCCTTGGAAAATTTCAAGAGATGAAAATCTTTTTATTTTTGGTAGGCATGAGGCACTCAGAGCCTAAAGAGGGGAATGCAAAGGCTCAAGAGACTTTATATGAGAAGGCAGAGAAGAAGAAAATAGGCCGCAAGGTGGATACTCCAAACATCTCTCAGGCAGGGCTTGAGTTCCCACACTATCTGATTGTGGCAATAGTCCTTGGGAGCATTTCCTTCCTGGTCATTCTGGCCTGTGCCTTCTGTTATGTTCGGCATCAGTGCAAGAATCCCCCTGGTGAGTTTCTATTTTTCCCCACTAATTACCCATTACCTGTTAAAATGTTAGTTGGTTCTAACATCAGAAACTGGAATGTTACACCTCAAGCTAATTGCTTCTATTAAAGTTACAGTTGCAGTCTCAAAGCCATCTAACATTTGGGCAAGGCATTTTCCTCGTGTCAGCTTACATTGGAAGTTTTTTCTTGATAGGTTTTTTTTCACAATTTAATTTGCCAGTATAACTTTTTTATATGTGCATTCATTTTAGCTTGCCTGGTCAATTCACTTACAGAGGACTGACTAGTCTCAGACAATTCAGTGATGAACAATATGCCTGTGGTTTGTTTAAACATTATTCATGCAATAAGCCTAATTGTATATACAGTCAACTCTGCATAATGGGATACTGATTGATAGAATACTATTGCATGGTCCCAATTTTTTAACCATGAGACACATTATGAGAAACATCACATGAAGGAATACAGTTATTAGAATGACTCGCTTAAAGGAATACAATTTTATGAAATTCTTTTCATTGTTGAAAACAAAATGCGTATTTTTCCTACTCCACATCCTCTTAAAGCCCTCACCAACCCATCCCCCAGTGACACCCTCCTACTTCATGGGATCAAGGTCATGAGTTGCCACTTGAAATTTCCTAGACCTGAGGGCAGGGGCAGGAGGAGAGGCAACACACCCTTTCATAGGAGTTGGGCTGTAAATATAGACTGCAGATGCAGAAAGGAGATGAATAAGCCAACCCTTTTTAAGTGAAAGTGAGAACAAATTCACCTGGACAATAAATTGAGCCTATGGGCAACAGACCTGCACATTCTGAGTGGACCATGGGGAATAGAAAAGACCACAGTTTGGCCAAAAAGATAGCAGTTCTCAATGCCCATCAAGATGTAAACTGAACTGACTTGACAGTTTAGGAACTTACAGTCAAAAGTTTCCAAGGTCAAAAACAATAAGCAAAAATACAAACTGGAAGAAGAAACAGGAATATCTTGAAAATCACAAAAAGTACAGTAAGCCTATCTGCAGGAAAATACAAATGGAGAAAACAACAAAAAAAGCAGAGAGAATTGACAGAATATACTGTACTGTAAGTGCAAAATAATATGCAAAAAGCATTCTTAAATTAATGAGAAAGATGCAAAAACAGATCCTGTTCTATATCAATTTTAAAAATTGTCAGAAGAGTGAAGAAAAAGAAGTGCAGTATGATGATCTTGGTTATTGGAATACTCCAGATTGGAGAATAAACTTTGCTGCTCCTGTGAGTATTTCATTATGCAGAGTCAACTATAATTTTATCCTTCATCTGTAGCCTTGGCTACTTTGTGTTTGTGCTTCCTTCACACTAGTCCAATCTCCACAATATGAACTTTATACATGTCACTGTAGCCTAACCCTTCAAGAAATTCATGCCATAATTGCCATTATAAGTACCTGTAGAATGCAGGTTTTTTCCGCTGCTCTTTCATTTGCTCTTTCTCCGCTTAGTAATGTCATTTTTGCAACTGTCTTCATGTGGGCAGTGCCTTTCTGGGAATATTTGGCATCATACCATTCTACAGCTACTTTGAGCAAAAGGTATAAATTGCTCCAATGGATGCATTCTTGAGACTCTTATACCAGACTCTTATACATGCTTGAATGCACACTGCTATTGATTATTGATGATGTTTTTGATGACTTCTTCTTCCTATTGTCAAATGTGTCTTATTATGCATGTATCTATGGGTTTGTGTCAATGAACATGATACTATTATTCACCTTACATGTTTTGAACTGTCCATATGCTTCAGAGAAGAAAAGCACATCAAAGTATTTTCTTCTTTGAAGCATATGGACAGTGTTAGTGCCTTATGGTTTCCCTCTCATTCAACATTGATGTCACAATTATAAAGTAGTGCATCTAGCATAAGGTAAAGTGTAAACAAAGTGAAGAAAATGTAAAAACAGTCTGGTGATCACAAAATAGTGCTCCATTTATCTCACTATATTTGATTGCTTTCATGTTGATTCTGAGTTGTATGTTCCCGTAAACTGCAGATTTGGGTGGAGAAAAATTTGGGGACACTTCTCGCAGTATCAATAGGGAGCATTCCAATGGGCACATCCATGGCCACCATAGCCATAGTCTTGGCCATGATCATGGACATGGTCATGAACCTGAGAATGATGATTGCCTGCTACAGCCCAGGAATCAGTACACCCCTCATGTGAGTAATTTTTTCATGTCTTATCAAGTAGGGCTCTCATGATGGCATTTTGAAAACATCAATCCATTGATCTGAACTATCAATGCATTGGGGAAATCTTTTGGGGGATGGGGTAGAGGTGTGTGCTTAGCTAGAGAAAAATGATAATGGGTAGTTTAGGCCTTCTGGTGTATTTCTATGCCTGCTAAAGCTGCCACTGTATCATCACAACCTTAGTCCAAAATACTTAGTACATTACAAATGACTCCAAGGCCTGTTTCCCCCACTCATGTATCCCTTGTAGGGCAAGAAGTTTTCTGTAACCTGATAAGATCTTCACCTTTTTCTGGGCATTCACACATGAAACTACTAATGTATGAGGGTAGTTTGACAATGAGTGAGAATCTCAAGTATGCGCTTAAGTGTGGCAAGGTGACTCCTATGACATCCTATCCTTACTGAGATTCTCACTCATTGTCAAACTACCCTCATACTGTGATTCTGTATCATGAAACAACTGGCATGAATTTTGGAGGACACTGATAGGATTCTTTTCCTTAAGGTGCATAGAAAAAACATACTTCTTGCATGGCATGCAAGTAGAAAAGTAGGCTTTCCATTGATCAGCTGAGGACAGATTTTAATTGTTCCATGCTGAAAAACTGAACCAGATGAATTCTGGGGCAAAATTTGGACCAATTTTGGCACGAATCATTGCATGAGTGCATACTTTGCAAAGGTAACTGATTAAGCTGTCTGAGGATATAAAAGTTTTTTGCATATGATGCTATAGAGTCATTCCGTGTCAAATCAACACACTTGGAGGACATTTTTCAGGTGACCCACCTCAGATTTGGATGATGTTTGGTATACCTATCAACAATGGTGAGAAACTAATTCACACAAAATATTGGGTCCATTAGACCCTTGGTTCCTTTGGTATGAGGTCACAAAATTTGAGGCTGAAATGCCTTATTCCATACCCTGATATAGTCTTCTCCTTGAAACTCTGGTCCTAATAGTGCTAGAGACCTCATCTTAGGCTCATTTTTTAGTTCTTTTCCAGTCCTTTCCATTGGTACTGATACATTTTGAGAAATGCTAAAAGTTACCATTCAGTAAGGTCTCCATATTGATGACCTTTGACCTCACTTTGTCAAAAACAACCCTCTTGAATTTTGATGAGAATTGGATGAAAGGTAGGCAAGACATATGGCTACCTCTGTATCAAATTTTAACTTGGGCGCTTGGTAGTTTATGGAGATATCATGCCATTTGCATTAAATTGATTAACGTGAATATTCAACATTATTATGGGCACCTATGTGAATGCATTTAACAGTGTTATTTCAATTGAACCCAAAGTAAAAATGATCACTTTAAACTTCATTTTATTTAATGCATACAAATGCTGCATGTGCATGCTTAGCTCCAAAATGACTTTGATGACAGAATGATGGACTCCATCACCTCCAAGCAATATGTGTCAACAGATAGATCTCTGGACACAGAGGTGAAAAGTGTTGAGGAGTTTCTGGATTACTTCCTTGAAAAGACTTTCTTGAGAAAACATGATTTCATTGCCCAGCAGCAATCTTCATTTCTTCAGGAGACAAAGGAAAACCTTGCTGCAGGGAAAGTCATTGTTCTAGATTTTGCAGAGAACTACTCCTTTGTTCTTCAAGATGCTGCACAAGGATTCCATTGGAATAATAATCAGGCTACAATTCATCCTTCTGTTTGCTATTTTAAGATGCCTCACAAAGATGTGAATGATGAAAATGAACTGCAACACTTGAGCTTTATCATCATATCCAATACTCTTATACATGACACAGTTGCAGTTTATACCTTCCAGAAAAAGCATCTCCTTTCACTGTTGCATGAAGAGAAGGCAACAGTTGGCCCTATCAAGAAGATTACCTATTTCTCAGATGGTGCAGCTAGCCAGTATGAAAATAAAAAAGAATTTCTGCAACCAACCTTTCATGAGGCTGATTTTGGAATTCCAGCAGAGTGGCACTTTTTTGCCACATCACATGGCAAAGGGCCATGTGATGGTGTGGGTGGCACAGTCAAAAGGTTAGCTGCAAGAGTGAGCCTCTAAAGACCATATGATCTACAAATTCAGACTCCTCAAGATCTCTTTTTGTGGGCTATAGAGAATCTGAGAACTACAAGATTTCAGTTTGTCCTTGAGACAGAGATCAAAAGAAACAGAAGCTCCAAAGATGGTTTGCAGGCATACAGCCAATTCCTGGAACACAAAATGTTCAGTGCTATATTCCTCTATCTTCTACTATAATCAGAGGGAAACAATTTTCAAAGTCAAGCACATTTGCAGATGTCAAGTTCAACACTCCAATGGAGATGTCATATTCAAGCATGAGAGGGTTTGTGAAATGTGAATATGGAGGACATTGGTATCTTGCATATGTTCTTGAGAAATTTGAAGACAATGAGGAAATTCTTGTTTCTTTCCTTCATCAACATGGTCCAGCCCTTTCATTTTTCTATATTCACAAATCTGATGAACTAAGAGTACATCATAGTCAAGTCCTTTCACTTGTGAATCCCTCAACAGAAACATTATGAAAACTACAAGCAGAGAAGGGCTTTATAAGACTGGCTCAGTGACTCCAGTCAAACTCTCTTACATGAACCAGAACTATGTCTTGCTTCAGCCCAGATGGTAAGCCTTGCAGGATATATGTTCTTTAAAATTTCATGGAAAGAGTTGCAAAGGATGGAAGTGGTGATATTCCTAGGAGTATACATTTAAGGATATTTAACTTTTAGTAATCATATCCAGCATATACAGTTTAAAAAGAACTTCAGAAAACAGTATTCATTTCAGAAAAATGTGACCATTGGGAAGTGTGCAGATGTTATATCATACCATCAATCATCCACACTTAAATTCTTACACCTCAACATAAAGAATAATGTAACTGTAGATGGATACTGAACATGCTAAAAAAAAAAAAGATTAGTGATGAGATGTGCAAAAAAAAAAGAACACTTGCATCCACTTTTTAAACTATAGAGAAACTCATCACTTGGCCAGCATATTCAATCTTGCTTATATATCATTCATCAAAAACCCAACACAAAATTTAACTTTTGGAAACCTTCCTTCTTCCCTTGTGGATCTACTTATAAATATAATGCCTGCTCAGAGCCAAATGAGCAGGTAACCAATCCCCCTGGTGTTTACTTGTCTAGGGCAGCTTATCATTTGATGTCAAGAATGAAACAATATAATGCCCTGTCAATAAGAAATTCATAACTTGTCAAGTTTTTCTGCTTATAAGTCTAAGCCATTAGGAATGTTTGCAGCATGATTCTGATGTGAATCTTGCATGGTCTTGCACTGTTTTCAATTATCTCAATTACTTTCCTTATCTATAACTTGTTTCCTCTTCCCCTTATTCATGTTCAAGCCTACTGTATTTCTCTGTCTGAGAATGTATCTGAGTTTCTGATATCTCCAACCCTGGGGGTCTGCAAAGATTTTTTAATCCCTCTTGACCTTAACTCTTGTTACCACAAAAACTGTACAATTTGTTTGCAGGAATACATAAAACCACAAAATTCAAACTGATTTTTTTACCTGAAGAAATGCAGAGATGAAATTTGCAAGACGTAAGGCCATCCGTGCCTCATTGGCAAATTGCTTTTCTGCTCCCCAGCTGACATCTCCTCGGAGTACCAAGTCATCTGCCGAGAACTTCGATCTGCAATTAATGGAAAAAGAGAATAATCCCTTACACAAAAGTAGATGTTATCAAAATCAATTGAAACTCACCGGTCTTTGCAATTGCCAGAACGGACAGACTTCATGAAGTTGAAGAGCTGTGCCACATAATCCATCTTGGAGATGGAATCATTAAGATCAATAGTACGATTAATGAAGTAGTGCATGTTGGAGCTCTCCTTGTAATTTTCAGGATTCACACTGAATTGGTTAATGTATTGTTGTCGCTGAACAGGGGCTAATCGATACCAGTCCACAGGGAGTGCCATAATGACTGAAAAAAAAATTACCAATTCAGCTTCATAAGGTATGCTAAACCCAGAGTTAATGTGGCTCTGTTGCAAAACTCACATCCTATGGGAACACAACTGAAGCCTCTATGATATTCATCAACTGTGGCCCGTTCCATGATCTCACCCAAATATGGCTGACGGATCACATTTGGCAGACGATAGCCTGGCTTGCAGCGACACTGATATCCTCCTCGACGGAACCCATAGCCATGTAATGGTTCACACTGGAAGTTCAAATTTTTGTAATATTTCAATTTTCAATTTCAGTTCACCAAAAGCTATTCCTGCTATAGCAATACGGTTAAAACAGCTTTGCTTACTTCAGTTGTCACATCCTTGCAATGATCTGTTCCAGCAAACTTATTTGGACCAGGATTACCTTCACCTAGGGGACACTGATTGATGTCAATACGATCAAAATCCATCTCCACCACAGATACACCCACGTACCTGATGAATGAATGTTTCTCTCTTTGGCTATCACCCATTCCACTTTGTTTCATCATTAGAAATCACAGAACTTACGTTGGGAATTCAATGTGTCGGAACTGTGTGTGGCGAGGATATATGTCAGCTACTGGGACAGAGGCTCCAAAAATCCATTTATTGGACCTACCACAGTCGAAGTATGGACGAGTCCACTTCACTGGACCAGGAGTCTCATCTGGGCCTGAAATACATAAGAAAAATCTATTGTCAAGATCCTGACAGTACATACATCAATCACAGAACTAGCAATTGTGGATAAGGCTTGCCAGGAGGTCCATGCCATGTGAAGGTCTCATTTGTATTGTTGGCATATCTTATTTTCACTTGATATGTTGTTTTTGTATCCTGTCTGCCTTTGACATTGTCAGGGAGCCATGCTCTATACCTAATAAGCATAGAAGATTACCATATAATTCTGAGTGAAATAATTTCCCCACTCAAAGAGTAGCAGTCCCAACTACCATTCATTAATTCTGTAGTCATCAGTTGTATAATTAAGACTTCTTGATGTGGGTGGTATGGCACCCAAATCCCAGGCTTCAATCACATTCAATGTGGCTAATCTTTCCAAGTGGATTGGGTCATTGTAGTCATCAGCCCTATGGACGAAAAAGAAATGCATTAACAGTTTCCTGAAAATATTCGTTTATAACAGATTCAATAGCAGAAAGCAATGCTGCCTAATGAGCTCCTTGCCTAAAAGCCCTTGGTGCAAACAGTGGCATGGTCTTGTTGAAGAATCCTTTGTAGGATGGACTGTATGAGGTGTTCACAGAGAAATACAAAGCACTTGCATTCACACTGGGATTGGCTGTTACATCAGCGATCACAGATAGATAGTAGTACATGAGACCAGGTTCATGGTCGTCATATGCTTTTTGAAGAATGTAACTGAAGAAGAATCCCCGGTTAAGAGCAGTGTTGTGCACATTAAGCATTGCAGTCCGATTCGGAAGGACGGGATTGATATTTATATCCTTAATATCCGGCTTGTGAGACACTGTATCCTCATCAAGGAAGAGATCTCTGACGTGGCGAATGTTGCAGTTTTCCTCGTCCACGTTGTGGATCTGATTTTTCACCTCGTCGAATGAATCCCTGATCTGCCACTGAAACTGGGCAGCGGCTAGCTTCAAAGAAGCCGCAAGGAACAATACCACGATCCACTTCATGCCTGTCTCGCTTTTTGCTTCCCACAGTGCTGCTGACTTTTCAAGCAATCGATTCTGACATTCCTGCAACAAATCAACAAGAAAAGCACAAGTGAAAACGGCAGCGAATTCCTAATTTCAATCTGCGACACTACGCAGACATTACTCACCAGCTGCTAGTGCTGCCATATAGTTGCTTTTGCAACCCGACAAGGAAAGTAAATTGAGCTTGTTAAATACTTAACCGCTTAAAATGTATTGGGCCTATGAATAAAATTGAAAAAATCTCCGAACCTGAGCAATTATCAAGAAATGTGCGCATTTTTTACTTGTACAACAGAGATGAACATCCTGCAACTTGATGTTAGAAATGACTGGTCTCAGTACATGGCGGCAGAGAAGGCGTGTATGTTTTCACTAATCATTTCCACAATTCCTTATTATTGACAGGAGTCCTATATTTCTCGTGTTACCGTATTAATGGCAACTGCTGCAGATGCAGGCGAATTCAGTTCCTTGTCATCTAGAGAGGATGAATTAGACTTGACGTCTGAAACCTTCAATCCCCTGAAGGCATTACGTGCAGATAGTGTGGAAATACCAATCCCGAGAGCCAAGATTTACGACAATTTGGATCAGTTTCGTAGGCATGTGCTAGAAGGTCAAGCTTCTGTTGGTGTTCCACGACCTGGAGGAAGCTCCAAGAGCGCCAAGAAACTTCAAAAACCTCAATGCTTGCACAGTGGTACCGCAGAGGAGACACCAACCCTTCCTGAGAAAGAGTCAACAGTTCAGAAAAGGAACGTGTTGACCAGAATGAAAAGTTACAGTTGTGGGCCATTAGGAAGGCTGCGGGAGATTGTGGATCAGAGAAAAAGAGTCAGAGTGTGGACCAGGAATTATAAAGAGATGAGGGGACACTGTACTGGTTTCCTCATAATTTTTGACAAGCATTGGAACCTAGTGTTGGTTGATGTTGAAGAAGTTTTCCAAAGGAAGCTCCATAGGAAGCCCCTCTTGCCTGAAGGGAAACTGAGGGGAGAATTTGTTAAGCGAATGAACCTAGAGGATACCAAAGGGGAAACAGAGAAAGGGGATTTTTCTGTTATGAAGGCTGACCTGGTTTTCTTTGGTGGCAAGTGTTCAAGATATCCAAGATCTCAGACTCCTGATCCTCGTATTGTGCCCTTTCAACATCTTCATGGGAGGAGGGAACTTTGCCAACGTTACATACCTCAGATTTTTATTCGAGGAGATAATGTTGCTCTAATACAAATACTTCCTGTCTAGCTTTGTGTCCATCAATCTGTTTGAGTGGAAAATGTGGTGTTGATAGAGGTCTAAAGCCATGAGCTATCTGAAGAAAGACTTGTGCTTCCATTGCATAATAAAATTGAAATCTCTTATGGGAAATAAACAGGATGACATTTTTATAGACATGGATTCTGATGATGATGATAATCCAAGGCTGTCATCAGAAGCTCTTTCTGCTTTATTGGAATTTTATGCTGAAGAGAAAGCACAACAAGAGAAGGCAATCAGTGTCTTATCTGGTGATGATGAAAGGCACTCTAACATTCAGATACAGTCTATGACTGACCTGTTCCCTGAAAACTGGGTAAGTGTAAGTTGTTTATCTTGATCATGAAAAGCTGTCCTGGAATCTGACTTGATCATACCATTGCCTTATAGCAACTGAGTCAGTTTTGGTATGCAGAGGAGACAATAGGAGCCTTATCCAGAGAAGTCATCAGCCAAGTTCCTGAAGGAAACGTTGCCTGCATCTCTTGTCCCTCGTTATTTCTGGGTCTCCTCAAATCTCAATTCACAAGATGTAAGAACCCTGCTCATGGTTGTTGTGATGAATATATGCTGTTTATAGGATCATTTTAACTATTTGGGGTGCATTTCCTTCTCTGGTTGCAGGTGTCCTATTTGAACATGACAGTCGATTCAATGTCTTTGGAGAACGCTTTATCCACTATGACTATAAATCTCCATTGTCTGTACCCAGGGACTTCGAAGCATCATTCACTCTTGTAATAGCAGATCCACCATTCCTCTCAGAGGATTGTCTTGCCAAAATGGGAAGCACAATCAAATTCCTTCTCTGTCCCAGGGGAAAAATTATTCTTTGCACAGGTGAGTAATTACTTCAAGTTTGATAGCAGGTTTTGAACTGTACTCCCTTCAACAGCCTTCTATCATAAATTTCCTAGGAGTGGTGATGGAGGAAACTGTATCCAGATTCCTGCATTTGCATCGCAGCATATTTATTCCCAAACACAAGAATAACCTTGGAAATGAGTTTGCCTGTTTTGCAAATTATGACATTGACTCTTCCATGAGCATGGCATGACTTTTTTGGGCAGAAAAGTCAGCTTGTGTCAGAGACAACATTGTTGCATTCAAAGAAACATATATTTAAAAAATATTACAATATCGCACATTGATATCACAGCTTTGATCTTCTTGACATGCTGGCGACATCCTGTGCCCGCTGTGCCAGATGGAGAACCTGCTCTGATGCCTCAATCTGATATTCCTCCAAGTAGTGTTGGCTGTTTATCTCACATGCATCCAGAAAGTACCTGGATGAAGATATGGTTGGAGTTCAAATAGGAGAACTGGATGGAAAATGAATGAGTAATAATACCAAGGTCCATTCATTACCTGTAATTAACCATTATAGAGCAAGAGCCACTCAATCCCCTTGGAGATAAGTCAGCCTTCCAATTCACCCTCCAAATCATTGCTCCATTCCTCAGATGAAAGTTTGCTGCACAAATGACATCTCAAAATCATCCTTGTCAATAAAATTAGGCTTTGATTTCAGGCCTCTACCCTGAGACTTACCAACACTGTTGAGTGCATAGCCTCTATGTTTTTCTATGGCTAAATACTGAACACATAGTCTCAGAAGAGGAGTTTCCAGGGCATTCACCATCCTGTCATCCTGGATCCACTTATTTTTACCAATAACATTTTGCAATTCTTTCCAGAATTGCGATTTTTCACAAGAAAGTAGATGAGAGAGTTCAGATTCTTCTTGGGGCTCCAAAATGCAGACTTCTCCTGAAGAACATAGGGAAGAGCACAGAAATGAAGCTGAGAAGAGACAGCTTCTTCTCAAGCCTGAAAGATTGACCTACCTCTCTCAGCTTTATGCAACACAGTTAGGAGCCAACTTCGAAATCCAGGAATTGGGGATAAGCTTGAAAATTGTTTCATGTCAGGAAATTCCATTTGCAGCTTTTTCACAACTTGCTTGATCAAATAATTCCCCATATCTATGCCCTGCATATCCTCACCATGTAAAATTGCTGAAAACCACTTTCCACTTTTTTTGTGATTACCTTGAGACCTTTGTGAGTGGAGGTTATGGAGTAGAAGATGGCTGTGTTGATATGGCTACAGTCCTCCATTTTTCCTTCCTTTCCAACTCCTCCCATTGTTTCTTGGTCAACTGGAATCATAGGGTAGACTGATATGAGGAAAAATTCTAGGCCAGACAGGTAAAAGCATCAGGCAAACCAACTGGAATGCACATGAGTGCGAGCCACTATTGATGCAATGGACTGAGAGATCTCATTTGTCAATGCAGTGTGAAGGACAACGATTGGCTCTCCAGGCATACTGTGATGAGTGTAAACAAAGCATCTTCTATAAGGTCCGACTCTTCTCTTCAGATCAGTCCAGTTCCGTACTGGATGCACAGCTTCATATTCTGATATCTATGCATAAAAATATTGTCAGGCCTTCGGGTCTAGCATGAGCCAAATGCATCAAAGTGGATTCAATATCAAGCAAAAATGTAACAAACCTTTAAAAATGGGATGGCATCAACAATTCCATTTCCTCAAGAGAACAAGCAATTAATTCCAATTAAAATTGTTTAATTCTACAAAGGAAATATGAAGAATGTTTATTTTTTAAAAAGACCATTGACGTACCAAATAATCTCTTCTTACTATTGCTATATTCATGAAACTCACAACCTGCATAGGCCTGTTTGGATGAGACTTGTAAAATTCATTTAAATTCATCTTGCCATAGCAAGGCTATGAACAACTGTTCAAAATAAGTTGAATGTTGAAAAGAGGAAGAGCCTTTGCATTGTGGGTGTAGAGGCAGGACTTTTGTCATTCTGCAGAGGCTGGAATCCCCCATCCATATTCAATTTCTGGTTTCTTTAGAAATTATCATTCATGGCCTTGCTGTAGTGAAATGATTTTGCTTGAAACTTAAAAGGGTGTTAAGAACCTATCAGTCTATGCACAGCTCAAGTTTCATAAAAATGACTCCAGCAAGAGTAACGTTAGAAACAGAAGGTAAAAAGTTGGGGGGTCTTTCTTTTTGCCACACCATGCAATACATTTTGATTCATAATCCCAGTTTCTCTTTCACAAAAAAAAAAAATTTTGAACAAAGTTGACTGGAGGACTAGAAATGAGAATTATTAGAAAGTTCAATTAAGATGTTGTTCATACAGTTGGGTTAAATAAGCATTTTTTGCATCCTTGAGGTTAGTTTGTTGTAGAGAGTAATTTTACAGTGAAAGTGACAGTGATGAAGCTTTTCTCTTTATAAGAAGGAAAGTTATTGCTGAAACACTTCCATAGTTCTGGTCTAGGTTTTGCTGGTAATCAAAAACAGGCAAAAGTTAAATTTGTATATTGGGAGAGAGGTGCAAGATATCAAGAAATGGTTCAAAACTGTTTCTAAAAATGAGTTCTGCTAAATTTCTAATTTTAATAAAACAATTGGAAATGGTTGAGGTCTCCATTAAGCTGATATGTCATGAAGTAGTTCATAAAACATTCTAGACCACCTAAATTGTAGGTCATCTCAATAAATTGTCAGTCAAGAATTGTCAATGAAACCTTATTTATGGGAATATTCAAGATTTCACTGAGGACCATCAGACATGGATTAAGATGATGGGAGCTGCCAAGCTTACATCATTTGCAGAGTTTGCAACTAAATGAGGACACAATTTTTTATTGTCCCAATTTTGGGACACTGATAAATAAGGAGTTAATATAAATGAACCCATCCCATAGTGAACTTACGATATGAATAAGCCCATCTCATCTAAACCTTGAACATGTCCTTCAATGAAGGCAAGTAAATTAATTTCAGTCTCATTTTCACTGTTTCATATCTCACTTCAGAAATAGTTGATTTTCAAGTGGCTTTTAGCAAAAGAGAGCTTAATCTCTTCTCTTTTCAACTAATACAAAAAAGTTATTTCAAGTTCAATATAACACAAGAAAAATCAAATTTTAAAGCAGACTTTTTCTTTGGAACACCTTGTATCATCCACCTCTTGCACAAAAGAATATAATTACTGAGAGGAAATGCATGACCTACTGCTGGGATAGAGGCATCACAAAAGCCCAATTCATATCAAACTTGAAATCCTTTCCATTTTGCACAAAAAAATGTCTATGGTGACTTTCAAGACTAAAACTTCAAAGACATGATTCAAGACCAAGAGAATCAAAGAACATTGATCATTTGTCCTCCAAAGCACCAAACACAAATATTGAGCCATGATGTCATACATATGCAATGCCAGATATTGTCACCTTCGTGTGCAAAGGTCACATCTTGACTATTTAACATTTTCTGTTTGAGTGGATAAACTGTTGACAACTAACAATTATGAAGTGGGATAGAGCACATCAACTTGATTATGTTGAATAGGAGAGGAATCATTCACAGTGGTCAACTTCCCTCCAGAGCCAGAAGTGTGATTGGAAGCAGAGATATGCCCTTTTCACCCATCATCATCTTCACATGCTTACCAGATATGACTTTTTTACTCAAAAAAATTTGGACCAATCTAGAAACAACTTTTTGTCACTCCACCATTCTCCTGGCCTCATGATTGAAATGGAACTTTTGCCATAAAAATAAAAAATTTTGGCAGCTCCACCAACTGACCTTTATTATGATCTTTACACATGAAAGTGACAATATGATGATGATATCATGATAGAAAAACTGGAACTTCAATCAAGCACAATGAATGGGCTCATATGGAAAAACCATACATGGTAGTTATATGCAATTATCTGTGTCATATAAATTTGTGTATTTTTCATGTATTGAATTATGAATGCACATATACCGGGTCAGCCCAAAGTTCTGGAACATGGTAAATTTGGATTTACTCAGGAAGTATTAGAGGAATCAAGTTCAAATTTTCCATAGATGGTTATTACATATCAGAGTACATGTGGACAAAAAACTACTCAAAATGGCTTCCACCAGCCTTATTGACATACTGGAGACGTCCCTTGAAGGTGTTGGCTGAGGTGAATACACAATCCATGGGCATTTTGGCTCACTCCTTGGTCAGGGCAGACTTGAGAGAGTCCAGATTCGGGTGGTTGATGCTACTGGCCTTGGTCTACCAGTAGGTCCACACAGAATAGTCCATGGGGTTCAGATCTGGGGAAGAGGGGGGCCACTCCTCCATGCTCAGAAATCCAAAATCTTGTTTTTTCAGCCAATCCTGAGTAGCCTTGGCAGTGTAGGCTGGGGCACTGTCTTGCATGAAGGTCCAGGGCTTCTTGCCAAACTTCTTCTTGGCCCAGGGGGTGACCACATCCTCCAGGATGTGTTTGATGTAGAAATCTTTATTTATATTGACTCCAGGGGGGACAAACACGAGGAGGCTCTTGCTGGAGGCAGTGATGCCAGCCCAGAACATGAGAGATGTTGCCTCTGGAAAGCTGTTTTCAGTTCTGTGGGGACCTGTTTGATGTCCTTGGCCAGAACCCTGTCATTGTGGCGGTTGTGGATGCACTGGGCAATGAGCATCTTCTCATCAGTGAAGAGAATCTCCTTCAGTTCACCTTTTTTCAGCTTTTTAACATTTCCTTGGCAAAGGCAAGCCTCTTGGGCTTTGTATTCTCAGACAAGACTTGTCGTTTCTGGAGGGTGAAGGGCCGCATCTTGAGGTGGTATTGGACCAATTTCCTCATTGTCGTAGCACTCATGGTGGACATCTTGGCCATCTGGGCCATGCTCCTCCGTGGATTCCAACGAATCTTGTCTCTGATGGACCTGATGGCCTTGGGTACGTTTGGACCTCGGACGACCAGCAGTTGAGCCTGTCTCACAGAACCGTTTCAGGGTCCCCCAGACAAATTTCCTATTTATGGCAAGGCCCTAAGTTCCTTTACAATCTCACCACAACACTTTCCAGCATTGTGCAGCTGCAGAACTGCCTCTCTTTTGGCCTCCATTTCCAGAGGGAGAAATCCAATATTTTGTTTTTTGGGGAGCCAACAGAGGAAACAAACAAAAAAAAATTGTTGGAATATTTTTCCTTCACTCATGCAACCACGCAAACAAAAAAGAATATCAATGTTCCAGAACTTTGGGCAGACCCAGTACAGAGTGGCAAACAAAAATGTTTCAAATTTTATTAACCTGTATTTTCATTATTTATTAAGTTAGAGAATTAAATTACATGTCATATGATAGACAAACTAAAAAAGTATTTCATGTTGAAAGAGTCATTTGAAGTGTTCACTGTTCCTATGGATAATTTGTCTGTAAGGTACAACAGTGTTTTCAATTACCTTGTCGAGAGTCTTTTGTGTTATGCTCCAAACCTTGTAACCAAAGAAAACTTAAGTTCATGAATGATGTGGAGAACACCTTTTCTTTAAGGAACCCCCATTTTAAAAAAAATCTGGTGGTCTGGAGATAGTGCTAGCTACTGGATGTCCCCTCTTGTATTGATAACACTTTCTCTTCAAACTTATCAACAGTATTCTTATTCATTGAATTTGATGTTTTATCAGGAAACAGACTTCTACATTCTCTCTTCACAGTAGCAGGTGAAGGCATTTCAATTAATTTATAGATGATGAACACCCCTAGCTCTTTTTTTCCTGATAAAACACCTCCACCAAGTCCAACAATTGAGAAGATTGTTAAGTTCGAAGAGAACGTGTTATGAGTATGAAAGGGGACATCTCATGGCCAGCAACATCTCCTGATCTAAGACTGCCATTTTCTTTTTTTAATGTTGTTTCCTTTAAAAGAAGGTGTCCTCCACAAATCCACAGACCATTGATGAACTCAAACATTTTGTGGTTTCAACACTCACAGGCATAATGCAAGAAACACTGAACAAGGCTATTTAAAACACTGCTGTACATTACAGACAGATTATCCAAAGGAATGGTAATCACTTTGAGCATGTCTTTCAAAGTTAAAAAAAACTCTGAGTTTACTTGTCAGATGACACATAATTCAATTTTCTACTATATTAAATAATGAAAGTATAGGTTAATGAAATGTCAAACATTTTTGTGCACCCCCCCTGTATGAGGGCATATACAGTATAGTTGAAGCATATGATCCGTGTAAGGATTATTCATATAATAAACATACCTGGACAACAGATATATTCTATATAAATTAATCCTGTGGTGTGAGGGATGGGCTCCTGCATGTAAGATGAAGTACTTGGTTTAAGTATATGATTTTTATAATAGACATATGATATAAATACATGTTCAGCATGCATGCTTTCAAAACAAAATATATTGCTAGAAATACATATTATACATGCATGAGTTACAGTCTATAATTTAGAGGGTGGGCAAAAAAAACTGGACAGTTTTCAACAATACACTACACTGCACATATTTAATGCAGTTTGCGGCACTTGAAAGAGGAACGAATAAGCTTTAAAATAATATGTTTACCTTTCAAATTTCTTCAGCAGTTTCAGAAATTCAGGAGCTCACATGAACAACAAACAAAAACTGTGTTGCCATGTTCTAAGAGGGAGACAGCATGTGACCTACAGTCATGAAGGCTGCTGCCTGTCCATCCCTGTCCTGTCCTGTGGCAACATAATTTTTGTTTGGTGTTTATATGAGCTCCTGAATTTCTGAAACTGTTGGAGATATTTGAAGTGTAAATACACCATTGTAAAGTTCATTTGTTCCTCTTTCAAATACAGCAAACCCCATTAAAATATATGCTGTGAGTGCAGTATAGTGTATCGTTGAAAACTGTCCAATTTTTTTTGGCCCACCCTGTATATGGTATGGTCATACCCACATACTACAGAGTGGGCCAAAAAAAACAGCCCCAAATTTGATGTTTAATAACTTGGGCCCCGTTGGGCTAATATCAATTTTTAAAACAGCAAAATGAAGCTTGTTCAATTTTCTTTTGAATGATATATAATTTTGGGGGGTTTGCTTCAGAGAAATGGCTGTTACTAGAGTTTTAAAAAAAGTGATGAAAAAATTTCCTGAAAATGGGCTTTACCTCCAAGTTCCTTTTCCTCAACCTCAAATTTATCACTCACACACACACAGACCTTTTTAATGACCCAAAAATGGTTCAATGTGTCCTCCTCCACAATCTACAACAGCCTCATGTTACTCGCCTCACGATCACATGATCTCTCATCAACCAATCCGTATCATGCAGGGACGCAAGGGAGAAACAGGCTACAGCAGCAGTGCGGCATTGGAAAGAACTCAGGAAAGCTGTTTTCAGGAAAATTTTTCGTCACTTTTTTTAAAACTGTAATAACGGCCATTTCTCTGAAGCAAACCCCCCAAAATTATATATCATTCGAAAGAAAATTGAACAAGCTTCATTTTACTGTTTTAAAAACTGATATTGGCCCAACAGGGTCTAAGTTATTAAGCTTCAAATTTGGGGCGGTTTTTTTTGGCCCACCCTGTACAGTAACATCCCAGGGATGTCCCCCAACTGGATGACTTTTCCCAAGGTCATTATGGGATATCCTAAGAACATTTTCAGTTGAATTCTTATAGATATGAAAAGGATATCTTTTTGACATCCCTAGTCAAATGCTCCTGGATATCCCAAATGGATGTCTTGAAGACAACTTCAGTCTAATGCTTTTTAATATCTTGAGTAGAGTGTCTTTGGGACATCTTAGGGATGTTCTTAAGACATCTTCAGTCATCTTTGTAACCTTCAGTTAGGTGCATAACTTTGACAGTAGATGTCTCTCATGTGCCCTGATCTCTAACCTCAGATAGCTTGATTTGTACAGAAGAGAAGTGATGATGTTAGTACCATACATTAGTGAAAATTGCCACTAAGGAAAGTGAAAATTTTGAAGTCCTAATTTTGATTTATTCCATTATATTCTCATTAATGATGTCTGATCAGCATGTCTGGGTACCACTATCCTGGTTGGAAATCTGAGCCCATGCTTCAGCTTTATAGAAGTAAGGCCTACTTGTCTTCACCATGACACTGAGCAACTTTTTTTTAAAAAGGGCTAAGCTTTATGCTAGAAATGTACCTCTTCGGAGTCTTTCAACTGAAGGATTTCCCTCCCTCTTTATCATTATTCTCCAATCAATCAAGAATTTAAGACTAGATAGTTTAAGATCAAGTAGAGACATTAGAATATAAAGGGTTGTCCTGTATAGCAGGAAATGAGTCCGTTTCAGAAAGAAAGGCAATGATATTTTAATATCACTGAGAAGTCCATGCATGTGGTATCTGGGACTTCTCACTTGTCCCTAGGAGACATCTTGAGTATATACAGGGTGGTTAAAAAAAAAAAGATCTACCGTTTTCTTTGGGAGGAACATAGTTTCACTAACCATCACATGGTATGACCCATAAAATTAATGTCAATAGGCATGAATGGAGAAGAGTAGATAAGAATTTACTTCAGAACTTGTCACTCTATTTATGCTGACAGAATTTTCCCCCAAATTCCCAGAAATTGATAGCTGAAAGAAAAAGATAATTCAGCATCCTCATAAGTTCCCATGGGAAAAATTCAGCAGGTATCCTGTTCTAAAGATCTCATTCAAATTATATAAGAAACCTATTGAATACCTTTTGTAGCATGGCACAAGGAGAGTTCCATGTGACTCTTTCCAGTGTGAGGAATCCAACAGAAAACCACAATGTCAGAGTCTCTTTCAGAGCATGATCCATAGCTCTTAAGTTCTGTCCCATGTCACCTGTTGTGTTCATTCCTTCCATTGTATTCTGCAAAATGAAATTTCATGTGCAGCAAAGTGCATGTATCAGAAGAATTGTGCAATTTGTAATGAAAATATGAAATGTGGCAGTACTACCTATATCAACCTCGGGTGTCTGGAAAGTAATGAGAATCGCTTGTAAATTTGTAATTCTGCAACAATGCACTCCCCACTGCTCAGGCATTTAGATCAATATGTAATCTCTGTATTGGCTGATTTTCAAGTCAATCCGTTGAGAAGTGCTTACAGAGCAGGCCTCAAAAGACAGCTCCATAAGCTCAGTGCAACGCGGGCTGTTTTCAACAATTTAGATATGGCTACAGCCGCTGAGAACTTTTGCTTCTATATGTTCGCGTGGTTCAAACTTGGCATTGCGGCCACTGCCTGTTATTTTGAACGAGCTTGTTGCAGAAAGCCTCCATGCCTTCGCGGGAAAAAAATGCCCAGGTGTGCTTCGCACCATTGATGCGAGAAGCTTTGTTGTCCTCAGTCAGTTGGTGCGGTACTCAAACTGATGCCACATTACGCAGTTGCAGGTCTTGTGTGAGCACCTCGTGCATAGTGCTCTTGCCAACATCGAGCTCATGATTCAGCTCTTGAGTTGTCACTTGGCAGTCTTGATCCACCGCCTCGACAAACTCTGGTGTCTGGGTGGACCTGGGACGGCTACTGTGGGGCTGGTCAAGAAAGGAAGGTTCCTCCTCCTTTTCAGCTGCTTCTCTGAAGCTGCTGAACCACCGGAAGACAGTAGACTTGGCATACACGGGGACCAGTTCTGTGTAACAGGCAGTAGCTGCAATGCCTAGTTTGAACCACGTGAATACGTTGAAGCGAAAGTTCTCAGCAGTTGTAGCCATATCCAAATTGTTGAAAACAGCCCATGTTGCACTGAGCTTATAGAGCTGTATTTTGAGGTCTGCTCTGTAAGCACTTCTCAATGGATTGACTTGAAAATCGGCAATCACAGAGATAACACATTGATCTAACTAAAGCAGTGGGAAGCAGTGGGAAGTGCATTGGATGCAGAGTTACAAATTTACAAGCGATTCTCATTACTTTCCGGACACCCGAAGTACTTGACCACAAGTATTCATTCCCAGGCTTTTAGCTGGGCCTATGTAAGTGGGGGGCCCTACCCAATGCAATGTGGAACTCTCCACTTTCCAAATTCTTTAGAAATTGTTAACAAGTAGATGGGATGCTGCCAGTGGCAATCGTAATGCCTTGCATTGACCTATGCTTCATTCAGAAACACAATTCCCCATCCATTTCCATACTTGTAGATGTCTCTTGTGTCCATATGTCTCATGCCCAAAATTTTCTAAAACTGCACAGGTACCACACCATGTATCAACTTTGCATAGCAACTGACACACCCCCCCCCCTCCATTTTTACCCTTCTGGCTTCATCAGGAATGAAAATAGAACAAGGCTCTCATTTACTGGGAAGCATTGCCACATTTAGCTATGTATGATATATATTTTCCCAAAGGATTTGAAATGTTAGCAAAGCTAAGTTTCCAAACCCCACAGTTTCTCTTGATTTACAGGTTTCTCTTGATGATACAGGATATGATTTCTTGGGCTGGTACCATGCATAGATGCATCTTCACAACAGCTGATGGTTTTGTCTGGGAGTAGTGCTGTTGGGGAGGATTGGAATCAAAAGTGTCAGATGCCTGAAAGATCATATATTTGTTGGGAGAAGACAGACCCCTGGGAGGGGTTGGGGGGACAGAGAAAGTGAAGGAAGAAGGGTCCTATAAAACAACCCAGTTTGCTCTCTTTTCCTTCTTATCCACCATACTTTCATGCATCTTTTCTTGCCACCAAGACCTGCAGTCTATGAGTCTGTCTCTGTCTTTCCCTTCTAAGATCAGAGCCCCAGCCCATTCTTTACAAAGAAATCAGTCAGAAATGATGAGTGGAGAGAAGAAGAAAGGAGAAAGATAACATTATGAAAAAACCCTAACCTTGGCTTAATTCAGTCAATCTTCCTCACGGACATGGAAATTCCTGAAGATTTGGGAAGAGGAAAAACATTTTTTTCCCAATCAGAAGCCCTAGATGCTTGGGGTCTTGTGGCTCTTGAAACATAGAAAATAAGAATTCCTTTCTATCCATGCACACTTTGATTCCTTCCTGAGGAATGGGATTTTTCTTTTCCCTCCAACCAAGATGCTAGGACAAGAGTCTAGCTCCCTCAGTCCTCACTATCACTCCACTAGTTCATGAACCAACACATAACGCAAGTGCCCAACCATCCAACTCAATTCATTTAAATCATTTTTAGCTTTCAATAGCTGCACTTCTCTCACTAGTTACACAGAATATTGTCTATCATCAGTTGAGGTGTTGCCAACATGAAAGATTGCAAATTTCCAAGATCTGAACCTTTTTTCCTGAGCAGCTGCCATTTTACATTGGGCAGCCACAACCAGAATTTGAAGTGGATAGACCCCCAATTATAAAGGCCTGGCTGGAATCCTGCGATATCCTGGAGGAGTCACAAGTTAAACACTCAACCACAAGGAGAGAAAACAGAGGTAAATGATATGAACAGGTAACTGGTCAACTTCATCAATCTTTCCCCACCCTATACCTTGAATTCAGGACTCTCAAATCTGAGAACAGCATAACAACTCTTTCATGCTCTCAAGGCAGGCTTGAAGAACTACAGCTGCCATTGCCTGTAAATACTGTCAATTTAATTCTCAGTATCTTGCAGACATGGGTCTATTGGTCTCAACAGCAGCCATTCTAGCATGAAATCTGTGTAGAGAGGATAAGATAGCTTTTGCAAGCCTCTGAATTAACCCCTTACCATCATTTGATGGCAGACACCATCATGGCACCTTCCTTCCAAAAAAATTTCTTACAAATCTTAGAATTGTGATAGAGGCACTGGGAATGGTTTTACTTGTGTGGCAAGGTTCATGTACACCCTTATGGTTGTCCAGCAACTATACTAGGAAATGTAGCAAGTTAAAGTATTGAAGACTTGAAAAAAGGAAAAATTTTTCTTTAAAAAATACAATGCAAAGGGGTGGTAGAAATGACAAAGAAAGAGACTACAACATAATTCAGGTCATAAATCTCTTACTTTCACATAAACTGCATTATTTTCAGTCACTTGGGAGAAGCAGGCTGCCTTTCAGTCAGAATTCCCCATTTAGGATACATGCATAGCTTCACATCCATTGAAGGGGTATGCCATTTTCCTATCAGTGCTAAATGACCAGAGAAAAATGTTCTTTTGCAGACTTCATTGTCCATTAACATTTCAGATTGGAGATGTTAATGCAGGGTGATTAAAAAATCTTACCACCTCTGAAATGCTTTGTTATACAGAAACAAATTTGTATATCCACACCAATTTTTACAAAAATGTAGTTAAACATGAATATGAGAGACACTACTCATGACGAACTAATTGCCAGATTTTTGAGTTCACAAATGTGCACAATGCAGTAAATTCTCTGCTACAATCTGCAAGGTGTCCAGGAGTATTGCTTCAATAACCATTGATGTTTGCTTAGATGGTCCACATATAGTGTGGGTGTTGATATAGGTCTGGCTCTTGCTGAGAAAGCTACCTTCTTGGCAGTAGGAGCTTGCAGCTCCTGCTGCAAAAAGGGTACACTTTGTCAGAACCCACTACAGTTCATAACCTTGTCAATCAAACCACTCCACCTAACCTGGATCGTAAACTCAATTGCAAATTTAAAATTCCATTAAATCCATCCTTTAGTCAAGAGGATTTCTACTAACCAGGAGATCAGAACGGAGGTCAACCAAGAACTTCACTCCACCTTCAAGTCTTCCCATTTGAAGGAAAAGCCACTGATAAGGTGCAATGAGAGAGCCTTTTAGCCGCTCTGTTGCCAAGAGGTCTGACCTCCCTTGAGAAATTTCCTGCAGATTGGACAGCAATAAACACATTATTACCATTTGCATTCTGACTGTCAATGTCTGAATTACCACAACTTACATGATGCAGCAGGAATTCCTGGGAATTTTTCACAATAATGTTGTAGTCTACTCCATACTCAGTTGCAAGGTGTGTAATGAAGTACACTTTGGCATCATGAGGGAGTGTTGGATACAATAATTTTATCTTTTCAAATGCAGTCTGCAAACACCAATAAGCTTTAGATACTGATACCACTTGGATTTAAGTAAATCGAATGCAAAACCTGAACAACTCACGTCAATGGTCATACTGCTCAATTTCTGGTGCCTGTTCTTCCAGACCCCATCTAAAATGTTTGTGATATCTAAATGATGCACTGGGTAGGAAGCGTGCAGGGCTCGAGATGGCTCTCTAAAGAAAGGCTTGTTTAACGAGTCCCTCGTCAATACCGTATCCGAACCGCAACGTTTCAACTGACCCTTGTCGTTTGAATTAACATCCTTGAACCTTGTGGGTAGGCCTAATGATATTGTCGTTGAAGCTCTTTGTAGCCACGAAGGAAAGTGCATGGTTTCAGCAGCATCAGAATCTCTCGAGAAAACTTGTTTTAAAATGTTTCTTGTATGGGCATTGCGAAGCGAAACAAAACCAAAGCTCATCAGGCCGACGTTCGAAAACTTCTCTCAAGTTCAGCAAGCAGCACTTTTTACTGGATATCCAGCTTGTGCACACTTTCCTCCCTGCGCCTGCCTCTCTGTCCCTGCGTTAAGGCCTGGTTGAAGACCAATGTTCCGAGTCCTGTGCGGGATGCGGGCTGAACCAATTTTCCAACGGATCGTCGTGTACCAAAATCAGCGACGTACCGAGGGGGCTACAAGCGATGTACCCGCACAGGACGCCGATTGGCTGCCAAATCTACAAAATATGAATAAAGCTTTAAGAAATTGCAAATTATCCTGAATTTAACTAAAACAAATAGAAACTAATACTAATGTATTGTTCCCAAGTAGCACGTAGGTGGTGGCCCGCCACCTTCCGGGCTGTTAAAGGGCCAGCACATCACCAGTTAGCTCGTTTGTGGTGTACCACCAGCTGGGAAGGGTCCCAATGCCTCCATGTACAGGATATGTCGCAAATTTTCAGGACTAATTTTTTTCATTATCGGGAGTTATTCATGTAATTTCTGTTATGTTTTCGTGAAGTACTCAATTCCCAACTTCCATGCAAGGTCTGATACGTTCATTCATGTCACGGCACGCGCAGCAGGCTTCCCCGTTGATGTTGATGATGAAAAGTGGTTCCTCTTGCATGACGATATGCGCCCACACACAGCACTGTCTATCCAACAGTTTTTGGCCGAAGAACAAGTCACTGTCTTGCCTCAGGCACGGTATTCGCCTGATTTGTCACCACCGGACTTTTTCTGTTCCCACGGCTCAAAATAACCATGAAAGGTCATCGCTATGCGAACATTCCACACATTCAAGCGGCTGTGAAAGAGTTGATGAACAATATTCCCAAAAATGACTTCCAAAGTTGCTTCAACAGCCTTCAGCGATGCTGGCAACAGTGTATTGATGCAGAGGGAGATTACTTTGAAGGGGAAAAGCGCCATTAGTTTGTAAGTACCTTCCATTATTATTTATAGCATCAGTCCTGGAACTTTTGCGGCATACCTTGTATATCCGATTCACCTATAAATCTTGGCTCTGGAGCCTACTCAGAAGAGTACCCAAGAGTACCAAGATGACCCACTGCTCTCCTCTTCCGCATCCAATATGGATCTCGGGAGGGGGGAATGTGAGCAGAATTTTAATGATAACCTAGTCATATCATACACATATGATTTTAAAAGCTTAGGGCCATATTCACGTCTCTCCCTTAGCTAAGGAAACCCTTAAGAGTTAGGGGACCCCAAGCTAAGGGTTTCCTAAAAGATGATGACTGAAAAGGCTCGAAAATAAGAGTCTCCTAGGGGAGTCGTATGCGTACGAACGAATCTCGTATCATCTACAATACGTAACGTCGAATCATGTAGCGTCGAAAACACATAGCATCAAATCACGTTCTGTCGAAAATTATCGCTGATATTCCAGGCAACGATATCGAATCACTGTGAATCACATAAAGTAGTGTCAAATCTCTTAACATCGAATCTCGTAGGATAGAGATTCAGCAATAAAAATGCCCCTCCCTTTAATCACGTAGCGTCGAAAACGCGGAGCATCAACTCATGTAGCATCGAAAACGCATAGCGTTAAATCACGCAGTGTCGCAAATGTGTAGCATCGAATCACGCAGCGTCGAAAACACGAACCATAAAATCTTGGAATCTAGATTTTCCAAGATAACACAATTTGCCAAATAAAAAGCAAATTATCATAAACTCTTCCGAAAATAGAAGAATTCAACGAATGTGGGACTTCCACTTCCAGCCAAAGAGACGCTCTTTTCTCGTTGCTCATCTGCTAGGTCTGGAGCACGCGGAACACAGAGACATCTATCATAAGATATCTAAATGATTGTTTCCTGTTTTTTTTAGAGCTAGCGAGAGGTACTGCTGTGGCACGGAGGGGTTTTACGTTCCTCCATCGTTGACGCGGCTCATCCAATGGGCAATATACCTAGGTACATAGGAATTTCTTTCATCCAAATTATGAGGTACAACCAATATTTTAACCATGGAAATGGTTTAACCATTTTTAACTAAATCAAGGAAGGAAACTTCGGAAGGGAATCGAAAAGGGGGGATTTTGGCAGTGGCGTAGCCAGGTTTTCGTCAATGGGGGGGCTAAGCGGAAAGTTGGGGGGGCTAATGGGGGGCTAAGCGGAACGTTGGGGGGGCTAACTTCGCCTCGTCGGGGTGGGGCAGACGCATTTCAACCAGAGTTTGACCAGAGACCAGAGGGGGGGCTTGAACCAAACTTGGGGGGGCTGAAGCCCACCTCAGCCCCCCCCTCGCTACGTCACTGGATCATTTTGGGGGATTCGTGAAGTTAACTCTCCATCTAACATATCAAGATGATAAATGAGAAAATTTGTGCTAATTCCTTTAACGAGAAAAATCCAAAAACTGCTCTCCTTGGGAAGGAGGCAAAATCACCATGAAGCCGCCAACCAGCAGAAGCAAAGATCCTACTCGGGTCTCGAAACTTAGCATGCAATTACTGCATAGTGAGTACTAAGTATAATAAGTACAATGCCTGGTTTCTGCTAGAGCAAGCCAATATCTAAATTTAATTGGGAAAACAAAATAGTTCCTGGAAAATAAAAGAGAATTGAATTGATAACTCAGTCTGTATATTGCAGTAATTCACATTATAGCAATTTTCATGAAACCTTAAATATTTTAGGTACTGTTACACGTGCTTTTTGTTTTGAATGTACTGGAATTCATTATGTTAGTAACTTGGTATTTGTGGACTCAACTAGCANTTTAGGTACTGTTACACGTGCTTTTTGTTTTGAATGTACTGGAATTCATTATGTTAGTAACTTGGTATTTGTGGACTCAACTAGCACATTTCACTTTTGATTTTATGCTTCTTTGCCGCATTTGTATCAGGTCACTATGTCACTGAGCCTAACTTTTTATCGGTATTTCAATTAAAGTCCAATTTAACTACTCGAGTTACTTTACAGTGTTTGTTTTTAAATGCAGGTGCGGTTCTTGAGAAACCGGACCAGGTATTCAAGAAGTAAGTCTGGGGAGGGGGGAGGGGGAAATCGCGGACTTGCACAGTTTATTTGCAAAGCAAAATTATTGGGAACTTTAAGACCTACACTTCCTAGCGGGAAGGTAAGGTTGCAAAATTTATTTTTACCCTGTAGATTTTGTAAGCGAGTTTCCCGGAAAAAAAAACTGGTGGCATGGAATGAGAGGTAAGGGAGACCGAACGGCAGTTTATGCCAACCGAGGAGGTAGATAAATATTTCCACTTCCTTCCTTACTTTTTTTTTCCAATTCCATCGTCTTCATCCCAGATAATATCTGAAAACGGCATCCGAACAGTAGGAATGGCTTCGGAAGGCCATTCATCCCTTGGATGCTGATCTTGCAAGGAAACCAGGGCAATATGAAGTCAAAGAATCCACTGCTTGTGCTCATGACGATTCTCAAGAGATGTGGCACATGCTTGAGTGGATGCCAAAAAGCAGGAACTTGTAGGCATAGTCAAATCGAACCGCTTGGCTTGGAGGCCCTATTTTGACTTCGTTTCGGCCCGAACCCAAGAAATTCCTAAGCCCGGCTCGAGCTTTGACCTAACCGACCAATTAGCCCAGGCCCTTGGGAGCTTCTCTCTTCTAAGCCTCCCACTTCCCAATCCTGTGAACTTGTGTGAAAGCTCTTAGAACGGGTCAAGTCTTAGTACACTTAGAAAAACCGTGATACTGATGCTCTTTTAAAGTCATTCAAAGACCATTGTACTGTTGATATTCAACGTGACAACGGTGCAAGAAGGCTTATCGCTTATCAGCGAAATTGAAGAGGCTAGAATCCTGCGAACGAAGAAGCAGATCCAGGACAAAGGAAAATTATAAATAAATTAAACTGTACATCTGTTACGTATTGCAGCTCGAAGCAACTGCAACACTCTCCCTTTCCAAATTAAATTCTACAGGGTGGCCACAAAATCCCTTAACAAGGAAATCACAGCGTGTCTGTATGTTGTCCTCCGTTTCCCGCACATTGTTTGATCCTTCCCCGTGTTCTTTTGGACATCTTCCACGTGGAAGGCTGAATATCATGGAAGCAGTCTGTAATGGCTATTTTGAGATCTCCAACATTTGTTAGGCACAGTTGAAAAAATTTTTCCTTCACGATTACCCAAAGTGCATTATCACATGTCGTCAGGTCTGGGCAGCGAGATGGCCATGCCATATCAGATCCTTGTCCAATCCATCGTCCACTTAACGTGTTATTGAGATATTCTCGAACTGGCAGAGCATAATGTGCCGGTGCACCATCTTGCTGCAGGATGCATGTTGATTCAAGATCCCTCTCACACAGTTGCGGAATGAACCACATTCTCTTACGAATGTGCATTTTATTTCAGCAATCGAGCCAGAAATGTTTATTTTTGGTGCAAGGAGAACCCCATTATTATGATAAAGTTGAGCAGCACCCACCGCATGTCATGATTTGAGCAGCAATTTCAACAGATCATTGTGCATTTTATTTCAGCAATCGAGCCAGAAAAGTTTATTTTTGGTGCAAGGAGAACCCCATTATTATGATAAAATTGAGCAGCACCCACCGCATGTCATGATTTGAGCAGCAATTTCAACAGATCACCTAATTGGTCCATACTTCTTTCAGGGAAATGTGGATCACACCGCATACTTGAACATGATCCGAATGTGGTTCTTTCCGCAACTGTGAGAGGGGTCTTGAATCAACATGCATCCTGTAGCAAGATGGTGATAAGAACCAGGTGTGGGGTGCGAAGAGATCTCCTTTGGGGCACATTCCCGGACCTTGAAGATGCTGTTGGGCCAGGAGGATTAAACAGGTAATGAAAAATGATATTTCCTGGGGAAAATGAGGCCTAGGAATTTATTCCAGTTTAAACAAGGATAATGACCAGCAGTTCTCAAAAGAGTGGCCACGATAACTTCCCTAGGGGTCTAGGGGCAACAAAGCCTGGACTTCCAAGGATTTAAGCGCTTTTAATTATTAGGAATTTATTCCAGTTTAAACAAGGATAATGACCAGCAGTTCTCAAAAGAGTGGCCACGATAATTTCCCTAGGGGTCTAGGGGCAACAAAGCCTGGACTTCCAAGGATTTAAGCGCTTTTAATTAATTAATGTGCACTTCGAAAAATTAATGTATTGCTTTTACAGTATTACTAATTTTCCCATATTCCTCCTCAGCTGAGTAAAGGCTGAGCAAAGCAAAGCGGGCTTATAAACGAAGGGGAGAGGAGCTCT